ATCTGTTTATTGTTTATTGCTTATTGTCTATTGCTTTATATTTTTTATTTTGCTATATGTATATGTGTTTTTTTATTATTTTTATTTGTCTGGAAGCCGCCCAGAGTGGTCGCAATGACCAGATAGACCGGGGGGGGGGGATTAATTAATTAATTGATTAATTGATTAATTAATTAATTAATTCTAGGAACATTTTTGTGGCCCTGCCAGCACTTATAGTGTCTCCCAGAATTTTTTGCTCAGAAAATCCCTTTTTGTCATCTGAGACTGGAGGTGGTGGTGTTATGTTTCGAAGGGCCCCCACCATGCATATCTTCATATTTTTTGCATTTCTTTTACAAAATTGGTGAATAGAGGATGGAAGGGGACTTTTTTTTAGTTTGATAACCCTTTTTTATTAAATCCATTATTCAGTTAATAAAAATAGTTCTAATAACCATTAAACGAGCAGCAACAATAAAATCAAACTTAAAATCCACCTCCAACCCTTGGATCTTCCCCTTTGTAGAACAGTCATCAGGCTGCTGACAAATTTGAAAAATGGTGCTCAGCCCTCCTAAGATTATCTACTCCGGTGTTACAGATACCGCTTACCTATAAATAGCAGCTTAACAGCCATTATTGATGGTAGCTGTATCTATGCTATGGAACTCTCTTGCAGGTGTGTGGGGGGGGGATGCTAGCCTTCTCCCCTCTGTATGGTCCTTCTGCTGACTGGAAATCATACTTTGGTTCCAGGAAGATTTTGGCACTTTACACTTTGTAAGGAAAGGGCTTGCAGTGGGGGGAGTTATGCCTTTTAAGTGCTTTTAATTCAATTGCATTTTAACATAGACCAGAATCATATTGGTGCTTATATAAGATTTGTATAACTTGCCATGTCTAGCTGTTCCCTTTTCTCTGTAAAACATCATGGACAGATGGTATTGTGTATGTATTTAATGACTGCAACAGTTACTGCTATAAATTACAATGATCTAATGACAGCAATATGTTGTTTTTGCCCCCATTGTTGTCATTGTTGTTGTTTTTGCCATTGTTTAGTTTCAGCTACTGTTACATGCTTTACATAGACTTTCTGGTTGTACAAAATGACTAACAGTTCTAGATAGACTCATTGAAATCAGTGGAAAAATTCAACTTAAAATCTATTGATTTCAATTGGAGTTTTCTGTGTAAATCATTAGCTCTTAGCCCATAGAATTGTTTATGTAGTGACAGAATGTGTTTTATTTGAAAAATGCTTATGTCCATGAATGTACTCAACTAACACTGTTTTTCTCAACCTTTCATATCAAGGATGTTGGATTTCGCTCAGAAGCCATCTGCACCATCCTGCAACAGGAAGTTCTGCTGCAGGAGGATGTTGAACTGATTGAGCTGCTTGACCCCAGTATCCTGTCTGCAGGGCAGCTCAAGCAACATGGACATGAACATCTTCCAAAACTGCGTACCCTAGCAGCTCCTAATATTTGGTATTGCTTTAGCGGTGTGCATGCTGTGTTAAGATACCATTCACATTGTGAGAGGAATCATCTTTCTCATTGCACAATTAGCCCTTCAGTGAATGGGAAATACATTTTTTTCTGGTATTGATTTGTTTTTCCTTTCCCTTCTTTTAATTATCAGGACTACACATTTAGCAAGGTTGTCTAGCTTGCGGGGGAAGCAAATTCCCCACAAGAAGCAAGAAAAGAATCCGATTTATTAATCCACATTTGTTGATTGCTCTGGATTACAGAGTATCTGTACTGTCCTCTTACAGAGACCATTTTAAAAAATGGCATATTTGCAGACAAAAACAACAGAAATCTTAAGTGAGCAAAACTTATTACTAAGCATAGTTGTTATATGGTCCTATGAAAAAAAACAAGCAAGCAGTTTGAAAACTGCTGATGAGGAGATTTTTAGAGTCACTTTTTCAAAAATACAAAACACCTTTCAAACGTGTTGTTAGGTTAAACAAGTCAGAATCTTTTTTTGGGGGGGAAGCATTACTGTGAGGTATGATTATACCAGGAATTTGGTCTAGGGTTCTGCTTATACAGTAATTGCACGCTAGATTATGGTTGAGAGGGGTTAGATGAACTAACATCTTGACACTTGGAGATTCTTCTGTACAGGAATGGACATGGCTAGAAATCCAAACCCTCTTTATACCTGAAATGCTAACAACAGATTACATTGCAATATAATTGTATGCTATTCTCTTAGTCTACTTTGCCTGCCTGTGCTATGATATATATATTGTCATTGGAGAGTAATTTTTAAATGTTTAAAGAGAAAAATATGTTTTCTATAGAAAATTAGATCTTATAGAAGGGCTAGAGACATTTGCTGCTCTTGTAAATGAAAGGTAAATGATTAGCTAATGGTAAAAATGGGCATCAGCTGGCAAGTCCAGGGTGTAAACAGAATCTGAAAAGCCGGGCCCTTTAGCATTCTCCGGCAGCAGTCATATTTCTTTTGTTTGTTTTGTAGGGATATTTCACTGATGCTTGCCTTCGTCAGCATCCTGGTTATGTTTCCCTCTGTATGGAATGGATACCTTGGAATGTTATGGGGAACAGGTCTCTTGTTTTACCTAATCTTCCGAGTTCTGAACACACTAAGGACAGCAAAGTTGCAGATGTCCCTGAAAAGATGCCATCTCCAACTAGAAGATATGGTAGCTAATTGTCGCTCCTTCACTAACCTGGTGAGGAAAGCCCTACGGCTCATTCAAGAAACTGAGGTCATTTCCAGAGGATTTACTCTGTAAGTTGACTCTTTGCATTGTTTTAAAATTGGTTCTTCATTCCTATTGAATGTTAAATGAATAAGTGGTAAAGAATCCTTTCCTCTAAATGCTTAAGCCTAAGGATTCTTTTTCTTTATTTACACCATGTATTTATTGTAATACTTGAGTCACTGGTTTGTAATTAAACTGATCCGTAGAAGGCAGATTTGTAGAAAAGAGATAAGATTTGTAGAAGTAGATAGGATGGGCATGAAAAGGAATTGCATGTGTTTTTGTTCTCTTGAACTTTGAAACAAGTTTCTAGCAGCTTTAGAACATTTCAGTAAAAGAGAGCTGTAACAGATATATGCTTTGAAGAGGTTCATAGCTGATTGTTCCATTTGTGCTGCTCTTAGTTATTTCTGATAAAAGTAAGAAAGAAGAAAAGATTGGTACACCCATTGAGTAAGCAAATTACCTTGAAGTGTGAAATATAGTGAGTAAACATGTACATTGTGATGGAGTTTTTTTTTCTAAACTGTCTGCTACTAAGGTTTTGTAAGCAACTGTACCTAATTTTATGGAGGTGTTTTATATATATGACAACATAGGTATATTTTAAGCTTTTGGGAGTGAGCTGATTTTGGAGCCCTGGTGGAGTATCTGCTCTTGTCCTGTGCCCCCTGGACTTCCTATCAGAGTCGCCTTCTGCTGGACTCAGTTGGGTACTGGTGCCAGTTGGCTGGCTCAGGGCTGGAAGGGGAAGCCAGCTGATGAGTGCCACCTGGATGATAGGGTGGGGACAGAGCTCTGCCCAGCTGGCAGAAATAAAGGTAAAAGGAGAGCTGATGGAGAATATTGGGGGGCTGGGGGAGAGCAGTCTGAATTAGATCCAGCAGATTTGGAGAAGGAGGGAGCATGAAAAGACACCATGGAGGAGCAGGAGGAAGCACTACTGGAGAAGGAGGTATTCAACTATGCCTTAGTCAAAGACCCCTGGACTGGCATTTTGGTGGAGCTGAGAGTCCCACACAGCTGGGGATGAAGCAGAGGTTTTGAGTTAATACCCTGCCATCTTCAAACAGGTAACCTGTGTTGTTGTGGACAGCCACTCTCTGCCAACCATCCAGTCATAACACAGAAGCAGGGCATGAGGCACAAGCACCAGAAGGCAGGATAGTGATGTCTTCAGGAGGGTTTGGGAGGATATGTAACATTATGTCAACCTGTCAGTACGAGCCATCCTTGAGATAAGTGAACCATTTGACCAGGACAGTGCCAGCCCTTGTGAAGTCAACTGGGGTTTGTCAGAGGGACAGGAAGACCCCAGGGTGCATGAAGAGTACCGAGCCCAGAGGAAACCAAGATTTTGACCCTTGACCAGACTTCTGAGCTAATGGAAATCACTGATACAGACACTGGTGTCACCATCCTTGCCTGGACAGGTGGGGTGGGGTGCACATTTGATTAAAAGCATAGCAGTTACGAGATTCCCAACATTGTTTTCACAGGCACAAATAGATTTAGTAGTTGCATTATTCAAATCTATTTTGTGCCAGTTTTCCTCTTCATTGGCATATAATCTGCGTAAAAAAGTAAATGCAGATCAGTTTGCTATACCATGTCTGGCTTGTTGTTGCACAGCACTGCTGGCATAACAAGAATGACACTAGAGTTGGCGCCAGATTGCCACTAATTAAAGAGTCCCTGCTTTGATTTTGGTTTGTACATGTTCACATGCAGAAATACATCTCATTGCTTACACATTTCCATATACATAGAACACTTTTATTTCTCTGTAGAGTGAATACACCTCTAATGCCAGATAAGCCGTGTAGTTGCACATGCAAGTGGTTACATGCAGACCTGCAACCATAGTTTTCCTATAGACAGTACATTTCTTAAATCAGAATCAAGCTTTACTGCCAAAAATATCTTCCCTGTTGCAGTGTTTAGACATGTTGTACAGTTGTCCAGATCTGTTCTTGACAAAGTAGCACACAGTTAAGAATAGTTAATCCTATAGTTAAAGCAGTAGTTCAAAACAGCTTCAATCTGAACAAGCCTTTAGGCAAAAGATTTTTCTTCAAAGATGAGCTTTGTGAACAGATTTATCTAGCTCTAGCTTTGAAAAACGCAAATACTATATCTAATTGTGTGAAAGCAAGAACAGAAGGTGCTTCAGTTCATTAAAGCCCCAACACATTTGGAGGATGTATGGAGTTTCAGGACCAAATTTTCTATAGGTGAAGGTTGGAAAGCCTTGTACAGTGAATAGATCTTGGAGGACCAGAATGTTTAAGGTTTTAAGTCAGCATTTGGCTGCATGCTAATCAATTTGAAGACAGAAATCTATATAAAATGCGGTTTATTAATGTTTTAGCAACAATGTCTATAATGCTTGGCTGTGTGATTTTAGACAGGACATATTCAAACAGTTGGTGTTTCTGGCTTGCTTCAGTAGCCAGTAATAACACAGACCCATTTTTAACATTTTGTCTAAAAAAAGAAGTCTCGAGCTGCTCCTATTGCCAGTAAGGTCCTGCCTGAGAGACAAGGTAAAACTGCTGTATAAGCCTTCCTTCTGTGACTGGTGACGTAGCCCAATTTTTTTTGCCTGCATTCAGTCATAGGCCATAGATGGGATTGTCCCCCATAGTGTCTATTCATTGAAACTGATACCTTCCATGAGTCAATCAAATGTTGGATTGACACACTTCTGAGCGACTGTGATAGACTAGCTGTAACATCTACAGTATGAAGTATAGAGAAGAGTGAGATTGTGTTGCTTATTTCACTTAGCATTCATACATCTGTTAGTCTTTTGAACCTGGAGAAATTAATTCCCTCCCAAAGACTCCTATAATTAAAAATGAGTATTTTATATGATGGTGAAGAAACTTTTATAGGATTGTAAAAAAATCATGCATCTATAAGGAAGACAATAATGTTATATAAACAATGTCCATATCCCCTTACAGAGAGAATGAATGGTAGTGGTATTGTCACTAATTAAAGAGTTCGTTATTCAGTCCTGAGATGTGTACAATTCATGTGCAATAACTGAGGCTGCACTCACCCTGAAATTGAAAAATGAACTCTTTAATTAGCAGCAATCTTCCACTGGTGGTAACATATTCCCACAGCATAGGTGGGGCTCTGCAAGAGGATATTGTCCATTACATATAAAAATGAAATAATGATAGTTATTTCTTTGTGTAAAATATGTTTTATTTCTTCTAGCTTTAATAGTAAGCTTCGAGTTAAAATTGGGTACTGGATTCTGTCCTTTACTACTAACAGTGACTAAATCTTCCACACATAACCATATATTTGAAACAAAATGAAACCAGTACTATTCTATATTGTTATTTTTTAAATCATTCTTTAGGACATCTGTACAGTTGTATCACATTTTACTTTTCAAGTTTGCTTGACAGGGTCAGTGCTGCTTGCCCATTTAATAAAGCTGGACAGCATCCTTGCCAGCATCTCATTGGTCTTCGGAAAGCTGTCTACCGATCAGCAAGGGCCAACTTCAGAGCCTCAAGACTTGCAACCTTGTATATGCTGAAACAATATCCTTTTTGTCATATAGGAGAAAGCTGCGTAATCATTATGAAGAATGAAATGTTGCTGGACTGTTTCTGTTCTGATTTTAAAATGAAAATGCATACAGCTTTACACCCATTGCTTTGGTTTTACACACATTACAGACCTTCCCGTTTGGGTTTATTTGTTCCATCCTTGTCCCTCGATTTTCTTCCACAGTCCTCAGGGTGAAGCATGTGTGATTTTCCTTTTTATTTTATTAATACAGTGGTGCCTTGATTTACGACCATAGTCTGTTCCAGAAGATGGATGTAACTTGAAATGGTTGTAAGTCGAAGCACCATTTCCCATAGGAATGCATTGAAATGCAATTAATCTGTTCCAGCCGAAGAAAAAAAATCACACACAGAGACAAAAAAACCACTGCAAGACTCATTGGAAACGTGATTAATCCCTTCTAGCCGAAGGGGGCGAGGGAAGAAAAGCAATCAAGTGTGCAAGAACCACTGGAAATGCACAGAAAATAAATGGAGCAGATCGGAAATGCACAGAGAACAAAGGGGGCAGGTCAGAAATGCAAAGAAAACAAAGGAAAAAGCAAGGGAAGCATGCAAGATCCATCAGAAATGGGGAAACCCCCCACAAAGCAACCAAACTGCCAAGACTCATCGGAAATGGAGGGGAAGCCAAAAAACAACTCCCCCAAGACCCATCGGAAATGGGTGAAAAAACCAAAAAGCAACAAAAAACCCCCAAGACCCATCAGAAACTGGAGGGGAGCCCCAAAAACAAACCAACCCCCCAAGACCCATTGGAAATTGGAAAAAACACTCCAAAAAGCAACAAAACCCCCAAGTCCCATTGGAAATGGGGAAAAACCCCAAAAAACCAAACAAATCCCCAAGACCCATCACAGCACAGAAACATAACCCCCCAGCTCAAAATCATGCTGCAAAAACACCCAAAACACTTTTTTAAAAGCAGAAAACAGCACCTTACCTTACCAGGCAGTGTAAATGTGAGGCAATGCCCCCTTTATCTCTATGTATATAAATTTTGTTTTGAAATATCTCTGTAGAGAGTGTTTAATTGATTTTTTGCAGTATAAAGGCAAACATTTTGTTCCTTTGCTACTTTAAATACTAATCTTTTTCTTGATACCCCCTGCCAGAAGTCCCTGAAAGACAGTTCTGTTTAGGTTATGTCTGGGATGACACCCATCAGAGCATGTGACACTTTTTGATAAACAAATGACATCTCTTTCTTTATCTCACACCTTTTTTTCTTTTGTACTTTTTAAAATTCCAGACCGTTCAACTGGTTAGAAAGGTCACCTCCTTTTCATATTTCTGTATGCTGCATGTAAAACAAAAGCTTCTTTAACTGCCTTAACACTAACTAAACTTATCCTTTGAATGCTGAGAGTGACAATGTGACGAACTACATCTGTGTGGTGCCTTTTAAAGAACTAGGCCTAGGATTAAGTGAAGAACAAGTGTCTGAAGAAGAAGCACACAATTTCACAGATGGCTTCAGTCTACCTGCACTAAAGGTAATGCAGCTTTCAAGGTCATATATTTGGTGATATCATTGGAATGTTTGGTCAGTATGTAGCAATTGAAGTGACCCTCAATTATATTAATTAGAAACATGCACACTCATTTATATAGGCTGAAATCCTGTTGCATAGCTCCACATGTACAAGGGGGGAGTACAGCTGCAGCAGCAAATTATCACTGATTAAAGAGTTCCTCCAGCAATTTCAGAGTGCAGGGGACTTCATCACATTTTGTACAAGTTGTGTGCACTCTGAAATCACCTTTAGTTGGTGGTGATTTGCCACTGATGCAACAAGACATCAGGCATACAAGCTAAAAGCTTATTTGGTTCTCTGGAATATTTTTAAATGGCCTTTCTGTTGAATCCAGATGTTTCCCATTTGAGCACTGATCTGTATGTTCTGATTGTGGACCAATGAAAGAATATGTATTATCTTAGGATAACATGCATTATCACAATGTTGTTTTTGCCTAATTTTTTTGTACAACATTATCAGAGATAGCTAGCTGGATAACTCTGTGGAGTCAGAGGTTGGGTGTTTGAATCCTCACTGTGTCTGCTGTGAGTAGAACCAGCCTGTGTGGCCTTGGGAAAGCTGCACAGTCCTAGGGCACCACTAGAAGAAGGGAATGGTAAACCACTTCTGAATATTCTCTACCTAGAAAAGACTGAAAAAGGTTGCCGTAAGTCAGAATTTACTTGACAGCACATGAGTAAAAGAAAGGTGAAAGACAAGAGAGTTTCTCAAAAATTAAAACTTGGTCATGGTCCCAAAATGTTTGGGAGCTGCGGGTTTAAAAGGAGAAGGTTCAGGTCAGATACAGCTTTGTACACCGATGAGATGGATGCTTGTCATCAGAGAGGCAATAAGTTAAATGTATTCCTGTTGTTCTTAAAAAGATAGCCTGATAGCCATAATAAGTACTTAGTTTTAAATCATTTAAAACATTTTCTTTCTTAGCATGTGTTGTATGGAAGGTGAAATGTAACAGTTTTGTTTATGGTGACAAAGTTGTTTGTGAGCCCTCTGTGTTTTTAGGTTTTATTTCAGCTTTGGGTTGGGCAAAGTTCTGAATTCTTCAGACGGCTAGTTCTTCTGCTCTCACCCTCCAATGCATCTCTCAAGACTGCAATTACGCCAGACCATTTGCCTCTTTCTGTCTTTTCTGATGTGACCCAAGGCCTTCCTCATGTTCATGCTGCCTGCTTAATAGAGCTTAAACGAAGCTATGAATTTTATCGGTATTTTGAAACACATCATCAATCCAGTTTGGAACGGTCAGTCAAAACTCACCAGAAATCAGGAGAGGTAAACCATCTCCACACGGCAGTGCGCAGTTTGCAACTCCATTTGAAGGCCTTGCTTAATGAGTAAGTTCAATTCTGGGAGTGAATTTCTGTGTGGTTTAATTGTACTTCCTGCTGTTTGAGTTTAAAAGCTTGAACTGGGGTCCCCAACCCCCTGTCTGTGGCCTGGTAATGGGCCATGGCCTTGGCAGGACCGGGCTGCAGAGACAGATTTTCCACCCCCTGCCTGCCCCCTTCATGCACTCACACACACATGGCCCCCACATGCATACATGGATGCCCCGCCCACCTGTGCATGGGTGCTCCACCCACACATGCATAGGTCCCCCCTGCCCACGGACCTCACCTCCCCCTGGTCTGCGGTTCGGAAAAAGGTGGGGACCACTGAGCTAGAGGATACATGTACGTGAAAAAAGTAATGGAGCCATGAACTGCTGACAGATTGATGAAGGCAGATTCTGCTGTAATCTATCCCTGTTAATCTGATTCTTATTTAATCAAGCAGTCTAATTTATGTCAGTTACAAATTTTAAAAAATGAAAAATTTGAAAGTTACATACATTTGAAGTTGTCTATATGCAAACTGCAGAAAGATCAAATGGCTGAATATCTGACACAAAAATTAAACATTGCAGTCCAAAAGAGTGTGGTTTTTTAAACATATTTGTTTTATGGCTAATGTTGACAGGATCACAGTATGATTTATTGAATTGTACTCTGTGAGTTTGTCTAAAACTTTACTGAAATTATCAAAGTTTACCTCAGAAGATTATCGACATTTACCTAAAAAAATGTTTATAGTGTCAATAATACAACTGATAGAAACAACTTTTCAGAGGTAGTGTTCATTCATTTGAAGCATTTGCTGTCTTGACTGTTGTTATGAATTCATGCACTCATTAATTTCCAGGCTTCCTTGAAACCTCCTAGTCTCTAGTCAGAATCCTGCTGCTTACGAACTGTATGCCACTGTGAAGTGCTGTTAGTTAATTTCTCCAGTTAAGGAGTTGCCATTTGTAATCTTTGCAATGTGCCAGTTTTGGCACATAGCAAAGTATGCAAGTGACAACTGTTTCATTGCCACTGTGATTTGTGTCACCGCACTTACACCAGCGAATATAAGCAATAGGATTCTGGCTACTGTTTACTTACAGGGGGTCTGGAATTACAATTTCCAATTACTTGTTGTTCCTGTTTAGTCGTTAAGTCATGTCCGACTCTTCGTGACCCCATGGACTAGAGCACGCCAGGCCCTCGTCTTCCACTGCCTCTCTTGAGTTTGGTCAAATTCATATGTTGGTAGCTTCAATGACACTGTCCAACCATCTCGTCCTCTGTTGTCCCCTTCTCCTCTTGCCTTCACTCTTTCCCAAAATCAGGGTGTTTTCCAGGGAATCTTTTCTTCTCATGAGATGGCCAAAGCATTGGAGCCTCAGCTTCAGGATCTGTCTTTCCAGTGAGTACTCAGGGTTGATTTCCTTCAGAATGGATAGGTTTGATCTCCTTGCAGTCCAGGGGACTCTCAAGAGTCTCCTCCAGCACTACAATTCAAAAGCATCAATTCTTTGGCGATCAGCTTTCTTTATGGTCCAGCTCTCACTTCCATACATCGCTACTGGAAAAACAATAGCTTTGACTATGCTGACCTTTGTCGGCACGGTGATGTCTCTGCTTTTTATGATGTTGTCTAGGTGTGTCATCGCTTTCCTCTCAAGAAGCAGGCGCCTTTTAATTTCGTGGCTGGTGTCCCCATCTGCAGTGATCATGGAGCCCAAGAAAGTAAAGTCTGTCCCTGCCTCCATATCTTCCCCTTCTCTTTGCCCGGAGGTGATGGGAACAGGGACCATGATCTTAGTTTTTTTGATGTTGAGCTTCAGACCATTTTCTGTTTTCCTCTTTCACGCTCATTAAGAGGTTATTTAATTCCTCCTCACTTTCTGCCATCAGAGTGGTATCATCTGCATATCTGAGGTTGTTGATATTTCTTCCCACAGTCTTAATTCCGGCTTGGGATTTGTCCAGTCCAGCCTTTTGCATGATGTATTCTGCATATATGTTAAATAAACAGGGAGACAATATACAGCCTTGTTGTACTCCTTTCCCAATTTTGAACCAATAAGTTGTTCCATATCCAGTTCTAACTGTTGCTTCTTGTCCCACATATAGATTTCTCAGGATATAGATAAGGTGATCAGACATTCCCATTTCTTTAAGAATGTGCCATAGTTTGCTGTGGTCCACACAGTCAAAAGCTTTTGCATGAAGCAGAAGTAGATGTTTTTCTGCTTTGTAGAATTTTGAGCATAGCCTTGCTAGCATGTAAAATGAGTGCAATTGTGCGGTAGTTGGAGCATTCTTTGGCACTGCCCTTCTTTGGGATTGGGATGTAGACTGATCCTTTCCAATCCTCTGGCCACTGCTGAATTTTCCAAACTTGCTGGCATTTTGAGTGTAGTAAACATCATAATCTTTTAAGATTTTAAGTAGTTCAGCTGGTATGCCATCACCTCCACTGGCCTTGTTGTTAGCCATGCTTTCTAAGGCCCACTTGACTTCACTCTCCACGATGTCTGGCTCAAGGTCAGCAATCACACTATCTGGGTTGTCCGGGACATCCAGATCTTTCTGGTATAATTCCTGTGTGTATTCTTGCCACCTCTTCTTGATGTCTTCTGCTTCTGTTAGGTCCCTACCATTTTTTTCTTTATCATGTCCATCTTTGCACAAAATGTTCCTTTGATAGCTCCAGTTTTCTTGAACAGATCTCTGGTTTTTCCCTTTCTATTATTTTCCTCTGTATCTTTGTACTGTTCATTTAAGAAGCCCCTATTGTCTCTCCTTGCTATTTGGAAGTCTGCATTGAGTTTTATATCCCTTGCATTTTGTTTCCTCTTCTCTGCTATTTGTAAGCTTCGTTGGACAGCCACTTTGCTTTCTTGCATTTCCTTTTCTTTGGGATGGTTTTCGTTGCTGCCTCCTGGACAATGTTACGAGCCTCTATCCAAAGTTCTTCAGGCACTATGTCCACCAAATCTAGTTCCTTAAATATGTTCTTCACTTCCATTGTGTATCCATAAGGGATTTGGTTTAGATTATACCTGAGTAGCCCAGTGGTTTTTCCTACTTTCTTCAGTTTAAGCTTGAGTTTTGCTATAAGAAGGGGATGGTCAGACCCACAGTCAGCTCCTGGTCTTGCTTTTGCTGACTGTATAGAGCTTCTCCATCTTTGGTTGCAGAGAACATAATCAGTCTGATTTTGGTATTGCCCATCTGATGATGTCCATGTGTAAAGTTGCCTCTTGTGTTGTTGGAAAAGAGTGTTTGTGATGACCAACTTTTTCTCTTGACTCTATTAGCCTTTGCCCTGCTTCGCTTTGAACTCCAAGGCCAAACTTCCCTGATGTTCCTTTTATCTGCCTTGGATTCGTATTGAAATCATTCTGTCATTTTTGAGATTGTATGCCAGTACAGTTTTCCCCTCTCTTTCGTTGACTATGAGGGCTACTCCATTTCTTCTACGGGATTTTTGCCCACAATACTAGATATGATAACCGTCTGAATTGAATTTGCGCATTCCCATCCATTTTAGTTTACTGACGCCCAGGATGTCAGTGTTTGTTATTGGATTACGTACTTGAAAATAATTTCACCTGTTTGGCTGGTTTCTGGAATATAGATAACATAGATAATGCAAGATGGCTCTCTTTACAGCTTAAGACAGAAGGAACAAAATCAGGTATCACAATAAATTGTGGAATTTGCAGTGCTTTCTCATAAAAAAGCAAAGCAAAGTGTGCTGCCTATATACCACCCCATAGCACTTAAAGCACTCTCTGGGTGGTTTACAAGTTAATTATGCAGGCTATGCATTCCCCCCCCCCAGCTGGGTACTCATTCTACTGACCTTTGAAGATAGAAGGCTGAGTCTACATTGAGCTGGATACCTGGGATTGAAGCCCGGGTAGTGAGCACAGAAGTGGGATTTTTACTCGCCCTCCTTTGTCCATCTAAGAAGCTTATTTAGACTAGAGGGAAGTGAAACCAATGTGGAGGATATATCAGGGGCCTCCCACAAACTCTCCTCAGACTGAAGAAGCTACTTGGATGAGTAGCAAAACATTTCAACTTAATAAGAAAGAAGTCCAGTTGCCATTACTCAATTTTCAGATACCCTCTCCTGGATGACTGAGAATCTTCACAGTTTTGGCTGCAGTACAGCAGTGTAACCACTGTGCCACAAGGCTCATGATTGGAATGGGCTTTCAGACTAGTGCACCTGAGAAATCAGAAGCGTTTGCTTCTCTCTCTCTGTGTGTGTGTGTGCGTGTGTGTGTTTACATCTGAACCAACCAAAGAGTGATTGATCTTAACTGTGGCTAATCTTAACCCAACTTCAAATCGTGGATAAGGAAGCTGTTAAGCATCACCACGGAAATCTGTCCAAGCTCTAAACTAAATTGCAGTGAACATAAAAGGAAAGCAGAGGCTTCTAATCTCCTTATGGTTGAACCAGAAGAAGTGATGGGAGCCAACATTGCAGAAGCACAAAGTTCACTGCAGGTTATTTCCTTTGTAATAAACCACTGCTTTCAGAATTGGTCCAATGATGCCACCAGATGCAATGATGTCAGTTGAAGAAAGCAAATATAATGTGAGGCACAATTGTATGTCTCTTCCCCTGAACAATAAAAAACAGAAACAGATTGATTTTGTGATTTCTAAATGTCCTGTTCCTTTATTTAATATGAAGCCTTAGAAACAATTGAATATGCTCAATGCCCACATTTGTAATGTTAGTTTCATTTACCAATTGAATTGCACATCGGTTCTCATTAACGAGATAGATTTTATTCCCAATGCAATGAGGGTTTAATTAGCAGGACCCTGTGGATTTTGTTGATGCACAGACGGGTTCCTTTGCAGTGTGTTTTCTCTTTCTAGTCTAAGCAGCTAGCTTCCTCTTGGTAACATGCCCATGTTCATCCATGTGTAGGTTAATTAATACCTGTCTCTAGGTACATATTATTGTCATGGATTGGCATTGTTCAACTATCTGCTGAGGGTCCTGTCCACGTTGGGTCCCAGTGCCAAACCCTAGAGCCCCCAGGTGCTTGTCTGCTTGTCCCTTTTAAGGAGATTAGAAGTATCCTTCAGCTGTCTTTCCTTCCTCCCCTGCATGGATCTGTGGATTTGGTCCAAAAGGCAAAAGCAAGAAAATAGGCTGTGTTCCACCAGTGGGGGCTTTCTATAGGAATTTGCCCTCTCTTAAAACAAACAAGCTCTGGGTCCAAAACTGGTTCTTACAGGAGCACTGGAGCAATTATTCAGATATTTTAAGAAAACTGCAAAATGAAACTGATGTTCTCTAAGGCAGGGTCCCCAACCCCCGGTCTGTGGCCTGGTACTGGGCCGTGGCCTTTGCAGGACCTGACTGCAGAGACAGATCTCCAGATGCGCTCTCTCATCCACTGGCATGCGCGCGCAGGTGCCCTGCCACGAGCGCTCCCCGCCAATCCGTGCATGCACACGAGCGCTCCCCACCCACGCATGCGCAAGCAAGCACACCCCGCCCACCCGTGAGTGTGGGGGTGCCCCACGCATGGACTCCACCCTCAACCAGTCTGCGGTTTGGAAAAGGTTGGGGACCACTAATCTAAGGTATTTCCCAAGGTGGAGCAAGAAAAAGTAAGTACCGTGTTTTCCCGAAAATAAGACAGTCTTATATTAAATTTTGCTCCAAAAATGCATTAGGGCTTATTTTCAGGGGATTCCCCCCCCCATCATGTACAACAATCTACATTTATTCAAATACAGTGATGTTATCTTCTGGTTGCTGCACAATGCTGCACAATGGTGGAGGGCAGGGTTTCACTTAACTGGGCCTTATTTTTGGGGTAGGGCTTATATTACGAGTATCCTGAAAAATCATACTAAGGCTTATTTTCAGGTTAGGTCTTATTTTGGGGAAAATGGTAAATTTGAATTACAGATTTTAAAACTGGCAGAGATAACAAGAGATTTGCAAAATGTGTGATTCAAGTGCTAATGAGATATTTGTTTGAGGGGATTTTGTTTGTTTGTTTTTATTATTCAGAGTAATAATTCTGGAGGATGAACTTGAAAAGCTGGTTAGCTCCAAAGAAAACCAAGAACTAAGTACAGAGGCATATCAGGTTGTTGAAAAAAAACTAAAAATAATTCAGCCTCACATGCAGGCTAGCAACAGCTGCTGGGAGGAGGCTGTATCTCAGGTGGAAAAAATGGTTCGAAGAAGTCTGGATAAAAAGGGTATGTTGCTTTACAGTTTCTGAAACTTTAATTCTCATTGGATATCTTGGCAAACATAGAGCAATCTTCTGTGTGTGTCCACATTCCTATAGGACAGGGATGGGAATCATGCATTCTGTGGACCACGTGTTGCTCCCTCCCCCTGCTTTGGGCTCCTTTTGCAGGATCTGGGCTCTAATTTAGGGTGGGGTGGGGGAGACCATGCACAAATCTTTTTAAAAGGGCAAATTTATCAATTTTGGGAACTAAAGTTACCAGCTTTAGAATTAGTCAGGATTTTAAATCAACTTCCAACCATGGTAAATTGAAAACCTAATTAGTGGGTTATAATCCTGAGCATTTTGAAAACAATGATAATTCAACTGCAGGTGCAGGTATTATTTGACCCTGAACAAGATTTGATCAGTGGGTCAACTTATAAAATATTAGGAAATGTGTTAATATTATGCTAATTCCTGCTTTGTTTGGTTTTTATTTCTCCCTGTCTCTAGATAAACCTGAACCATCAGGTGAGAATAAGCAATGCACTATACCTTTACTACAGCCAACTGTTCACATAGAGGACAAAGATCCTATTCCTGAAGAGCAGGTAAGAATTTTTATCCAGCTCTAATAGTGTAATATTTGGATTATGCATTATGACACAGTCATACACAGATTTTCATATACAAGACTCCAGCAACATCTTTCTCTAAAAAGCCATTTTATTTGATAATGTAGAAAAATGATAATCATTAGATTCTCCAGTACTCATATAGGACGACAAGATGGTGTATCTTGAAAAAGCATGTTTTGTATAGCTTTAAGCATCACAATGTACAATACTTCCAAAGGTATCTGACATGGGCTACAATCCATTACTTCTTGGAGAAAACTGCCGTTAACTTGATAGAATTGTACAGCATTTAATGTCTTGTGTTGTTTTAAATCAATCAATATGTAGACAGAGACATAGCTTGTTTTATTGTTTAAAACCAAACATTCAAATATTCTGGGATTTCGTGGGAGAATTATATGAAATATGACCTCAAATTTGTTTCTTTAGTTCAAGGAAATATTTTCCAGGGAACAAAGTTCTTTGAGAAATTGCCCTAGTCCTAGAAATATCATAACAGAGCTTTCTTCTTGATAACCACATTTTCTAAGTGAAGGGAACTTTCATTGTTGAATTGAAGTAATGTAGTCAAAGAGGACTATGCCATAATCTTTTTTCTGAACATACAGCTGGATTCCCAGTGGACTCCAGGAGGAATTATCTGAAAGGTTACCCTTTTCAAACTTTGTAGTGTCAGCTTATTACATTTTCTCTCCCCACCCTTAGTTCACTTGCCTACTCATTTGTTCATATACCAACTGAGTATCCAGCATGTTGTTTGTTTGATTAATTTATATATAAGTTACCTATTGTCCACATGCACTACTCAAGGCATGTTTCGGCTTTCACTTTAAGGAATAACTTTGTGTTCATGTAGTAATACAGAAAAGATTGTAGATTCTCTCGGATGTTTAGGGGATCAGAAAGAAAAAAGAAACCCAATTCAGTGTTCTACAAATGTTATTCTGAGTCTGTTCAACAGCTGACTCCAGCTTTCATTTTTAGGGGCATTTCCCCCATAACATGACCAAACAGCACAATATGCCATCCCCTCATTTGTTGGTAATTGTGGTATTCATAACTGTTGTATGGAGACATTAGATGTAGGAAACTATGACTGATAGAAAAGAGCAGTCTTTTTCCACCAGTGCTTGCATAAGAACTCACAGAATGGCCACTTCTGCTTTTCTGTTTCAGCTTGCACAAGTATATAATTGGAACTAACTTCATTTTTTTTTCTGGAACAGTAGTCATGTGCAAGGTGTGTGAACATAATTTTTCATGTGGATAGTACTATTAGATCCCGCCCAGATTAAACATATGGAATTGCTATGTTCTTACATAACATACTTCTAATGTTGCTCTTAGTTCAACTCTAATAATCACTTCCAATGCAGTTATTTCTTGACACTTCATTGCATAGTTTTAATATGCATTGCTCCTGGAGAAAGGGAAGCTGAGATATTTGGATTAGCAAATAACACTGCTTAATAGTTGCATCTTTTGATTTAGTACTTTTATGTGCTGTTGATGAGACTTGTGTTAATTCAAATATCTTAGCTTCTACAGCAACTTCTCTTGACTACATTTGTCTGTATTGTAAATTTATGAAACAAAATAAATTGTGTAACTGGTGTAAATACATTTGAACACATAAACTTATTCAAAATCCACTGAATAATTTCAGAATTTATATTTTTTACCTTTTAACTGACCCTGGGATCTTAATCTTCCAATGTAAAAAAAAATGGGGATCTGCATTATTGGTATTGAATAGAAACTGATTAATGTGTAAGTCAAACGAGATGTTTGTTGGCTTTTTCCTCAGGAACTTGAAGCATATGTTGATGATAAAGATGTTGACAGCGAGTGTAAGAGAGATGATTTTTATTACTTTTCCCTGGAAGACAGGGAGAGACAAAAACATGAAAGAGAGGAATCCAAGAGAGTGCTGCAGGAACTGAAGTCTGTTTTAGGATTTAAAGCTTCAGAGGCAGAGAGACAAAAGTGGAAGCAACTCTTATTTAGTGACCATGGTAAGCATTATTATTAATATTATTAATTTCATGAAATCTGTATGCAGCTGATTTAAATTTTTTATTATCATTAGCAATACCATGGAGCACTCCATGTTATGTTGGAGAGTGAGTGCTGTGTAGGGTGGAGCTTCTCTTCCAATCTTTATTCCAGATAGTACTAACCATGCTTGTACATATAACACAAGGTGAAGGCAGATTTCAGAGCTTGGAAAATTATTTTTAAGAATGAATATATTAATGTATTGAATCCATCATCAGTTGAGCAATGGGAGGATTATGCTTACCGTGAATTATAAACTACTTCAGCATGCTGGTATAGTTATTCTTAGAAAGTGAAAATAAGTAATTTTCTATGGTTTGAATGTGGTACACAGTCTCATTCTGTTCTTCTATAATTGATTAGCGAAATCATTGTCTAGTGAAAAGCATTTCCCCATTGGGATGTATTGAAACCTGTTTAATGTGTTCCAATGGGGAAGAATCGTCGTCTAGTGAAGATCGGCCATAGGAAAGCCGCTTTGCGAACCACCAATCAGCTGTTTAAATCACTGTCTTGCAAAGCTTAGGTCCCGAAAACACCTGTTTTGCAGAGCGTGGAGGAAGCTGTTAAAATCATCGTCTAGCGGAAATCGGTTTGCGAAGCAGGGACCAAACATTGTCCAGCGAAATGCCCCCCATAGGAATCACTGTTTTGCGAATCGCTATAGCGATCACAAAAGTCGATGTCTAGCGAAAAAACTGTCATGCGGGGTAACTGTCTAGCGAGGCACCACTGTATTCACAAATTGGACAAGCTATGGGAGAGGTGAAGTCTTTAATTACCAAAAATCTCCAAATTAGTGGCATCACTGTTCTGCAGGCATGATTACAGCAACAGGATTTCAGCCATAGTTTTGAAACAAGAGTAAATGGTCAGGCTTTGTATATAAGGGAAACTCTATGGTTTATTGCACTTAATAAATTAATGAACAAATAGACTATGAGAGGTTACTGTCATCTGCCTGCCATCTTAACCAGATCAGGTAACTATCTAGTTGAAATGACAGTAGAGTAAGTAATTTCATGCTCATTGTGTATGTAGGAATACTCCAGCATTTTCTTTATATTCCTCTTCATGCTTGAGAAAGGTGCCTTTAGTTTGTGTAATGGCTGTTACTTAGTATATCCAGCATCTGCTGTATGAAATGTGTGTTTTGTATTTTCACACTAACATTCATACAACTTCTATAACACGGTCATCAGTTTAATTAGCTTAACTTTAAAGCAAAGTGATTATGTAGTAGATTATTTTGAGTAATCATTTCATTTTTGCCTCTTAGCTGCAGTGAAACCTTTGCTTTCTCCAGAGCCAGAAGGATCCATAAATAATTTGGGATTGCCTAATAATTCAGACATAGAAAAACAGGACTACAGCAGAAACCATCCCTTGGAAGAAACTGTCTCTAACCCAAAAGTAGAAGCCACAGACGAAGGGAAAGGTAGGACGGAGTACTTATCCCATGGAGCAAGCAAAACTGACATTGATGCTAATGGTGACTCTCCAGAGGTTGAAAAAAGAACATGTTACCAGTGCAATGGTGAACGTGAAGAATGTGAGCCTGCTGATGGGGATGGTGTGACTGTTGTGGAGTCACCTGAGAAAAATGTGTTACATTCTTCCCTTAAACAAAGGGTGGCTGAGTTCCATAGATCAACAGATTTCAGTTTCACATCAGGTCTAGCAGCACAGGTTGCTGCCAGGTCACTCACGTTTATGAGCATGCAAGAGCAAACATTTGGTGATGAGGAGGAAGAGGAAATTCAGGAGAATGAAGACTTTTTTGAAAAACACAAAGGAGAGGTAAATGACTCTGAAAATGAAAGGTTGTAAACCTCACCTAAACTTTGCCTTGCTTATTTGAACACCACAGAAGTTTGCGGGCTAACAAAAGTGACAAATGCAAAGATTCAGAATTCAAATATGGGATAGCAATGATAACATATCCCTTCTAAAAAGCATGGTATAAAATGGGCTTCACTAGTCTTCTGATGTATATGTACAGCCAACTATAAGCCCCAGACTAAAGGTGTATAGTACAGTTCTTATAGGTACTGTGGATGACTGTGTCATTTCTTGTAATATTTTACCTTATTTATTTGTATTATAAGAAAATTTCCTAACAGGAAAATAAAATTGGTTAACTGTCATTTCCTAAATGCTTATCATACCTACACCAGTGATTACAGTATAAAACTTTTAATGGCTCCTTAACAAGAATAGAAACAAATACAATGTGATTCTGCTTGTAACCTTCATTTCCACAGTTATTTTTGTTTGTATAATCACATACTGTACCTTGTGTTCTTGCCCATCTGTTGATTCATCAGGCTCTCAGCTTAGGGTATAGATTTCTCAGTTTAAAAATGAAAGCCATAGTTTGTGTATCTTGGGATGTTAATTAAACTAATACAGAATTCTTAACAGTGGATTACAAAAACAGCTGGGACTTTTTGGGAAGGGAAAATGGTATATGAATTTCTGGAGAAGAAAGAATAATGTAAATCATTAATGTGTTTACAGAGATTTCTCCGTAGTCCAGCAACTCCCAGGTTGTTTCTTATGATACCGCTGCAGACCACCTTTTTAACAGATAGGAAAAATTAAACAAACAAGTTCTAAAAAGTCTTCCCTCTGGTATTTTTTTCTACTCATTTTCTCATGTTGATGAAAACAACTCAAATTTTGTAATGATTGGTACAGTATTCAGTGACATTTAATTTCTGTTCATGCCTTGCTTTTGCATTGGATTGTATTCTTGAGAAAATTTTCCTCAATGATAATTCAAAGTTTTCTTGCTCTATTGTCTCCTTTTCGGTCTGCTCAGCAAGTGTGTTTCCATGTGTTCCACTTCAGCATGTCCTCTTTTATCATTAAAAAAAAACTGCTTTATCTCTTCTGACTGCTAAAGGTGATGTAGGACAGCTATTAAGGTATTACACAAAGGGAGGCAGGTCTCAAGAGCTGCAGTATATGAAATGGCCATGAATTTGACCATCTTGGACTTAAACATAACAATACATTTAATTACTGTATCTACAATATTATTGAATACTGAGAGATCAAACTCAGAAAGATTTTTGCTATTTTTCTTTTATTTTATTTTCTGATTCAGTTTTCCTTCTTTATGAAACAGAATAAAATGTCAGAATCTTATAGCATATATTGTCTGAATAATACGTAGACCACAGTATTAAAACAGATTATAGGCCTATTCAGGTGTTCAACAAAAGGGTAATCCTAATCCATGAACAAAGATACCAGGCTAGATCAGCCCAGCACTAGCTCTTGTGTCTGGAGGGCTAAATGTGAAAGGCAGAGTAGTCTTTGCTTGTGAGAGCTCTCCACCTGATTTGAACCCTGAAAAACCAGGGCCCCTGATTGCATGGAGAAGCTCCTCTATTCACATTTAGCTGTCCAAACAGCTAGAACCCTCACTGGACAAAATCCTGCTGCATAATTTTGCATAGGCATAACTTGGATTGGGCACTGCAATCGTTTAATTAAAACCTTCCTGTCCCCATCCTTCTAAGTTCCAAGGCTCACTAGGACTTCCTTTTGCTCTAGGGAAGCATTTAGGAGTCTTGGGATGGGGAGGAGAAAGCCTTTAAAAATAAAACATTGTTGCTAGGATTGGGTCTGCAGGCAGCAATCTGGTAGAATTTTTTATGACACTGGTACCCAGTGTGTTGTAGTGCATAGAGTGGTGAACTAGGGCTCTGGAGATCAGGAACTGAATCCCCTTTCAGCCATAAAACTGACTGAGGTGGGGGTATGGAACTGTTACAGCCTCTCCTTAAATATCTCACTTACCTTGACTATTAAGGTCACTATAAGTCATTTCTAACCGGATGGCACATCATAAACTAACTCTTCCCAGTCCTAAATCTGCCCAAGAGAGTCCTAGGGAGCCAAGGACAGGAATAGGAAGGTACTTTAAAAATGCTAACTTAATATGAGAAGGACATTTGTACTATCTTATACCACTTCAATAACTGACTTCTATGTTTAAAACACAAAAGGCAGAAATTCAGCTGTATAACATATTAACTTGCACTAGCAGGTCCAGTGAATAAGTGGGGATTTGATGAGTCAGTTTCTTTGTAAGCTCCAATTATTCACATGGCTTCCTTGTGATGTACTTTAGCATAGTAAGCTGCAACTAGAATAAGCGTCTTTGAATCAATGGAATTTATGAAGGAGTTGATTCACCAAACCCCCTCTAATTCAGTAGACCTCCTTTAGTAGAACATTGCACTAAGTAACTGGATTGCTGTCAAAGTATTTCCAGAGTAATTGTATAATGTACAGTAATCTGACTTGAGTCTTGCATGGTTACTCTACTCAAATCCCATGTTGTGAAATGATGAAGGCATACTCAAGATTTCTTAACATTTCAACCTAACTTGTTTTTAAACATTCCTGTTTAGGAATTCTTGCTTGAGGTTGTGAAAATCAGAATCTCTAGTCCAGCATTTTTTGACCTAATTGAAGGCAAAAGAAGTCTCACATATACTAAGTTCTTCTGTCTCTTTGCTATAGTTTCCAAGAAGACAACACATCACCTTATTCTGTATCTGATCTTGACCTCTAAAATAAATCAATTACCTTAGGAGAGAGTGTCATATCTTGGATGTATAAATGTCATATATAACTTAGGAAATAAAATTATAACTTAATATATTTATAAAACGTAGAAGTACAACTGTTTTTGTTTCACTGAAATAATTTCAAAAATACTTATCATTACTATTATTACATTTCTATAATGCTTTTGTGTTCCTAAGTAATATGCATTTCCTTGCAGTTATACCCTGTGACACTACAGTCTTAAACAAGCTTATTGGGGACTAAGGATAAATATTACTGAATTTGACTAGACACGTACAGGAGTGTCTACTCAGGATAAGTACTACTTATGTCTAAGTAGAAATGTACATGAGTAAGTTAGTTTTTGCCAACTAAAAAAATAAAAATCAAAACAAAAATTGAAAACATTAATATAGACTATTCTGTTATTTGCACTTACTATAGCACTGCCATGTAGAAATGAAAGACGCCCGCTCTTTTTAGAGAGATTAGAAAACAAACAACACTCTTAATAAATTTGGGACGAGCATTATTATACGTTACACTAAGAAAGGAATTATTCACCAGAATATGTATTTGTTTTATTTATAGGCATCTTTCTCCCAATAAACAGACTCAGAATAGCTATTATAATATGTATATTGTCGTAGATAATACTATCATAACTGTAGACACAAGTAGCTCTCCTTAGTCTGTTTTTACTTATATTCCACTCCATCTCAGTAAGTAATGTTAAATGGTGCAGATACACAGACTGCTGCCATTCCAGATGCTCTGGATTACAATGTTCACAACCCCTTTTCATTGGCAGTGGCCAATGGGAGTTATTGTTAGAACTTCTGGACAGTTAAATTGCTGTACTGCAGCCAAAACTGTGCTTATGACCTGGCGTTCAATCCCAGGTAGCCGGCTCAAGGTTGACTCATCCGTCTATCTTTCCGAGGTCGGTAAAATGAGTACCCAGCTCACCGGGGGGGGGGCAATGTGTAGCCCAGAGAGTGCTTGAAGTGCGATGGGGAACACTTTGCTTTTTCTTCTTCTTTTTTGTGGAGGGTACGATACTATAACTCAGAAGGTGATAGTTTCTTAAAATTGTCCCCCCAATACCTTTTTTCTTCCTCAGTAAAGAAAGCCTGCTGAAGTATTTTCTCCAAAATCTTCCTCCTATATCCCCCTTACTTCATATTTACTACTTAAGATTTTCTGTCCAATACAATTATCACCTTATGTTTTATGATAGGTTTGCAGACAATGAATGTTATTAGTACATCAGAGATCCACTGTGGCCTGAAAAGATGTCCATGGTAGTCAGAGACTGAAACTGGGCTTCTCAATTTGAATGCTTGTGTATTCCAGTGCATGCAGCTTCCCTGTATAAGTTGAATAGTTCAAAATCACAGGAACTTTCTTTCCTGGTATATTAAAAAAAAAACCCAAACAGAATTGTAAACATATAACAGTGATCTAGATTATACAAGAATCCTAGCATGTACAGGGGATGCATCATGGAGCTCTGAAACTGTACTTTAAACTCCCCAGTCTTCAAAAAGTTTCCAGGAAGGGAAATCTCAAAAAATCATCAGGTCCTTTCAATATTTCATTTGGGGTAATTTTAAAGAATACTCTCCTCAACAAGAGAGGGGAATTTTCTTGATGGAAATTCTCAGCAGTTTCCGTTTGGACCATGTCCCTTTCTGATCTGTAATTCCACCTTGTTGGGCATAACATGGTAATCATATGAGGGTAGTAACCCCACACTGCATCAGTTGCATTCAGTTCAGCAATACAAAGAATCCCCCAGAAATCCCGCTCAGAGTGGTATAGATTTATCAGATGGGCGGAATATAAATGAAATAAATAAATAAATAAATACTATAAGGGTACAAAATTGTGTTTGAAAAGGTTTGAAAAGGTCTGAAGGCTCAAAACAACTGGCTCTGCAGCATGGGACACAAACCTACGTCAGTTTTTAGAGTACATGCCATTTCTTTCACTGATGTTTATTAACTATGGGAATGCTGGATGGTCTTGAGCTAATGATTCTCTGCAAACAGCTGGCCAGCAAGCAATTTTCTGTTTCTGAGTTTTAAGTTAACCCTGTACTGGGGGCAGAGCAAGTAGACATGCCTAAAACAAAGAATGCATGCTATTTAAAATATGCACATATGGTATTTATATATCATTGGCTTTAATTCTTCTCCCATGTTTGTGTTTTGGGTTGTCTCAAAACAACAAGCTTTTAATACCCTCCTGTGCTTATGAAGTCACTAGGAAAAATGACAAAAAGCCTCAGCTCATCATTTTTGTATCTGTTAAATTTTTATTCTAAAAGATATTTCTTTTATCTGTCTTACCTGTCCATGGCATAACAAATGCATCTTGAAACATCATCTGAAATGGTTGCTTCAGTGTATTCAGGATAACTCTGCAGACTGTTTTCAAGAGAAATGGAAAGCAGAAACAAGGAATATAATGAAAGTAGACCAGCAACTATAACAGAAATCAAGATGGACTGTAACACAGATGCAACTATAATATATATCAGAACAGTAACATTTTGACTCTGATGTTGCCATCCCATGTTGCCCCTTATACTTAATAACAAAGTTTGTTTAAAATATCCATTATATACTCCTGTGGCCGGAAAATGTTTCGCCTTAGCTGTAGAATCAGAAAATCATTTTGCTATATTTTTTGAAGTTGAGAGGTCAGATTCCTAGCTGTCAAAAAACAAAACAAACTATAACTTATTCTGGGAGTGTAAAACCCAGTGCACATTTTACTCATCTAGAGTTTGAAGGACTGTATTTTTTTTTATCTTTTAGGCTGTTATCTATGGATATTTAGAGTCGACCTTTGGTCTAGATGGGCGGGATAGAAATCCAATAAATAAATAAATCTATTTAGTTGTAAGTCCCAGTAAAAATAGTGAGACTTTCTTCTCACTCAACAATGCAACTATGTGCATGTTTCTTGTACAGTATTTATTGGGCCATAGCAGTCAGGTTCTTAGTCAACTGGTACTGGGAGTGCTGGTACTTTCTGGCTGTAGGATACCTTTCCACCTTTTAACAGCTCTTGCAACTTTAATGCCTATTTCTAGTTTTGCTTTTGATCTTGAAGATTCATTTGGCCCATTGATTGTTTTAGCTGTTCTCACAGCTGTAAATGTTGCATGCATGTATTTTAAACTAGTATATCAGGTAATGGAAATACTTTTCATTGATACTATTTTCTGTTTCCTCAAAGCATTTAATCTACTTGAGCTCACTCTCACAACTGTCCTGTGTAGCAAGCAGCCTAGTGTGATCATGTCCAAATTTTAGAGTGGTCTATAAGAACAATAAGGCAGTCATGTGCAGTCCCACATTTCATTTTGCTTTATAACTAGCAAACTTATTATTCATTTATACATCAATCAACAATTAATCTCTTGGTAAATGCTTTTCTTTTATTGTATGTTTTATGCATCCAAAGGTTTTGGAAAACTAAGGAGGTGGAGAGGAAGAAAAAGGCAAAATGCTGAGTCACTGTAAAGACTAGTTTATTTCAGTATGTGGACTGAACATTAAAATCCACTTCCTCAGGCTCAACCAAAGTAAAAACCTTCTCTTTGACACCAAGTGAATTAAACTTTGTCAATTTCACACATCTAGTGAAACTAACATTCATGTGATGGAGCCCAACAGGGCACCTTGAGGAGCCCTTTCCAAAGAGTTTCATGTACTTTTATCTGAACTATTCCAACACACATTTCTTCCATAGATGATCCTTAGGTTCCTCCATTTTGTACTTACTATTCCACTAGCTCAATTTTTTTGTTTACTGTCAACTTTTCTACACAATGGTACCCTTTTTTCAATATACAGGAAGGAGGGGACACTAACGCTTTATCAGCAGTGCAGAGTTTTTGTCTATTAATATAGATACTTGTTTATAACTTGACTTTCCTCTGAAGATGAATTTCTCACTGAATTATTTTGGCAATAGCTAGTTTATGCAGTGTACAGTGCTGGCTCACTGTGGCGGGCACTTTACTAATGAACATTGGTTATTCCTGTCTATATACCTGCCGAACTGAAGTAAGACTAAGTGTGTATTATTTTTCCTCATGCAGTAACTCCACTGGACATCTTGATTCAGTTGCAATATTAATAGTTCTGCAGCAGTCCACCATAACTTGTTTCCAGGCCTCTGCAGAGAGTGCTTATCACACTAAATGAAAAGATTGTTAGCCAAGAACTCTAGGGGTTGATCAATAAAGAACAGCCAGCGGCAGCTCACAAAAATGAAGAACATTGGTAACACCAGAATATATAATCCTCTTTGATGCTTGTTCCTATGGAGATGTCACAGGTATCTTTTAAAGGTACAAAGGATTGGCTGTGGTGGCACCTTTTCTGGCAAACACAATATTGCAGGCAAATCTAAAAATGAATCATACCTTTAAAATACAGTTTCTTACTATGTATGTACAATACATGAAGTTTGGTATCACTGTAACTGCCATGTCTCCGTCCATGAAATCTTCAGCATTTTGGTTTGGTGAGGTACCATACTTTGAAATATCAGCTGGTGAGCTTTAATGTGCTCTCCAAACCACAGTTCATAGAAGATAGGTACACAGCCTTCCATCCTTAGTTTGCCAGCAAAGGTAGCAGTCTGACCTCTATTGTACTTTTAAAAGTAGTTTGTCTCACACTGTGGCAGAGGTTTCTAAACACCTCAACAAATGCCAAGGTTCCTTAGGATGGAGCTATGACAATTAAAGTGAGTCAACTCTGTAAGGTAGGGAAAAAATCTGTACACTGCGTCTCAGACTGTGTTGGCCTCTATGGTCATGGGAAAGGAGCAAATTTTCCCTTGCTTGAGGGAACAAAACCAAACCTGTGCGATTGCTTGTCAAATTTCTCACCTGAATGTGACTTTTGAGGAACCTCTCTGTTAAGAGTGGAATTTAGCATTGAATTATGACAACATAATGCTGCTGGGGAGGAATAGTTTGTTGCTGAGATTTCACACAGAAGGGCAAGCCATTTTCAGTATACTGTACTCTGTTTAATTTTCTGGTCTTCGGCCATAATAAACTGAAACTCAAACAGTAGGTGAATCTATATTGTGTTGAACTTGGCTGCTTATTTTATATGACATGTTTCATGAAATTAAAGTACACTTTCTGTCTTCTTTTAATCACACCTCTTGGCCTGATTTGATGCTTACAAGCTTTTTACTTTTCCATCTTCCTGTATTAGTTTCAAATGTTTGACACTTTTGTCAAAGTGTACAGGCAAATACAATTATGCTTTGAGGATAATTCTTCCAATGTGAACTGTCAGTCTTTCCTGTGCAAGGAATTATACTTGTTTCCTATGCTAACAAGAATGTATGAATACATATGAAGACTTAAGATTGTAGCTTGTAAACATGTAAAAATGTCTTTATTGTTTCTGAACTTCTCTATTCTTAAAGTGCTTGACTTCTATAAACTGTACTTTTATATGACTTTCTGAATTTCTCCTTCCTCTCATTAAAAGCTCTACTTATCTCTTCTTTCTGTTGTCTGATGATGTCAAATTCATTTTTTACGAGCACTTCTCACTAATATAGTTTTATACAAAACTTATGCCACTTCAATCCATACATTTTATCCCAGAAGAATCGCAATTCTCTGGCTCAGCATTTACAAAAGGTTCAGATTTCTTTTCCATTCCTATATTGAGAAAGCTTTTGATCACACAGAGAGCATGGAAAAGTGGTTGATATGCTGAAATGACAACTGATCTGCTTTTTGGTGGTCATTAGCGCATGCTCCCACTTTAAACTTCAGTATCTCAACTCTCTTATTTTTATCCAACATATCACAAGAGCAATTTTTGTATTCAGATCACTTGCTTAAACTACTTTTGGTTTATAGTGGACTAAAGGATCAATGCGAACGTGAGGTTTTAGTGGTCAGCACAAATCTGACAAGGTTTGGATGTAGCAATTTTCCTGTTATGATTTGCCATATGTACTTATTTTCCATATAAAGTGGTTATTGAAACGTTATTCAGTGGCCAAAATCCTCTTGTGTTGCTATCTATGCAAAAGGCATAACTTCTGGAAGGGTCTTGTCTCAAGTTAAGGAATCTTTGTGGACAGTATCTGTTAAACACTGAGTAGCAAGACATCTGCAACAGTGTCCACAAAGATACAATTCACCTCCAGATGTTACACCATTTGGGTTACACTAACATAACTAGGCAAGATGGTTTTGGCCAGTGAGTTGATTATACAGCTGTGAAGCCAGATGTTGAGAATTCAGTTTCCCACCGTTGCCTCTTGGCAGAAGAGACAGCTCTGGACAACTTGTACAGTCCCAGGTTTCTCTGAGAAGAAAGGAATGGTAAACTACTTCTGAGTACTCTATCTAAAAAACCCTGGAAAAGGTTGTCATAAATTGGAATTGATAGCATGTAATTATTATTTACTTGGGGTTATGCATAGCATACATCTCTTCCAACACCACATTTCAAATATATATTTCCAATATGGTACTGCAACCATAATATGGTGTAATAAAATCCATATTCAGATGTGCTCCAACAAGCCATACTTAAAATAGATCCCTCCTTTTTGTCCAGAAGCTCACTGTCTTGTATTGGGTTGGGGGTGGGAGCCTGATGAAACGAAAATTCTTTTTACCTAATAATTAAGTTAAAAACTGAAGCAAATCTTTCTAACTTAATCACTGTGTCAGAGGAGATGAGGATAATGTATGTGAGCCGAAGACTCATTCCCCTTAGTGCCAAACTATACAGTTGTTTGCTTTTGTCAGTTGCAGCCATAAACCTTCAGTTTGCTGTCATTCCCTAATAAAGTCACTCATTAAAATTAAGAACCTCCAAAGATGCAGATACAAGACACCCAATACTAGTTAGACATTTCTCATGTATGTTATAATTTACCAAATTAAGCCTGCAATCCTAATGAAAAACTTGTTTGAGAACTGCACATATGATTATTAAGCTAGTTTGCTATCCTTTTTCTAAGGGAAAAAGAAAATAATATTTCTAAACCATAACCAATCTGTGCAGGCATCATTTGCACTCTTTTCCTGCTGCCTTCAACTTTCCCCAGTATTATTGTCTTTACCAGTGGCTCATGTCTTAAGGATATAGTACAATAGATTCAGTTTTGTCATTTTCACTTCTGTAGAGTTCAGCCTTGATTTAATCTAGAATTTATTTCTTGGTGTTTCTGGCAGTACATGGTACTATCCATAAAGCTCTCCTCCAATGCCACATTTCAAATATGATACATTTCGATTATGGCATATTTCAGATATGGCACTGGAACCATAATATATTAAAATCCATATTTAAAATTTTGGGGCATAGAAACTGTGGACCACAAGAATGCCTATGTAGAGATAATACCTGAATCTATAATCAGTAGGTAAATAACAGCCCCTGTTATAGCTGCTCCTGGTTATGGCAATTTGTTTTTGTAGGTCTTTTGCTGATTTGCTGTATCCATTGAAAATATAGTTGGCAAAGAGTAGCTTTCCTTGAATATACATCTGTTGAAAATAAAGACCAGAATGCAAGCAGAATAAATAACTCGGAAAAATGACATTTGGGTTGACACCTAAAATGACCACCAAGTAATTTGGGTATTAGTGCAAGAACAGATTAGGGCAATGCTTCCCAACCTTGGGTCCCCAGATGTTCTTGAATTAAAACTCCCAGAAGCTGTCACCAATAGCAATGCTAGCCAAGATTTCTGGGAGTTGTAGTCAAAGAACATCTGGAGATCCAAGGTTGGGAAGCACTAGGTTAGGGTAATGCTTTTATTGGCCCACCAAAATAAGGGCTTGTAAGGGGAGTGGATTAACTGGGGTTTTTCCCCTGAATGTTCATGTGAAAAACAAGGAAGATAAGTGGGCTTTCTAACTGAGGATGGGAATATATGTGATTTCTAAAACAAGTTGCTGCCAGAAAGGGGCAAAATGTTCAGGGTGTGTTATTACCAGCAAAAAAAAGTAATGTGAAGAAGGTCCTTAAATTCTCCACTGGCTATTTTCCCCCTACAATCTCTCCTTTTAGACAGCCTTTTCTGTTACTGGTTCACTTCTAGTGTGAGCCCAGATTGCTGGAAGACAAGAAGTCAAAGCCTTCAATATCCTTACCATCATCACTGCTCCTTCACTAGAAATTATCTCTGCCAATTAAACTCTGTTTCAGATTATGCTATCACAGTTCTAAAAATCTGACTGGCAACTTAAAAAAACACCATTCCCCTTGATTTGGGGAGGGGGTTTCACAACATCAACAGGTCTGGTGATAAAGTTTTTTCTCTATGATTCCTCAGGATGCTGACCAGCCTACCAAAAAAGTGGTAAATTGGGGAGATGAACCCACAACCAGAAGTGGCCATCAGTGCTTCTGGGTAGAACAGCCATAGCCTGTTGTTACGAACAGAAGGTAATCTTAACATGTATCTTCAGCTTTCTAGTATATTAAACCACGTTGAATTTATAACAGTTTCCAGAGTGTTGTCTGTCAGAGCATGCTGACAAAATTAAAGGGGTGGAAATTGTGAAACAAGAGATGCCGAAAAGCAAAGGACAAAATATTGTCACAACTTAGAGACTAACAGATTTGTTACAGTGTGAACCTTTGAGGATCACAACTAATTTCCTCAGTGCTCATTCTATGTCATCAATGTTTACACATATGCTCATGGTGGTGGCAGCTGTGATCAAGTGAGGATACAAACAACAAAGTGACACCAACAAAATTGTACTATTCCCCTTAATTTCTGCCCCCATTCTATCAATCATGGCCACAAGGAAATGTAAAAATAGCAACACACAATATTTTCAAAGCAGTAGTAACTACCTACTATATATTATGTCGTTCTTTCATGATTCATTTAATCTGTTTCAACAAGCTATTGTTATAATCTGAAATCACCTATAATATTCTCTATTTGCTAAAAGAGCATTCTATTTTGCAGAGATTTCCTGGATTCAGTTGTCTTGAATATCTGAATAGATAAGTAATGGCTTAGGATTTTTTTCCAGTGTTTTAAAATGATAAATGCCTTTTGACCCCTTAGTTCTTCCTATTTAGTTTCTTTAATTTAAGCACCCATATTTGTACAGAGATACAATCGAGCATCCCCCTATTTAATATTGTAGAAAAACCTCCTGCATTGTTAAAGACAATTTAATAATGATTATTTGCAACACTATCAAGCTAATCATTTACATTACAACACTATCAAGCTAATCAGTCTGGGTGCTGTCAACTATTTTTATTTTACTTTTGGGAACAGCAATAAATCTGACATGCATCTTTCACAAAGGTCAAGAGAGAAAGTTCTAGGGTCATGGCAAACATTAAGAGTGTAAAACAGTCTTTCATTATGACTAAAACTAGAAAAGTAATCACAACCTATTTAGGTACTCCTTCAAACTTCAACAAAATCAAGAAGTGGAACTCAAAAGGGGGAAAGCCCATATTAATATTTTTTATGATTTGAGTTGTCTTTCAATGTGATTTGACTATCAAAATATAAGAACAGAATATATGAATAGGCACAACATAGATTCAAAACAATTCTGTGTACTCACCCAAAATTCTTATTGATTTCCATTGATAAATCCGGTTTTATGCTCCTGATAGTATCAGCGCACTCTCTCCCTCCCTGAAACTAACCCCACTTTGGAAGGGTTCACCAGCCCTTAAGTCAGGTCTCTGGGCTGTGTGAAGGACTGCAGGGATTTGGGGGGGGGGAGGGGAGAAGAGATGACCCTATTTTGTTTCCACAAGTGACGGAAACTCCCAATTCCTGGAAATGCACCTGTGGAGACTCCCCAATAAAATGAAAACAAGAACAAATGATAATATTTATTCTTTTTTGAGGTTGACAGATTTTGATATCTAGCAATAATCTCTAACTCTGCAAGAACCTTAACTTGCAACATCATACAAAGGGAGGATTATTACTCTGTGAAAGTAAGATGATATTGCCCACCATATTGGCAGGAGCTGCTAATGTAGTGGGCAATATAAACAATATCTGGAGTTATCTTAAAACATTACCTTCATGAAGCTATCTAGAACAAAATCTAGTCTTGGAACTGTAGCAAAACTTACAAAAGCATCCTGGGCTTGTGGGTATTGGCAGAGGGAATATATTTTAAGATATATCTTTTTATTATTATTATCTGTTAGGAACTGGAATATAATTCTTAGAGGCAACAAATGTTCATAACTAATTTCTACCAAATGAATTCTGTGCTATTTGCTATATAGCATAGAACATACATATGTACTACAGCCACTCAACAGTTTGACAATTAAGCCTCTAATGTTAATTTTAACACTTTAATTAGAAGTTATTCTCTTGGGTCATAGCCCTCAGGACCCTTAGCCAGTGTGGCAAGGAGTAGTTTCTTAAAAGCAACTTTTCCAAACTCTGCATGACAGATTTGCTTAAGTTTTAAATGTTACGTTGGAATCATTACTTTAGGGTTTTTTTTCCCCACTAGATTTTTAATTTGCAGAAAACCACAAAATTGCTAGATTGGTTGACAGTCTCAACAGCTGTAGGTCTGTCTTTATGGCAGAAGCAGGGGAAGTGACTTTTATTATCATTATACTGGTATGTACTGTTAGTAACATAGTGTATTTGCATAGTCACAATAACCATGGATAAACATATGTACCATTTGGAACCCCCTGCCTCACTAGATTGGAACTGGATGTGCTTCAGGTTTAGTTATTTTGAATATAATCTAAGCCCTAAAAAGGAAAAGTGGCTAAGGGATCAAAATGGAAGTGTTTTTTTAAAAAGTAGGTTATTGTGATACTGTATCTCGCTCTAGGTGCACAAGGGCCCTCTGCTGGGCTAATTGTGACATTACAACAGAGTCCTGTGGCATCTTTAAATTGACATAGGTTTTCCCAAACATAGACCACTTCTTCAGATGTATCTCTTACAGGGCCTACCAAATTTATTAGTCTTAAAATATTGTTGTTTTTGCTGCAACAGACTAACATGGCTCCCTCCTTGGGTTATTCTGACATGATAGTTTCTCTGCATTTATACTGTAGGTTGCTATATTCCAGGGTTGTTTTTTTTAATTTTTATTTTTTATTTTTGCATCCTAGAATATGAACACTGGATTTACTATGAAGCATCAGTCTCCTCGAGGAACAGTGTTCATGCTTCACTCTGTTTCCATAGGTCAGGTGTACAGTTCAAACACACGAGTGCTCTCTAGCATCATCTCTCTTTCTGTATGAGGAGTTCCCTGCATCACTGAATTACAGGAAGGATAGGTGTAACCTACCAAAACCATGCCAGGAGCAATATTATGCCTTTTCACTAATAATGAACCACAGTGTCCTGTAAACTCATCTGCTGAGCTGATATCGTATTTGAGCAGGCGAAAAGAGTCCAGGCGACCCTAGGGAAACCAAGACAATGTAATTACAGGAAAAGGTCAACGAGAAAACCCGCCCCACAATAAATCTCATTCCATCAGCTGCCAGAGCACAGTGTTCCCACTGAACAAGTCAGCATTAAAGAAATTGAATTATTCAGCTCTTTGCCACTCAGGCTGGCAACTGGCCCAAGCATATTTATCTTAGGGAGGGGCATTACTAATTGTCAGAATAATTCCACACATCTGCCTTACCAAATAATATGTTTATGAATCTATCACTAGTGCTAGTTTAGATTTGGCACATATAAGAAAACAAAGTGTACACTCAGAATAAAGTTTCCCTTCCAGTTTCCCAGGGCAACCCAACACCCATCCATCTGGGAATAAGTCCCATGAAACTGGATAGGATTCAGTTTTGAGGAGCCCCACAAAGGGTTGCCCTATATTATCATGTAATTCTACAGACTGGGCAGAAAGAAGTCCAAGCTCTCTAATCTGTACTTGTTGGAAGTCAAAAATACCCATTCCTGCTTCTGCCCCAGCCAAGTCTGAGAAAGGCCCACCTGGGTGCAAGGCATACTCCTGTTCTTGTTCTTCCTCTCATAGAGCTGCTCAAGGTGCTCATCCATCCGAGGGTCATAATTTGCTGCTCCCAGCGATGCCGTCACCCAGACCACAGTGATTTGCTCTGGAGAAGATGCCTGGTTGTTAATCAGGTGGTCATACTCCAGGTCGGTCACAGATGGAATCTGATGGTTGCTGCACCTACATATCTTGGCTTCCTCTCCCAGCATGTTTCTTTGAAGGACCACGGGGCAGGCGGTGTGGGCTAAAGACTGTGCCATGGAAGACCTGCAACATGAGAGAGAGCCGTACGTAGCACAAGGAGGAAGGGCTGAAAGAAAGGTTTATGAGTTTACACCTATCCTATTTTCCTGACAAGGTATCTGCTTTCCAATTGATCCAAAAGCCCACTGCAAAATAATATTCCTCTCAAGTTACTTCAATTGCCCACCATTATTCATCTTCACAGTTTCTCTATGCATTTTTTCTCTAGCGCAGTTTTTTCTTTGACGGTGCTCCAGGTGTTGTTTTTTGCCATTAACTGTAGCTGCTCATTTGTTGTTGTTTTTTCAAAAAAGAGAAAAGAAAGCTCCTTCTCTTCTTTTTCCCACCTCCTCTTTGTGTTTTCTTCCTTGTTGCCTCCTATGCCTGGCATAGTTTTCTTCTTCCTGGCCATATTCATGCTATATTGGAGCCTCGTGGCGCAGTGGTTAAACCGCTGCACTGCAGCCCAAACTGTGCTCACGACCTGGGGTTCAATCCCAGGTAGCCGGCTCAAGGTTAACTCAGCCTTTTATCCTTCCGAGGTCGGTAAAATGAGTACCCAGCTCGCTGGGGGGGGGGGCAATGTGTAGCCTGCATAATTAACTTGTAAACTGCCCAGAGTGTGCTTGAAGCGCTATGGGGGCAGTATATAAGCAGCACGCTTTGGTTTCTTGCTTTTGCTTTATATTGGCTGAAATTCAGTAGTAAGTTTCAACCAGGGTAAGCCCATGGCACAATGGGAAATTTGAAATTTGAGAGTCAACACTTAAGTAAGCTCCACTGATTCAAAGGGCCTACTCTTATGACGTTTTACTACTGGATTGTGTGTGTGGTGGGAAGGGCAGTGAAAGAACATGGGAGAGAGAACGGCCAGTGGTGTGGAGGGTGGCCTCATCTTATTTTGCCTTTGGCTCTTCCAGCTCCTGGCATCTGCCCCTGGAAGGTTGCCTGCCAGGCAATAGGGCCCTTGCAGCAAAGAAAGCTTTCTCACCTGTCTTCCAAACATTGGTTTAAGTCACACATAAAAAGTCTTAACAAATATTTGAAGTAGTTCATAAAGTCTGGGTAATGTTCAGCTTTACCTTGTTTTTGGAAGCTTTGGCGAAAACTTTTTGTTATGAGCAGTGTCTACCTGCTTTATTTCTGAACTGCTGCTCAGTAAATGAGGAGCTCTGGAAGAGACAATGACCACACATATGATATAACTTTAAATGCCAAAGAAAGAGACACACAACAACTGTTCTGAAGTTTGGAGATTGCCTCTGCTGTTGCACAAAGCCCATTTCTAAAGTCTATTTCATACATTTTCATCTCTTGCAGATACAAAGAGTATACTTCACATGCTAGGCATACTTGCAGAGCAATATAAGATTCAGCCATATCGAAGTGGTTGCCATTCCACTCTGATAACCTATCATTCAGGCCTAGCAATTGTATGGCACAAAAGCCATGTAACCAGAGAGCACAATTCCCGGTTAACAGGCCCCAGCGACTATAGCTGCCTTTTAGAAACAGAGAAGCAATGTTGCAGTCTTCTCACATCTCTTGTTTTGATTTTTTTTCTACATTTCTTTTCTTTTGCAGTATAAATGTGTGTGTGTGTTTTTTAAAGTACTTCCAGACTTTCCGAAAAGAAATATGAAACTGCCCGTTCTGAATAAAGGAGGGAACTGATCCTTAGAAACATAATCTGCAGAATGCTGAAGTGCTTGCTGTTTGTTGCAAAGTCATTTGGTACGTAGACAGAGGCACATTTGACTTTCTCCGCTTTTACCTGGAAGACTCAGATGGCATGTCTTGTGTTAAGCCGGTGCGAGTAGCAGAGTAGAAAGGAGGAAGATTGTGTGACAAAGCAGCCTCGTAGCCTTTGTTCTTCCCCAGGAAAGCACAGGCAGGTTGTGTTTTGCATTTTTTGCCACCCCTCTGAGGGAAAGTTGAGCTTTTGTGTAGATGTGGTAAGCTGATTCCTGAAATACAGTACGCCGCCAAAGTCGACCCAGGTATTAAAACAGAAGCAAGGATTTGATCTTCAGCCTGATTCAGGCTGACTGTGGAATTTAGTCAACTGAGTGCACAATTCCACAATACAAGCACCAAAAGCAAACTGAAATGTACCCTCCAGCATAAATTCATGTATAGGAGCAATCAGAGAAGCATTTTGTCCCCATCTTGCCAGCTGCTCAGTCACAGGCTCAGCAATGCAACTTACTACACAACCTAGGCATGTTGGAGCAAGTGACAAACCGTTGGCAAGCCTGTATTGCTCACTTGCCCCATCACAAGTTCTGGAACTAAGGCAGTGGAAGAAGAAAACAAGAAAACAAGTTTTATATATATATGCAGAAGTTACTTCAGGTGCAAAAGCTATATATATACTTTGTGTGTGTATGTGTGTGTGTGTGTGTGTGTGTGTGTGTGTGTGTATACATATATATATATACACACACACACATATACATACACACACATATATGTGTGTGTATATATGTATATATGTATATGTATACACACACACACACACACAAAGTATATATATAGCTTTTGCACCTGAAGTAACTTCTGACAAGCTTCTTTCTCCATCCCTTGCAGTGAACTTACAGCAACAACAAACAAATAAGAAATAATTTGCTGTTGACAGCCCAGATCTGCTGCCTCTAGTGGCCATAAATAGAAATACACAAGTGGAAATGAATAAGCCACTAACTATAACAAACGCTTCAGGACGTATTGCACAAACATGCAAATGAATAAAGTTTCAAATCAATGTTTAGGTTAAAGACTACCTTTTTTAAAAAATCCAAATAACAAGAAAATACTAATCAAAACAGTATGTGAGTTCACTTTTGTAATATCCTTTTGCAAGGGAGATGCAGAATCAAATTTATACCACATGGATCTGAACACCAACATTTAGGCTCACTCTTTAACTGTACTAATATGCTTACACTGATTATATAAATACTTATATTCCTCATTATGAGAACCCACAAGTGTAAACTGTACTTACTCGCATGTAATTACAATATAATTTCAATGCTGACAGAGTGTAAATGTTAATATTCTCCTACAATATTGTGCCACTAAATTAAAGACTGACCAAATGCTATCCGGTAATATTCCATCCACTGTTCCAGGATATTCTTTATTTTCTGCCTCAGCTTTTTTAATTCTGTCATAACATTGAAGTCACAGCTTAAATTCTCTTCTGGAATTCCAGAAATCTTAGTGTCCTTTGATAAATTCACCTTTGAAAAGACAAACAAAAAAACACCACAAAACACAATACAAATATTTATCAAGTTTCATCCAGATTGCCATGAGTTCTCAAAAAAAGGAATTAGGTAAGCTGAAGTCAACTTGTTACTACACCTAATGAATGCTTCCTCGTGTTTGGCATGGCAATACATGTACTCAAATAAACCTACAATGATGCCGTTTCCATTATCCGTGGATCATGACTATACCTGTAATATTGGAGACCATGGCCAAAATACAAAAGTGTACCTCTGCTGGATCCTACTATTTCTGTCAGAATTGGCAGCCTACCCTCTTTCAGCCCCTCAGGTAGTCTAAAATCCTAATCTGGAATACTGGGGAATTTTCTGGAAATTTACTTGCTTATTTGTTTTGGTACAATGAAGGTACATTAGGAGGGGAATGAAAATGAAATCCCAATGGTTTGAGTTACCAAAGCATACATTTGGATCCCAGTTAGAGATGGGCATGAACATTAGTTCGGAGGTTTGTGCCAGTTTATACAAATGAAACTACAGGCTTATGGTTATAGAGATACGAGTTCCACATAAGTTTGCTACCTTGCATTTTCAAGACTACAAGTCTGTCATTGCTATTGTCTAAAGAATATAGGATGGCCATGAAACAAATTTACCTGACACAGTCTCTTAATGGGATTTTTAAAACATTTTCCATTTCTTTAACACTTTCAGCCTTGCTACACTCCCTTTGGAACATATTGGATAAAAGTTTTTTTTAAAACCCTTAATGAAGCATACATCTTGAAATGTATGCTAGCTGATACTGAGGAAATGTCATAAATTTGGAAGAAAAAATGTAGAAAATTACATGTATGCATTCCTCTGTTGTTTCTCATCGCTATCTGCCCTGAAAATTCCAAATCTTACTTTTTAACTACTGAAATCCTGTGGAGCTAGTGAAGTTCAGGCATTCAGTGAATGGAATATCACACCACCACATCTTGTGTACAGGATTAAATATCTTTTACAATTGAAGCCATTGTTTTAATTAAACAATGACTTCATGGGCATATTGGAAACACTATTCTTACACCCACATGAGGCCAAACAATAATGTTAATTGCTAATGGGAATTATATTTCCTTGCCAAAAGAAAGGAAAATAAAATAAACTTTAAGCCAAGTTTCTGAGCAATTATACTTACTGCTATAGATGAGAATCCATATTTTTAAAGAGCCCTACAGATTTTATACATGACTGTGAGGGAACATGAATGTTGAATAAACATACTAGATATGCACTGTCTAGCCAAGGGAAGGAAGCCTTTGGCCCTCTAGATATTTTGACTACCACTCCTAGAATCCCTTACAATTAGTCATGCTGCTTAGAGAGTCCTGGAGTTGACGTCAAAACGTTCCCCACTGCAGGTCCAGCAGACCTGAAAGCCATTTGTCTTCCTCTTGACATTCTGATAATATGTGGGTTGCTGCAGTGCAGCAATTAACTACTTTATGAGCTTTGATGTGAGCATGGCTTTATCACAAGCGGAGACAATAAGAATAAAAAACCAGATGTCATAATTTAAAACATAAAAAACTTGATTTCTTTCTGCTTTGAACAAAAGAAAAATGCTGTAATTACTTCCCTATTTCATATTTCAAAAATAATGTAAGACAAAATGTGCATCTTGTTCGTTTCACTTCCAAATCTGCATAATGAATTTTGCACAAAGTTTTCAAAGCCATTACATAGCGAATAAGACAAAAAAAAAAAAGCAATTTTAAAACACAACTTCAGATCAGCAACTGAAATAACAGAACCAAAAGGGCAAGAGCAGCCTCAAGGGACAAAAATAAAACACCAGGATCCAAGATCAGCCATATGTTCACCCTGCCCAGCTGTTGGGGAATCCTTCCCACCCTCCCATAGGACACCTCGCTTCCCCTATAGCATTTATCATGGTTTGGAGGACCCGCCATGAGAAGAAAGGAGCAGGGAAATCCCTTTCCACCAACCCAGTTGTGCATGCCTAGGGATGGGGGAACATATTAGACAAAACAGGTTGCTACACTGAGCTTTTAAAACTGCATTTACTGGTTTTAATTTTCTGCTTCTAACTAAAACTTACTCTTTTTTTCAGAGATGTATTTATTTCCTCCTCCTTTTTGCTGTGTGTTTTAGTAAACCCTTTGGCCAATGTAGATGTCACCTTAGCTTCTGTGAAGATCTGGTCCTAGAAAACAAAGAGAGAACACCATAGCAGGTGGAAGCACCATAACAGGTGGAACTTTTCCTGGCAGGAAGATGCAGCTTTGAAGGAAGCCATGTTGCCTTGTTGCCTCCAGAGCACAAGGACGGCGTGATATTCCCTGCCAAAAAGTGTCAAGTCTTCTTATTTTCAAAGGGGTAACTATGTTAATTTGTTTCGGAAAGCATAGCAAAACTAAAAGCAAAGGCAAATACATCTGTCTGCTAATTCACAATGGATAAGCTTTGGTAGTTGAAGAACTGAAGCAATTAGCTCTGATTTCAGGAAAAACTTGTTCTACTACATCAGAGGTTTGCCAAAGAAAATACCTTCTGGACACACACAAACTGAGTGAAAAGTGGGCTAGTAACATGTGTTAAATAAGCCAAGAAGCCCTGATCTCTGTTTAAAGCTCTAGTCAGATATGAGAGTATATGGAAATAGCTCACTTCAGCTGTGTCACTTACATTTCCTCTTGATATTCCTTTTTTTTTCTACCATGCATATTTTGAAATCAGTGATAGAGTGTTCCAGAGTTGGAAATGTTCTAAAATTGGGCTTTGTGTGTTGCCATTTCTAATACTGTATTTGTGTTATGCGTAGAGCTATGGTAGTTAGTTGGTCTCTTTGGCAAAACTGTAATTTCAGCACAACTAATGTTTCCCTAAAATTAGATTTTATTGCTCCAGCACTTCAAAAGCTAAAGCCCAACCATTGTGGATTAGCTTACAGATGTTTTGCATTATCTGATTACTACACTTATTGGTTGGAGTTTCATTAAACCATCATTTTGAATGTTTGTTACCAATGTTAATAATGCAATTGCCACCTTCCATATCTCCTTACACCTGCTCCCCACCGTACAACCGGTGCCATTTTCTATATAAAACCTGCAGCCTCAACATTGTACTCGTGTGTCTGGGGAGATGGACTGCACACCAGACCTAAAGTCTTAAAACTGCCACAAGCCTCTAGTTGCATGACTTCAATGACGGCACATGATGTAATAAAACAGGAATGGATTGCCTCCTGACTGTACTGCAGTAGCTGCTTAAAACCTACGTTGCATGGTTTACACTTTGTGGGACAAGCTGATATTCTGCAGCAGTCCCCCCCCCCCAATCTGGGTCTTCCCCATGATGCTTCAATCCACTCCTGATAATGGTTTGCAGTGGCAAAATCAGCAAATAGGCAAGGTGGACTGCTCAGCCTGATTTTTTTCTTTCTTCCTTTTACACAGTAAGGGTGGTATTACATATGGCTTAATCTCATCATCACGACAATCCAATAAGAGAAACATCCAATAAGCTTCATAACTAAGTAGGGAGCTGAAACCAGTCTTCCCAGTCCATGTCCAACAGCACTTTAACAGCTGTAATCACACAGACTCTCTGTAACAGAAATGTAACATATCCTGTATACCCAAACTTTTGTGAGCACGAGATCCTATAGATGGGAATGGTACCTTGTCATTCTCTTTCTGTTATCACCTTTTACGTCACTTTGCAACAAATATTTTACTTTTCCCCAAACACTTTCATAATAGAATTCTACCACATTAGAAACATGGAGCCTTCAGTGTCTGAAGTCAAACAGGCTGGAGACTGACTGGCAGGTTGTGCGGTTTAGGTAATAAGCTCTTGCTGCGTACCAGACTTTCTAACTGTGGAACAGCCACGCCTTGTGAGGTTGACAAAGACAAGCGTACGCTTTCATGCTGCCACTTGTAAATCAAAGAAACAGCAAAGCGTCCTGCAATCCTCACAGTGATGTACTTGTTTACCTAGAGTAAGATAAAATAAATAAGTATTATTTAAATGAGTATTTTCAAATGAAAACAGAAAGCCACAAATGTGACTTGAAGCAAAATGTTGCAGGGTAGCATGCCTCACCTGGGTTTCTCAGCCAGTCACCCATGTCATTTGTCACAATGCCCTATTTAAGTCCATGCCCCCTCAAGCAGTCAGTCAGTGATCATTCTATGCTCACTAAAGATACTCCGTCTTGATTTTCTCCTCAGCCTTCTCCCCTCAAAACATTAGTTTGTTCTTCAGCAAACCTTGAGGCTCTCAAGCCTGCTGTTATTTCCCACTTGTTCTTGACTATGTCAGCATTTGCACTCATGCCAAAACATCAAAACTGAAAAAAATGTTCCATAATTCAGACAATATGTGTGTGGGGGGGAGGGGACGGACCCATGATTATGTGAGAAGAAGACTGTGATTATTTATTCTTTGATTCTGTGTGACTATTCCTGAGGCATTCTTTTGTTTAAATTATGAAGAACTTGGAGCAACTATTCATGTTTTATTTATAACTTGTTCCTTATTTTATGGCAATAAAAGAACTAAACTGCATTTTAGTTCTGTTTTCTTCAGGAAGCAATTCAAACTAGGGAATAAAAAACCCTGTATCTTTTCTACCACATACAAATCATTCAGCCTCCATCCTTATGCTTATTCCCTATATGAAGTTTGTTTGATGGCACAGAAGAGGTTGACCTGACATCAGAAAGTTTAGAGTGTTTCATGTTATGTCTCTAGTAAGATCTTTTTATTCAAGAAATAGTTTTACAGAAAAAATTAATTTTACTACCACTGTACATATCTGTCGCATACCCCCAGTGACCCCTGTGTGTTTTGTCCATCACACAAGTTCACCTTCGGACATGACTTGTTCTTTTTCCCTTTTTCGTTGCCATCAGAGGATATTATCCTCAATATATCAAAATGAGTCTCACACTCTTGCTGCCAAATAAAACAAGGTTTATTTAAGGATAAATCAGTGAATCACAGAAGGAAAATCATGGGTGTTCTATTATCATTCATTCATTAAACGTGGATTTCAGTACAGTCGTGCCCTGCTTAACGATTGCCCCGCATTATGACAAATCCACTTTACGACAATGTTTTTGAAACGATGGTCTAAATGGGGGAATTTCGCTTAGCGATGGTCAGTTCCCTGCCTCGGGAACCGATTTTCGCTTTACGAAGATCAAAAACAGCCGGGTGCTTAAAATGGCTCCCCGCTGTGCTTAGGGATCGATTCCTCACTATACAGGCACCGAAAATGGCCGCCGTATGGAGGATCTTCACTGGACGGTGAGTTTTTAGCCCACTGTAACGTATTGAAGGGGTTTCAATGCGTTTCAATGGGGTTTTAAATTTTGCTTTACGATGTCTTCGCTTAACAGCGATTTTCCTGGAACGGATTGTTGTCGTTAAGTGAGACACCACTGTACATGTACGATTGCTTGTATTCATTGGCTTTAATCAAGATCTCAATATATTCTGCCAGTCCTTGTAATTCTAGTTATCTTTAATGTTCTCTAACTAACCAACTGTCTAATATCTTGTCTAACCGCTTCACAGTCTTCTCTCTAACTGTCTAAACGCTTCACCATCTTTTTCCTAACTTCCTCCCTGTCCCACTCTTAACTGCCTCTCTGGCACTCCCAGTTCCCTTGACTCTGCCCTTCCTGTCCTATCATAGGCTCCCGCATTAGAACTGTAAAATGCCTGACAGGAATGATACGTGGGCTGTCCACCACAATACAGTGGTGCCTTGCATAGCAGTCGCTTCGTTTTACAACGAAATCGCTTTGCGACACATTTTTTGTGATCGCAAAAGCAATCGCTTTGCGATGTTCTCTATGGGGGAATTTCGCTTTGCGATGTTTCGGGCACCGATCATCGAAAAGCGATGATTTTTTAACAGCTGATCAGCGGTTTCAAAATGGCCACCAGGTAAACAAAATGGCCGCCCACTGTTTTTTGGGATGGATTCCTCACTTAAGAGGCACCAGAAATGGCCACGCTATGGAGGATCTTTGCAGAACGGTGAGTTTTTAATATCGCATAGCGACGTTTTCGTTCTACAGCTATTTTTGCGGAACGAATTAACGTCGCTATGCAAGGCACCACTGTATCTAAACCTTATCTTTCTCTGATACAAACATACCCAGGGGACATACAAATAAAAATACAAATCACATGACCCTGTCAACAAATAAAACTAAACATAAACAACATTCCAATGTATTAGACTTGTTTGCTGGCTCTTGATTATTCGTGTTTCTTTTCGATGCCTTACAATGTGACTGGCTGAACAAACTTCAGAACACGGCCAAAGAGCCCGGAAAAACCACAATCATTAGATCCCAGCCGTGAAAGCCTTTGCGAATACATTGAGTCAAAGAATACTTGCTAGAACTTTATAAACATATACAGCAACAATATTAACTTCTGCAATACCTACATTCTAGATACAGTTCTCCTATATGCCTAGGATATTGCCTTGTATCTAAAACAATTGTAGAAATTGGAAGAAAGGGTAAATTCTGCTATGCTGGTTGGAAGAACTGGAAATAGCCATTATTCTCAATCTATCTGGTATTTTTGTGCGTGTGTGGTTTTTAAAATTCTGGTACATATTGTTATGTATATTAGCACATGTAGGCAAAACATCTGGCTCAGATCCTAGGGAGATACAGGAAAAGGAACGCACATTAGATTGCAATGTTTTAACTTGTAGCAAGGATTCACAATTTTCAAGTAACAATTCCCAGAACATTTTTTTAAAAAAGCACGACAAATAAAAATAATTAAATGTTACCTGTATAATAACTGGGTCATCAAGTTTTCCTGCTCCAGGCCATTTCCACTTACGTAATATTTGTCCATCTTTATTAGTCACCATGCCTCCTTTCTGATTATATATCAGTACTATGTTGCTGCTGCAGAAATCAAAAGCCAGTTTTTCAGGATATAGTTCAGTACTAGATAATAAGAATTATGCACTTTGATCGTAGCTTTATATTTTAATTAACACAATCATTTGCCTATTTATCATTTCATCATAACTTTCTCACACAGTCTTCAAGACAGGTGTGCATCTTTTACATAAACAGACTACGCTTCTCCCTTGAAATGCACAGAACTGAGCAGTATGGTTTTGGTTATACACTCCGCCCAATAAACAAACAAATAAACAAATGTTTCAATCAATCAATATTCAATAAATACCATGCTGCTATCAATCTCCAAGAAGTGGCTTGAGAAAGGTGAGTCTCTAGCTTACCTAAGGCCCTGCGGTGGGCACTGCATTGGCCCCTAGTCTGAGGGCCAGTGGTTCCGCCTGCCCTCCTGGGATGGCTCCACATGGCAGGTGGGAAGCTGAGGCAGGTCGGGGGAAGGGTGTGTATGTGTCTCTCTGTGTGTTTGAACCAACTGTTTCTGTTTTATAGTTACTAAATGGTTTAATAATGTAAATATTATTTTGTAGCTGCAAAACATGGATGGGTACAAAAAGTTCAGTATAGTTCTAATTCTTTTAATTCTTTATTTGAGGGACCCTCCACAGGCATCAAATACATATCCCATTCTATCTTAATTGACCATAAGAACGTATCCATTCTTCTTCTATTGCTGATCCACAAACTAGTACAGGTAGAATATTCAAACTAACATCTCTATTTTAAGCATATATAAGTAGCAGAGAGATGCATACTTGCTTGATCTAGGTTAACTATATTGAGGTAAGTGTAAGAGAAGGAATATCTATAAGTATTAATAATTATTTATGCAGCACAACATTTATTTTCTAAACAAACTTGAAAGTTTTTTTGCAACTGAACTGCTAATACACTCAAGTATAGGTTAGCTCCATAATTTTCTGTTTTGCATTTCCTGTTTTTGGGAACTAACACAACAAAGTTTTTTTCTGAATCAGTGCAAGGATATCTGAAATCTACAAGGGACATTTCTGTAGGAGAAAATGAATGAGTAGACAGGTACACCACAGAACAAGTTATTACATGGTGTGTTTTAATAGCTGTGGCTAATAATTCCATTCAGGGCATGCAATATATGGTTTACTGTGTAAATGAAACAGAGTCTCAGTAAAGGTTATAAAACCTGTCAGCACAGCATTCATTCCTGTTATGCTGTGCCAGTGTTATGAGCCACCCATGTCATCACACAGGTACAACCAGATGGATCAGTTTACTTCATCACACATTAGGACATTGGAGTGGGTTTGGTCACCTAATATATATGATCAAGGCTAGCTCTTGAAGTTAGTGTTGTCTTTTGAGAAGAATCAGAGGCACAATCACAATTTGCAAGAGAGACAGCCATGCTGGGAGGGATGTAAGATTCTCTAAACTAGGTGATGTGTTCAACACAACAGATCTGTCCTGAATACCACAACTCTTGACCTGACTGACATATGTAGCCTCCCAGGAAACTAACTGAAATATTTCTTTGTACCTGTTTGGAATGCAAACACTGCCATTTCCAGAAGGAGTAAATGTTCCAAGCAAAGCAGAATCAGGAAAATCACTGAATATGTTGGTGTATAAGCCACCACCGGGAACATCAGAGTAACTCTGGCAGACTGCTATGTTCCCAGAGGGATAAGTAAAGAAGTGGTCAAGGAATTTCTAGTATGAGAAAGACTTTATAATGCATTTTTTTTCTCAACACAGATAAATGTAGCTCAAATTGGTGAGTAGTGTTTAACAAATGGCAAAAGTCTAGCTGCAGATCTGTTACCAGATCTCCTGTTTGGTGTATTCTGCTCCTCTCCAATTTAGCTAAATAGATTGCATGTATATTCCATTGTTAAGGAAATTTAAAAATTAAAAACCCACTAATAAGTGCTGAGAAATTGCTGTGATAAAGACATAGGCATCTAAAGGGTTCAGCTAGACTTTTCTCAGTTCACTAGAAAAGTGTGATGGGAGAGCACTCCAGCTCTACACCCAAAATATGTAATTATAATAATGTTAAGAATAAAGGTTGCACACTCATGGGGACAGAGGCGTATAAGGTACTAATCAGTAGATAAATAAAGTGTACTACATAGAAGAAGAGCCCAGGTAGTATGGTTAAAGCATTGGGCTAGGACTTTGATCTGAGTTTTGATTCCCAGTGAACCAGGAAACTTGGGGTGTGATTAGACCGCTGCAAAGTATATGCCTGATCATATTAGAAAGGGTTGCTTTAACAGGCATTGTCTCCCGTAAAGCAACCCTTCTGTTTTCCAGGGAATCACTCCCCACAAAGTAGAAGCCTAACATCTGGGCCAAAAACGTGCAGCTTGTGCATGGACTGGGTTGGGCTGGAACACATTTCTCCATGAGTCATGTGACCAAACCATTCTGCAAGCAGTTCAAATTTATTTCCTGCTTCATCACACCCTCAAGTTACTCTTTCTCAGATGGACTGACATATCTTTGTTGTCAATATAAAGTGGGGAGGACAAGAGCCATGTATGTCATCTTAAGCTTATCGAAGAAAAACTGGAATGCTTACTATATAAATGTAGTATATAGTATATATTTGAACCACACAAGCTTGCAAATTTTGTGTGTGTGTGTGGTCTAATAAGTATCACATATCCTGCCTTTATACTGTGTAAGGACTGCAAGGCTTCTTGTTTTATACATATATAAACATCGCTGCTGTTGTTACTGTCACTGTGATTTATTAACTGGTTAAAATCGAAAGTACTACAATCTACATTCTTTTTCACAACAAAAAGTGGAAAAATGAACTGAATACAGAACTGAAGAGTAAGCATGGGGTGGGAAAAAATTAATGGTCTGTGTGATGCAACAACTAATTACTGACTTATTTGCATTTGATCATGCTCAAATGCACTGATTCACCATCTATACATTTTTTGCCATTTACTGTTGCATTTGATCATGCTCAAATGCACTGATCCACCATCTATACATTTTTGCCATTTATACCTTGTTGCTTCAAAATTATCCACAACAGTCTGCTTACACAGCAGTGCCCCATTCTGTTTGTGTTAAACTGACAGCAGCCAGACTTCAGAAGTCTAGCAACTCAAGACACAATGAGACTATTCATTTTCCCCAAATAGCTGCAGGTAGACATCTAGATAGTCACAGTTGTTATTTGCAAACAGAGAAAAACCAGGCAAACTAATTGGTTGGTTAAACTGTAGAAAATTTATGACTTACCTTCTAAACATTTTCATCCCATGAATGTTTATTTTGAAATAACTCCAGTTTAAATTTACTCTCTGATAAGCGAGTGGACTGCAGCCTAAACAAAACAAATTTGTATCTTTCCTTCTTACTTCGCAGAAATCTTTCCTTCTATTACTGTCAGATGGAATTATCTTCTATTATGTAAATTCAAAGGATATTAAATCAAAGATGATCCATCAATCAATTGATAGTGCAGCTTTTTAATGCCTGGTTCAGTCTGCTTGATCACTGGTAACCGAGGTTTTTCATACAAGACCTGAGAGGAGTCTTTCTTATTCCTATAGCCTTTGACGTATTTTGGTAAGGCTTCTTTCCTGCCATCACCATAATGACGAAGAATAAGAGTCTTGTCAAATCCTGATTCTTTCATCTTGGACCGCTGCTCAGAGCTGTTAGGATGAGTTTTAAAAGAATAGTTCTTAAGTCGGCAACTTAGGAGGCTATTTTTTTATGTTTGTGTTCTTCGTGTAGAAAAATCTACAAATAACTGTCGTATATAGCAGATGGCAATTAACTGGAACTTTTTAAGCCTATCAAATTCATGTTTTCAATTTCTTTAAAAGGTCCTTGATTCTCCCTCTGGATAACTCCATTAGTAACAGAAAAGTAATCATTGCCAAGGCTCTACTCAATTTTTATTTATTTATTTATTTTATTTATATCCCGCCTATCTGGTCAAGCGAGGACCACTCTAGGTCAAGACTGAACACTGTTGTGATTATCATGATGCCAACAGGGGCTCTTGCACACCTCTGGCAATAGTGGAGCAGTAAGGATGAGCAGCCACTTTTTGGCTTTGACACCTGACGAACTGTTAGGTAAAGGGAGAGATAAAAGGGAAAGAAGTGTAACACAGCAGATAGCTTTCTCCACTGTTTGTGCCAGGGGGTAAAGGAGGGTGTTACACCAACAAGTAATATTGTTTTGGCTTTCACCAGCACAAGCCACTATTTGTACCACTTTAGTTAAAGCAGATGCACTATACTAGGCTGTGATTTCTGCTGGTAGACGCTGTATTTACTGCACGAGCCTTCAGGCGGCCTTATTTCAATGTCAATCTGTATTTTTTCAGAACCTGCATATTAAACACTGTTGACTTTGCAAAGGACTTAAATTTGGGGGGAAATACCAACACCTTAATTAAACACAGCAGTTAAGCAGGAAAGCATTCCTTATGCTCGCAATTCCAAATATTAACTAGAGGAAATCTAAGGAGAACCCCTGATCACAAGCCAACATTCTTTCTGTCTTGAATTCTGTAACAAGATAGCACTCAGGACACCTTTCTGCTGACCAAGCTAGGAATAAGCACTCAATAACACTAAGTCAAGTGCCACAGTGCTGGTACAGAAGGCTGGCAAGAGTCAGCAAAATACACTGCCAAACTGAAGATCAAGAATCCACTGCCAGGTCTCTATCCCAGCAAAGGTGAGAAATGGGGAAAAAGAAAACATACTCTCTTTCTCTTTCTCTGGGAGAGATTACTTTACACTGTTGCTCCTGATAAATTTATACTCTAGATGAAAATTAAAAAATATATGATAATAAGAACACATGCAGCTGTAAAAACATATTTAGCTAATAGAACATAGGCATTTAAACTTGATTCAACAAGCTTAGTTGTACACCGGTTATGATGTGCCGAAGCAATGAGAGAATTTAATCTTTCAAAAGATGCTACAATAACTGATATTCAGAAATATTTATTCCATAGATAATGCCAATGGGGGTGAGAGGAGTTATATCGGGGTACTTATCCTCTTTCCTAAAAGCTATGATTTCTGCGAACACAGGGGTTCCAAAAAGGAACCATCTTTGCTATCTCTCTATCTATATTTGATACAGATAGAGATAATAGAGACAGAAAGACAACAGAATCACACTATATATAGTGAGCAAGTGAGAGCGACAAATGCACACACACATTTTTCCGTATATAAGACAATACTTTTGTCTAAAGTCTTTAGACTAAAAATTGAGGGTCGGCTTATACACAAAAGTAAGCTTAGGAGAGAACGAAAACAAGTGGAGGGGCGAAGGGATTAAAGCGATCCTGCCACACTTTGATCACTGCTTTCCCCCTCCACTTGCTAAGCCCCGTGGGCAAAAGGAGGGGGGAGGCAAGGATTAAAGGGCTGCAGGATCACTTTGATCACTGCTTTCCCCACCACTTCCTAAGCCCCATGGAGCGTAGCAAATGGAGGGGGAAAGCAGCAATCAAAGTGATACAAAGTATATAAAACTAATGACTTCACACCATCCTTTCCCAGTAGGTAGCTCACTAGTGAAGCTGACTGTTCACATGAATTTGCAATAATCTGATGCTACAATCCTATACACATTTACCTGAAATTAAGTCCCATGTAATTCAGTGGAGGTTGCTTTTGGCTAAAGATATACAGGGCTGCAATGTGAATGCCTTAGCAACACAACACATCATGACCTGTTTAATTCTTTTTAAATATTGTATACTTTTAAAGCTTTTAAATTTTGTCCTTTTTAATGATGTAAGCTGCCTTGGTTCATTTTAAGGAGAAAGGTGGAGTAAAATATTTTAAATAAATATGAACAATCTCTGATTATCTTATTGTCCAATATAACACTAATGCAACAGATAAAATTGAGCCTCAACAACAATATTTTAACTTAAACACAAAAGAAACGTCAACAGAAAATCTCATTTTAATACATCTGCAACTCAGCCTTTTGTAATCTTTCCACTGCCCTGACATATGGTACTTTCCATTCTAGGTCTTTCAGGTCACAGTCAGAATGTTGAAAAACCCAACCTGTATGAAGAAATTGAAATTCATTATTAGTGAGTTGAAATACTGTAGAAAAGTCTTAAATGCCTGTCAAATTTTAACTAGCATATCAATACCTTAAAAACTTCCCATCTAATCAATACATTTAAGATGGCCAATATGAAAAATGCATAGGAAGTTAAATTGGTATCTGGATGAACTTGTATATGAGGTTAGCATTAGGATAGGGCTGATGTACGGTAGATGTAAATTCTGCTTCAGTTACAAGTATTGAAGGACATCCTTCTCTACCAAGTGGAGGAGACCATGCTGGCATGGGATAATTGGAATTGTGTGTAGCCTAACATATCTGGAGTGAATAAGGTGATCATGTAAAAAAAAAAAGGACATGGTTTCCTATATGTTTAATAGCTTCTTGAAGAGTTGCTTTTAATGCAAGATACACCTGGTGAAATTTCCTCCTCCACATAACTATTATAGGAACAGGAAGCCTGTCCCCTTCTTAATTTCTTCACTATAGAAGGATAGGCTGGAAAAAGCCTGTTCTAAAAAACTTGCACAGATTGCTTATTCTTAGCTTCAATTCTGCATCTCTAAAATGGGAACTGTAATTTGCCTAAAAGGGCTGAAACAATGGGAATGAACAAAATAAACAGCAAAAGGTTATGATTATGCTGTTTATTTTCTTAGACTTAAATGCAGGTATTATTCTAGCTACAGCAGACTCATTGAATTAATAAGAATGGTTAAATCGACATGTGCAGTCTGGCAACCAAGGCTAGTAACTGGATTATGTCCTGATTCTCCAACTACAGCTCCAACTACAGTAAAACAAAAAGCTTAATCATTTTGCTAAATTACAAGTGAAAACAAAATAAAAGTTTTTAAAAAGGACAAAAATGTGGTGGCACCTTAAAGACCAACTTTTAAATTTTTTTAAATGTGGGCTTTCATGGAAAATTCCACTTCATCAGGCAGCTGTTTGTCTTAACTTTTTATTTTGTTTTCACCTACAGTGCTTGCACACACTAGCACGGCTACTCCTTCTACAACTACAGTATAACTCATTTTGCTAAGTGGATGAGAATGTGCATCTTCAATCCTTAATCTGGATTTGCAAATTATATCTAACTTGGTTTTAAAATATATAAATAACATTTGAGCATATGTATGCTATAAAGCAACTAAACATGGTCTGGGCTGATTAAAGGGTGGATGATTAACTAAGAGTTTGATCACATGGGAAAATAGATTGCAAACTTGATCACTTGCAGAGCAGTCCAGTGTGATTTATTTCACAGTGATCACACAATGTATGGGGAATGCACTCCAGCCAGACTCCTTTTTGGTCCAGATGTAGGGCTTCTGCCAAGTCAGAGCAACTGCTCAGCAGACAGTGTGGTCACATTAAGGGAGATCATTCCTTGCAAAGTGTCCCTTTCTGGTATGACCAGGTGTGTGTGCCTTTGCAGCCATCTGACTGCTTTTTAATTTCCAAGAAATAACATATGATCAAACCTTATTGAAGATAATGTGACAACATAATTTCACCCCAACATGCAACACATATTACTTTTAAAAATAAAGGCCATCTACAATAACTTTGTTTTTATTCCCAGTTACCAGAAACACTGCTTCATTCCCCAAAACAAAGTTGCACCCTTTATTATCAGGCCTAACTGACTAAAATGAACATGGAAATACCATACCTTTCTCTTTGCACAATTTTGAAGAGAGTGAAAAGCTGATTGCTGAACCAGAATCATTGGCATATTCTTGAGAGACTGGGGCTGAACAGGATAGAAAATAAATCAAATGTCACACATGAACTCTATTACAAAATTGTTCTCGAGCAGAGAACTTAGGCTATGGAGCCAGAGGCTGGTAGTTCAATTCTGTTCAAAAAATAAATAAAAACAAGTTGAAGATGTCACAAAGCTCTTAATTGTTGCAATACGCAAACACAGACAGCCCCTTGAACTTGTTATATATCACCACACACCTTTACTGTGAATTTTTTAAAAGACAATTTTGGAAACAGCTAACTAGTACTAGCGTTTTTCTGCTGTTACCTTGGCTACTGAATGAAGTGTTTGGGGTACAGATGAATGCTCCTGCTTTATACAGTGATCAATTTGAAAAAAGGCTTAGGTTCTTTGCAGTTTTCATCAAAGCACTTGTACCTGTCTAACTTCAGCTGCAAGGCTATTTACTAACATCTTTCAGCAACCTTCCTCAGTTAATCACAAGAAAGCTTTAATTTTCTCTAGTTAGTATGGCTTAAGATGAAGATGACCAAATTTAGACAGACATTTTCTGGAAAGATTTAAAAGATAATAAAAAAATATATAGGAATGAATATGGAACAAATAATATTACATGCTGTATGTTAGAATGCAAACTCACCACACTGTCAGAAACATACAGGTGAAACTTGATCATGTCTCTGTTTAATAGGAATACAGTGGGACTAAAGATAAATGAAAGTAATGCACTTAGGACACTATCAGATGGCAATAAAGGATCACATTTGATTGCTCTGGAAAGGGTGCTTCACTAGTAACAGTCTCCATTAAAAAAACCTGTTCATGCATACAGAAATCACTCCAGCTCAGCTCCAAAAAAAGAACAGCACCACCATTAGACCAAAAAGATCCAACTTCAGCACAGAGCAGGGTTGGTTTACATTCTTCTGTACATCATCTGATTGACAAGAGAATAGCTTTCATTGGACTGTGACACAAGTGGTCCAAATTACAAGCTATATCTCTGTCTGATCACACCCTTAGTCCACATTTAAAAGCACTACTCCCTTGAATGGTGGACGTTTCATTTCTTGCAAGCCAGTGTGCTTTGTTTTGTGATTTTAACCAGACATTTTTCAAGGTGAATTAAGTGATAATTTGTAAGGCATTAATTGCTAAAGAAACTGAATTGTGGAAAGAAAATTGGCTAATTTGCAAGCAAGATATATACTTCTGTGAAAACTGATTCTCACTTCTTTGCAATGGCCATAAGTTTGCAATCCAGTGTGCACTTATTTGGGACTGGATTTGAGCATACATATATGTGCAATCCAGTGTGCACTTATTTGGGACTGGCTTTTGAGCATACATACTGTATATGTATTGCTTGCTGCCTTGTCGTGGTGAAGGGACCTGAGTAATTCAGAGAAGATATGGGCTATGCTGTGCAGGAATGTAAGATCTATGAATCTTAGGAAGCTGGATGTGGTCAAACAGGAGATGGCAAGAATAAACATTGATATCCTGGGTGTCATTGAACTAAAATGGACGGGAATGGGCAAATTCAATTCAGACGATTATCCGTATCACCCCTCAGGTCGGAAGGTGTCCAACATGCTACTGAGGAAGAGCAGAGGACAACTACAAGTAGCTCCAGAGCTAATGAAGTGGTTGGGTCAAAGCTGAAGGGATACTCAGCTGAGGATGCGCCTGGAAGTGAAAGGAAAGTCTGATGCTGCAAAGAAAAATACTGCACAGGAACCTGGAATGTAAGATCTATGAACCTTAGGAAGCTGGATGTGGTCAAACAGGAGATGGCAAGAATAAACATTGATATCCTGGGTGTCATTGAACTAAAATGGACGGGAATGGGCAAATTCAATTCAGACGATTATCCATATCTACTATTTTGGGCAAGAATCCCGTAGAAGAAATGGAGTAGCCCTCATAGTCAACAAAAAAGTGGGAAAAGCTATTCTGGGATACAATCTCAAAAATAATAGAATGATTTCAATATGAATCCAAGGCAGACCTTCAACATCACTCTTTAAATCTGACTAGTCATGATAATACACTAACACAAGTATGGAAGAAATGAAAACAGAAACATCCAGTAGCCTTTTTAAAATTATGCTTCTTTTTACATGGTCCAGGCATTCATATAGATGTTAATCAGTCACTTTTGTCTACATGGAGCTAAATATGTAATAAAATTATCACTTTAAACTTTGGAAGAAACCAGTAATTTATCCTTACTTTTATTTAACAAAGTCCCAGGATTCTCCGATTCCTTTGCAATGCCACTAGAAAAACCAATAGTTTTTTTGCTTTTCCTTGTTATGTTTTCAGCCATCTCATAGTCAGTCAATGCAGAGGTAGATGACAACCTGCTGGACACCCCTGATGCTTGCCTTCTCCTTGAATTTACATTTTTATACACTGGTTCCTGGTAAGATTTTTTATTATACCAAGCACCTTCAATAAGATCTTTCCAACTATAGTTCAAAATATTTAAAATCCCCAGAGGTACACTTATTTTCTGTTTTGAAAAATGGTTCAACATATCTTCCAGCTCATGTAACACAGTAACAGCTAGGCATTGATATTGGTCCAATGAAGTTGGCTGTAGAACTGAAGGTCCATGTGAAGGTATTTGGGAAGCCTGAGTGTAAACATTCTCAGAGGTGGGTTGGAATATAAAAGGACCATATGTTTGAGGAGGAACCAGCACTTGCTTTGCTGAGCTGTTTTTCACTAGAGCACTGTTTCTTTCCATGAGTTCCTCAGTGCATCCAGGTTTCCTGCACATGGTCAGAAATATATATAAAACAGTTAAAAGCATGGACACAAAGAGATATTTTGCCTTCAGTTCCAAAACAATGGTGAAGGACACTTTGGGCATGAAAAGGTCAAGACTCACTGTGTACACAACATGATTATGTTGGGGCCTGAAAACATTTATGTTTTAGACTACAATTCCCAGAGTTCTCCAGCCAGCATGACTAGTGGTCTTGTTGGCTGAAGATTTCCAGGAGCTCTGGAAAAAAAATTATTTTTTAAAGCTTTAATCTACAGATACAAAAGCTCCAACCTCCTTTGTATGTATCTTCAGACTTGCTCTTAAACTCTAGATGTAAATGAAAGAACTTAAGCAGCTAAAAAGTATGTCCTTCCTGCTAAAATGAGAAGTACACTTTTATAGCATACTCCTTTTTAATACAAGACACAAAAAGGGAATCTTAATTAGCAATGTGTCTTTAACAGTCTCACCATTTGAACAGTTTGGCCAATAATTTTACATGGAGATGTCAAAAGGTTAATCACTACTAGAATCTATACCAATTTATTGGTGATTCAGTTTGGAGCCATTTTCACCTTAGAGCAGAAGTGTCTAGATTTACAGGGACACTGGAGAAGGTGGGAGAGGAGGTGGAGACTGGGGTGAAAATATTAGGATAAGGATGGGGAGGTAATCCATATAACAGGCTCCAATGACTGTCGGAATGGCCAAATCGATCTTGAGGTAGTGGAAATCTCTTGCACAACTATCTCATCCATAGAGAAAACAGCAGTACTTTGTGTATCAGTCTGCACACCAAGTAAGAGAGCAGCAACCTTTAGAAAACAGCAGTACTTTGTGTATCCAGTCGGCACACCAAGTAAGAGAGCAGCAACCTTCACATAGCTGCAAAGCTGCCACTGATGTTGGTCATCGTTTATGCACCTCAAAAGTTGTTTTATGTTGTCATATGTTTCTTTCATATGGACTGTGTGACCATATGAAAATGATGGCAAAACACTGCCATTATGCCGCAAAACAGGTTTAAGACTCTTCTTTGATTAATCAATGAACAGTCTCCACTCATCTGGATCGTGAACAATGTTGAGGGCTGCCATCACTGATGCTTTTCCAGGCTAAAATTGTACCGTCCAAACCCAATCATAGATTTCTTTATAGATCCAGTCAAAGATGTATTTTAGTAATTTCTAGTTTAAATTGTGATCCCTTTTCTTTATTACTCATTTATCCTCCGCCATTCCCAAGTTAAGGGTCACATACACTGACCCAATTGCCTATCCTGAAAACTAGTCAGTCAACAATATTAAGCACCATTTTCATTCTCAGTGATCCAGAATTGTAAAGCTAGGCTACATATATTTCAGAAGCATTTCAGCTGTAGACCAGTGTTATGAATCGCCACACACCCTGCAATTGTCCAACTGCATTTTTTAAAAGCTTACTAAGGTAATAGTCATCACAACATCTTATAACAGTAATTTCTGTAAGTACTTGTTTCATGTGAAGTTACATGTGCAGTGTCTCAGTCTGCCTTTTTCATTTTCTGGCAAACACAGCTAGTTACTGAGGAGCTAGGACCAGCAATTTAGAGATTGGCAGCCAAACAAGTGTTATGTCAGCTGACTGGTATGCTGAAACCTGAACAGAATCGGATGTTTAGACCTCAGACAAGACTTTGCATTCTCCTCTGTTCATGACTGGTAGACCCTGGTAGAAATCAGTCAGGCTTGCTTCTCAGCAAAAGACCAGCAGTCATAAGATCAAATTCACGCGACGGAGTGAGCTCCCGTCGCTTGTTCCAGCTCCTGCCAACCTAGCAGTTTGAAAGCATGTAAAAATGCAAGTAGATACAGTAAATAGGTACCACCTCAGTGGGAAGGTAACAGCTTTCTGTGTCTAGTTGCGTTGGCAAGGTGACCATGGAAACTGTTTACGGACAAACACTACCTCTACGGCTTGGAGACGGGGATGAGCACCACGCCCTAGAGTCGGACATGATTGGACTAAATGTCAAGGGGAACCTTTACCTTTACCTATATTTTCTTATTTTGTTTTTGGATTGTTTTACATTGTTTTAAGCTTTTTCATGGTTACATCTAATGTTATTAATCACCTGTAGTTTACTTAAAAGAAAAGGAGAGCAGAAATGCAATAAAGTAATAAATACATAACTTTTTTATTGGTGTCAATGGAACTTGTCACTGTTTTCTTTAAGCTGGATGCAGTTCTTTGTATTCTTCTATACTTTCTCAACCTGCCTGGAAAGCTCATTGAGTTAGATATCTGGCTGTGAAGCCAGAGGTTTGCCGTTTGATTCCCCCACTGTGCCTCCTAGGGAAAGAGCCAGCCCATGTAGCCATGGGCAAGCTGCATAGTCCCAAGATGCCCGCAGAAGAAAGGAATGGTACATGACTTTTGAGTATTCTCTATTTAGAAAACCCTGGAAAGGGTCAACACAAGTGAGAATTGACATGAGAGTACATCATCATCATCATCATTATCATTATTATTATTATACCACTTTTTAACAAATCATACTTTAATAAAAAAATGTTAAAAACCAGAAAAAAGTATACAATCTATAATTAATTGGACAGTTACTTTATATGAAACAATTATTACAGTGTAAGCAGAAAACAATATGACAACTGCATTACCTGTGAAAGCTCCCAATTTCATGAATATGTGTGCTGCCTGAAATTAAATTACCAAATAATTCTGGTTCCATTTCCTTCTCACTTTTTATTTTGGTTTTTGGCTAAAAATAAAACATAGGTGTTAATTAAACACCCAATGATACAAGAGAAAAAAAAATAAAAATGAATCAAACATAAGGAGAGAAATTACCTGGTCAAAGAAATATATGGGGCCTTGTTGCAAAGTCTCATCCATTGTCTCAGTGAAGTTGTAAAGCTAAAATATTATAAGCATAACAATAAAAAACGTGACACAGATAAAACACTTATTCTTGCAAGCTGGAAAGAAGGCTGGTTGTTGTGGCTTCTGAATTTTTTCTGGAATAAATATTGGTTGATTACTGTACTTTATGCATGCTAGTAATGAAATGTGCCTGAATATTTTAACTTATGAAATTAATTAAAAGAACTTTTCTTTGTCTGATCAGGTCTGTTTTATATTTGCCAAATGTGGTTATTAATAAGATCTAATTCTTGCTTCCATCCAGGAATTTGGTATCTAAATTTAAACGCTAATCATTAATGTTAAAATTTGTATTAAAAAATGGGAATAGACCAAACTGAAGAAAGACAATTTCTTCCTGGAAAAAAAAAATACAAAGAGAGCTGTGTGGTCCTTACACAACACAATGTAGGTGACTAACTGATTTCCAGTGTAGTGTAGTGGATAGAGTGATGGACTAGGACTCTGGAAAACAGAGTTCATATTCCCACTTGCCCATGGAAACTCCCTGGAGGAGTGGAACTGGTAAAACAACTCCTTAAATATTTCACTTACCTTGAAAGCCCTGGTAGGACCATTATAATTGAGTTCCAACTATACAGGACAGAACACACACAATATCTAAAAATAACCACGAATCTTCTTGTATATTCTCCTCTTTAGACCGATAATTTCCTCCTCCTTCCTGAAATTTCCCTTCTTATCTATGAATCTACACAGAGACAGAAAATAGATAATGTAACATACCAGGAAAGAAGATTTTCCACATAGAAGAAAGCTTGCTTGACCAATAACTTCAAATGCAACACTTATAAAAATACCTCTTTCAATGGAAAGTGAAAAGACGGTGCTGGCAGTCAGTCTGTCAACATACTCTTTTAAAGGCTTGTTGCTTGGTTACCATGCGGTGTAGCTTGTACACTCAACTATGACCCCTTTCTTCAATTATTTCTAAGCTTTTAAGTAGCAATGTTTAAACATGCAGGCTACAAATTTGTATAGTCTGATACTAAAACCACCGAAATCAGTAGATACTGTATTAGTATGCTTAACTGCACGTGACAGTGATCCATATTTAGTATTATATTACAATGAAAGCAAACTCTTTTGACACAACCTCTTCTGTCTGAGGAAATGAACTGTAAATCACAAAAGTTCATGCTGAAAAAGTCAGTCTGTAAAGATACACAAGACTTTGTTTGCTTTTATGTGAAACTTTGCAAACTGATGGAGTGATTTAGGGTTAAAATAAGAGGAAAAGCTAAAGGAAACACTAGTATCCTTTTCATTATAACAGTCTCTATTCAGATTTATTTTAGAGCACCATCCTAGATATATAATTTTTAACTTTTTGGTTGCATACTCACACATTTTCCTCAAATTACATTCTATTGAAGAACTGGTTCCAGAATTTTTTACATCAACACTATTCTTGACTTCTGAGATGCTCTCATGCCTCCTGACCTCTGTTTCACTATTATCCAAGCACTTATAACAAAAAATCATTTAAAATTTAAAATTAGAAATAAAAAACTAATAAAATTGCTTTAACTCAAATAAGTACACATACTTTTTCCCTCATATTTAACAACAACAAGAACTACTACTACTACTACTACTACTACTACTACTAATAATAATAATAATAATAATAATATAGAGTGGCAAAGTTAGTGCACTGGTCATTATGCAAAAAATATAACTTGCCAGCTTCCAAAAACCCGTGGGAACATCAGGTACAGAAGGCGTCAGAAAATGAGGAAGTCAAGATCTTGTGGGATTTCCGGATCCAAAAGGATAGACACCTTTAACATGACACACCAGACGTAGTAGTGATAGAATGAAAACAATGTCTGAATCATTGACATTGCAATTTCAGGGGATGCCAAAATTGAAAATAAAGAATTGGAAAAACTAACAAAGTACAGAGACCTGGCAATCAAAACATCTCACCTCCAGAACAAACATACTATGTTCCCGTAATTATTGGGGCTTCGGGAACAATATCAAAAAATTTCACACAGTACTATAAGCAGTTGCAGATTTCAGAAATCACACCATCAGAGCTTTAAAAATGGCAATATTAGGAACAGCATACATACTGTGCTGAATTTTAACAGATACTTAGGTTTTTTTGTTAAAACTTGTATCTGTTATATAGTACCAATCAATGTTTTTGTTTATTGATTGTGCCTGATGTTTTAAAATAATATTAACAACAACAACAACAATATACAGTGATGTTTTAAAATAATATTAACAACAACAACAACAATAATATACAATCAAGACAATCACAACTTTTGCTGACCCTTCTCAAAATGGTTTGTCAATCCCTCCTTCTGGCGGCACTCTGGGATTGTAGAGCTTGTAAACCCATCAGCCACACACATTCCTCATTATCTCAACTGGCCCTACTCCCAGGAGGCATAGTGGGGATTTGAACTCAAATAATATTAACAACAACAACAACAATAATATACAATCAAGACAATCACAACTTTTGCTGACCCTTCTCAAAATGGTTTGTCAATCCCTCCTTCTGGCGGCACTCTGGGATTGTAGAGCTTGTAAACCCATCAGCCACACACATTCCTCATTATCTCAACTGGCCCTACTCCCAGGAGGCATAGTGGGGATTTGAACTCCTGCAGCCGGGTGCTCCAACATACTGAGCTAAGGCAACAAAATATGAAGCTGCTGCGCTTCAGTTCCGTGCACCCCTTTTGCAATTTCTTTATGCCACCAAAGAGGCACCAATGTTTTAATAGTCTGAACCCTGCCAACTGAGAAGACCAAAATACAAAAGCAGCATTTTACGCACAGGCCAGAATCTTACAGTTCTTTGCATAAGGTTTCCATAGCTTGATGCAGCTGAGGTGCTGGGACACATCTCCACTCATCACACACCTGACTGCATAATTGAGACATGTCCTGGCACCTCGCCAATTAGCCGCAATTAGCTGCAGCAAGTTATACAAAACTCAAATGAACACTGACAGGATTCTGAACGGCATCACACAAAGAAAAGTGTTTAGCCCATTGTGAGAAAAGCCTTTTCTCATACACAGATTAAACATAATCTGTATCAACTGCCTGTAGTGTTCTCTATTTATTAGGTCTATGGTTCATGTTATATTATGTAATGGTTCATGTTTGTTATGTAATGGAATGATTCATGCATATTAATATTGCTGAGAGGCGGAGCCGAGAGAGATGCCATAAGAGGTGGAGTCAGAGAGTCAAGGGGTAGATTGAATAAGTAAGAGAAATGTAAAGATCAGGTAGCAGAGAAAAGTCAGAGAAAGTAATACAGTGTGTAGTTTGGGAAATTCTGAGGTGTGATTAGCTACTGAAGAGATTTATGAATCAATCTCTGTAATCAATAAACCAAAGTTTTATTTAAAAGAACTTGAAGTGTGGACCTGAATCTTTCTGAGGTAATGGTGATTTAGGGATCACCTGGCAGCAGCAGTGTTAAAGAGGAGAGTGTTTGCCTTCCTCGGCTCTGAGGCTTGAAGGTCAAGCAAAAGGGGCACGAGGGTGAATGCCACACTGCCCTTTACAAGAATTAATCATAACAAAGATCCACGGCTATCTTCGTTCTTCACCCAAAAGCATTCAAATCCAAAAGAAAAATAAACCCTGCAGCAACACCTTGCTTCAGTTCTTGCATCATATACAGTATCAGCAAAGGAGTAGGATGCAGAGTTCCTATCCTTCACTTGCCAATCACAGCAGCTGCTTTGCTCCAGTTGGCCACGGCTGCATTTCTTTCCTTGGCAGCAGTTATTTCCTTGGCTGGTAACTGTGGGCATTAACTCTCCTGGCTTGAAAACACATTAGTGGGCACACAGCATATCTCTGGCTTGAAAAGAGCTTGCTAGGCAGTTGGCAATAATGCCCTGATTTTATTAAAATTAAATGTTATTAAAATTATTTCATAATTTAAATAACTTCCCTGATCCATCTTTAATCCTGTTGTGTATGACTGGCAATTCTGCTGGAGATGCACATCCATTCACATCAACCAACAGGATAATGAACTAAATTAAATGACAGAAGCACAGTGGGGCACAGAAATGCTTCCCTTCCCAGACTGAGACATCAGTACTGTATATAAAACACTTATGCTATCGTTTTTTGTATTGAATGCACTGATTTCTGTTCTTTTGTCTACCTCCTTTTTATATGTTTAGACTCCTTTCTACAGTTTTTTTAAATGAAAAATGTATTCACTTTTCCTGTGATGAATAACAACCAAATTCAGTCTAAAACAATACACATGCTAAAAAGACCAGGGTGAAAAACATTCTGACAAAAGCACTACTGAATAGGTATGATTAAGTATTTTTAGATGTTTCACATTCCAGAAGGTATGTCTTCAAGAATATGTTGAACCATTGGTAAGTCACATATTGAAATATCAGACTGCATTTGAACAGTTAAGCTTAAGGATACATCCACTGAAATCAGAATAAAATTCCATTAAATAATTTTTGAAAAAGGAATTTGTTTTTTTTTTAAAAAATCAAAATTAGAAGCAAATAAATCCTTAAATTTACGTTGTAAGTTGCTGTAAGCCTCCTGTAGCAACCCCTTAAAATATCCTGCAGCAACTTTGAGTGCAGTCCTCACTCTCTCCAAGTTAAGTGTGTATGAGACCATAGCCTTAATAAATTTATTTTGACATAGGCTTTTATGGATTGATTTGATGATGTGACTATAGCCAAAAACAAACAATTTGCCCTGTAATAATAAGTGTCTACCTATCTTAGACTACAAGACTACAAAACGTAAGCCCCCCCAAAAAAAGCTTGTGCATGTTAAGGAGACTCTAGGGCAGTGGTCAGGGAACATGAGTAAATTACCCCAAATGGGATAAAAATGAAAATCCTGGGGGTAATGAGGACAGTTGCAGCAGCATGACCTTCCTCATTACCTCGAGGCATTTTATTTCCGATGATACTATGTATAGGCGGGAATTCCGTTGCGGGGAGAGGAGGCCTCCTTCCCACCCTGCCTCACCTGAGCTCATGGGCGGTGGACCTGCCAGCCCTGCGGTGCCCGTCTCCCGTCACCAAGGGCGTGCTTTCATGGGCGGCATGGCAGCCGCAGCTCCTGGGCAAGCGCAGAGGCGGGGAGGGGGGATGGGCTGCAGACGGCAAGAGCGGAGGGGCGGTGCTGGGAGGGGGTGGTGTAATGTTGGTGTATATAAATTTTTTAGGGGGGGTAAAAGATAAAAAAGTTCCCTGACCCTTGCTCTAGGGCTATGCAGCTGAGAGTTATTTAGCCTTCTATATGCATAATTACATTGCTGTAATTTAGATGTGATCACGTGTTAGACGCCTGTATTATCTCCAGTAATAAGACTTCCTTAATCAAGGGATAGGTTTGTAGTCTGAATCTTTTGGGAAGTAATTCCAGAAACAATGGCTAGAATCCTAACAGTGTTTGCATAACTAGCTGTGGCTAATTGACAAGGTGCTCGGGCACATTTTGCTTGTGTTATGAGGCACGTAATCAGGCACATACTTGAGATCCACCCTGGCATCTTATTAATTAACTGCAGCAAGATACACAGACACCAATGGGATTCTGCCCAGTTACCTGGCTGCCCACCACGTTGCTTAAGAGCAGATGTGTTCCTCACAGGATTGCAATGACTTCACTCATACAGAGTTGGTAAAATGTGTACCAACACAGACCACTATGTACCTTACTTAGCAGGTGTTCATGCATCACACAAATGGTCATTATGTTGTTATGTTGTTGTTGTTTAGTCGTTAAGTCATGTCTGACTCTTCATGACCCCATGGACCAGAGCACACCAGGCCCTCCTGTCTTTCATTGCCTCCCGGAGTTGGGTCAAATTCATGTTGGTAGCTTCAATGACACTGTCCATCCATCTCTTCCTCTGTCGTCCCTTCTCTTCTTGCCTTCACTCTTTCCCAACATCAGGGTCTTATCCAAGGAGATTTCTCTTCTCATGAAATGGCCAAAGTTTTGAAGCCTCAGCTTCACGATCTGTCCTTCCAGTGAGCACTCAGCGTTGATTTCCTTTAGAATGGATAGGTTTGTTCTCCTTGCAGTCCAGGGGACTCTCAAGAGTCTCCTCCAGCACCACAATTCAAAAGCATCAATTCTTCGGCGTTCAGCTTCCTTTATAGTACAGCTCTCACTTTCATACATCACTACAGTACTGGAACACAATTAAAAAGCATCAATTCTTCGGCTTTTTTTTTTTCTGGTCATGGGGTTTTCTTGGCAAAGATACTGTACTGGAGTGGCTTGGCGCTGTCTAGTCGGAACTCTCCACTATGACCTGTCCGTCTTGGGTGGCCCTGCACGGCATAGCCCATAGCTTCACTGAGTTACTCAAGCCCCTTCGCCACGACAAGACAGCAATCCATGAAGGGGTTACTGTTATGTTGTCGTCTAGTTGTGTCCGACTCTTCGTGACCCCATGGACCAGAGCACACCAGGCCCTCCACTGCCTCCCAGAGTTGTGTCAAATTCATGTTGGTTGCTTCGATGATGTTATGTACTACCAGGTAATTTCGGATGGTAACTCCAAAATTTGGGCTGTTACACATGCATGTCCTTTTGTGAGATCTGAAGAAGTGTTTTAGCATTGTTGTCCCCCAGAGACTTTCCCTTGCTGAGTAGGAATATGAACCCCAATCTTTCAAGTCCTGGTCAAACACTACACCATGCTTTTTGGCTCTCAAGGTGATTCTAGCCAGTAGAAAGCCAAGGACTTGGCTAGCGCTACCCTACATGCAAATCCAATAAACATTAATTCACAAGCAAGTCCACTTGATATCACGTGCGCAGGTATAAAATTGCAGCCTTTGTCTCCGAAGGTGCCACAGGGCAATCCCCTGGAAGAGCCTTGTTAAAACAGAACCACCAGATACGTCCAGCTGCGTAGCCCTCAAGACCCGCAGCTGACAAGCTCAGCTTCACCCGCGCGCGCCGGTTCTCCCCGGGTTCCTCGGCCCTTCTCCACCCCTCCCATTCACCCGCGCCCGCCCCTCCCGCTCCATGAGGGCGAGTCCTCCAGGTTTCCCGGCGTGCCTCTGCGCTGCGCCATAGAGTTGCCGGCGCTGGAGCGGCGCTCTTGCTGCTTCTGTTCCTTTCTCGCCGGGGCTGTCGGTGGCATTCGTGGGAGCGGCGGCTGTCGTGTGCGCGCTGCAACATGGCGGGCACGGAGCAAGGGGGCAGCCCGGAGGAGAAGCACCTGAACGGGGAGCTGCTTTTGGATACCGACGAGAGAGAAGGCGCGGTGGGCCCCGGCGCCGAGGAAGGAGCCAAGAAGAAGCGCAAGAAGAAGAAGAAGAGCAAAAGCACCGTCGCGGGTACGAAGCAAGGTGGAGGGAGCGGAGCGGAGCAGGGGAGGCCTCAGCGGAGGGCGGGCAAGGCCGGAGCAGCCGCGGCAGCAACTTCGGGAGAAGAAGAAGAAGCGGGCGGGTGCGCAGCCTCGGGCTAGAACCGGAGAGGGACGGAGCTGGAGGCGCTGACCGGGGCAGGCGAGCCGAAGGGACTTGCAAGGAAAGACGTTTGGGGTTGGGGGCCCCGCGGTGGTCGGGCTGCTGTGTTTGTGGGGGAGGTTGTCGTCTGAAGGGCTTGGAAAAGGGGGCTGGGGTCCCCGGGGGGAAGAGGAAGGAGGAGAGTATTGGAGGCGTCGGCGGTTAAGATACCGGGTGTCATGCCGGCCTGAATGCCGGTCGTCGTAATAGGTGGCCGAAAATGGATAAACTCGAGCGCGGGCTGCGTTCAAGAGGCGCTCCTTGTGAGCAAGAGCTCACCTCAGCGAGCGTGGGAGGGCGGGATTGTTGCTGAAGGGTTATCGGGGAAACGGGGCCAGGGTTGGTGCAAGCCGCCTTTGGGGCACTGGGTGGGGAAGATAAAGCACTCCCTGCAACGCTGTTGCCCTGGGATTGTACCAAGAGGAGAATAACACAGGACATTGCCATCTGAGGAGAAGGAGGATCTCGAGTATGGCGAATTGACTGTTATACACATTGACTGTACTGTCGAAGATATTTCAGAATAGGTGCTTGACCTCTCTGGAAGAGAGGAAAAACATGAGAGCAGGGGTGAGTTCAAAAGAAATGGTTGCTGCTTGGTTTTCCCCAGACACTGGGGACAATACTAAAGATGGGTTTGTGGTAATCAGAAAGACTTAAATTGACTGTAGAAGCAAACTGTGGAAAGGTCCTTCTTTCAGTAGAAGGGCCACTTGTCTTGAGGGTGAGGGAGAAATGTTATTAAAGGCAATATTTCAAAGAAGTTCATAATTTATCTATAGTGCTAGTATGAGGAAAGTTAAGTGTTACAGTTCTGAGAAGATGCATTCCATGCTGAAAACCTCATACTGTATCTTCATCAGGTTTTTGTATCTGTTTTTTAACGCCCACTTCTTTGTAAACAGGACAAGAAACAGAAAGAGATGAGACAACTCTTGATGAAGTAACAAAACAGATGGATAAACAAACACTGGAGGAAAAGGACAAAGATGAGGATGATGAAGGCAAGTATAATTTATAATTCTATGTGGTATATAAGAATACTTCTGGAGAACATTAGGAGATTACTGAAATTATAATTCCTGCTGAAGCAGATTTACATGGGTAATTTGTTCACTGCTTTCAAAACATTGCAGTAATATTGCAATCTTGGAAGTAGCCAAGAAGTATTTATTGCATATGAGACCTGTGTGTATAAGACACGTTACTTTAGGTAGCACCTAGTGTAAAATTTATATTTCAATAACTTTGTCTTAGAGTTCTAAGACAGAGAACATCTAAAACATTACAAAACATTTTGGTTGAAAACTTGGAATGCAGGCAATATTTTACTGCCCTGCAACAGACATTGATGATATTGTTTGGTTTTGGAACAGAACAGCACATGAACCAGGAGTAGGGAACCCAGGCTCTCCGTATAAATTTGGACTACAACTCCCATCAACTCTAGTTAGCTTGGCCAGTGCTTAAGTATGGAAGCCACAGGTACCATGCACTTGTGCTATTCTAAAAACAATATACAGTACTAGCAACTGTAGTTTAACAAAACAAGAAGTAGCAGCAGCAGTTCTAATTTCCCACCTCCTCTCATGTCACTGCAAGGTTTGACGCAGCTTTTAAAATTTGCCTTGTGGTTAATCTTAATTATTGTTCATGGAAACAAGCTGTTTTTATGGTTTGGATTTTGTTGTTTCATTAAGCACAGATTAGTTTGGGCATAGTACTAGATTGTGATTAATCTAAATGGAGGTATCTTTGCACCTATACAGTATTTGAAGAATAAATGAGCATGTGAGCCTGATGCATCTTGCACCTGCTTTCAGTAGTGACATCCAGATGCAATCATTGGGTGATTCCCCCCTTAGAGTTGAAATTAATAATTTGATTCCAGACTAAAAGCTGTACAAAACAGACACACTGAAATCTGTACAGCTTAGCTTAGTTGTGACTAATTTGTGCCTTTGTTATCAGTTAGGTCTGGCTGATTTTGGATCCAAGCCTAGTATTTTCTCCCTTGTTTATTCTCTGCTGAATTGAATTTTTCATAACTTCAACTTCCTGTAATTCAAGAGAAACTGTGAATGTTACAACTGCTAAGTGATGGTGCCAAAGTGATAGAAGAAACTAAAAACAGTGTCAGAAGTTACTGTTAGAATTAAGAAGTGCTTTGAAGGTTAGTCGAACAATCTGACTTTAGTAGTGTCTGGGTAGTTACAATAGCAGAATTTTTGTATTTCTCCACTCAAGAGAATCCTTATTATCGCACCCTGTTTTACAATAATGATGATGATGTGCTGTCAAGTCATTTCTGACTTACAGCAACCCTTTTCAGGGTTTTCCAGGTAAAGAATATTCAGGAGTGGTTCACCATTCCCTTCTTCTGTGGCCATCCTGGGACTGTGCCACTTGCTCACATAGGCTAGCTATACTTAGAGGAGATACAGTGGGGAATCAAACTTCCAACCTCTGGTTCTGCTGCCAGATAGCTAAACCACTGAGCTATCCAGATGGCTTCTGTTCTGCAATAGAAAGCAGCTCTTTCATAATTATCGGTTAGAATGTTACTTGGAACCATGTTCCATTCTGCTCAGTGGGAATTCCTAATAAATGTGCCTAAGTCAGAAAGTGTCTTTATAGTCCAGATAGGAAGGATACAGCAGTATTCAAGGATGTGGCAACCCAGAGAGTTTGGCTTGTTGATTGGCAACTTTACCAGTAATACTGCAGAAAAAAACTATATAGCAGCAGCTAAAGAACTGAATGTTGCCAGCGTCTGCAGTGGTTAAATTTGGGGAACTGGAAAGTATTCCAGATCTTTGGATGAATGAATTGTATGCCAGAGTTTTTTTTTTTCTGATGTAGCGTAAATGGATTAAGTACAGATCAAGGGCAAGGGAAATGTGATGCAGTTTTAATTCACTAAAACGAGAACAGTGTTAAAAGCCTTTGACCGTTTAAAGAGCAAATATTTCTTTGTTTCCAAATCTGTGGGGACAAATAGCACTTTTAAAAATAATCTAGAACTTTCTTTAACACATTTTGCAGTCTTTAATGTCTTAATTGCTACATTTTCCCAATTAAATCTAAAACATATCCCTATTTTCTAATTTTAATGAAACACATATTAAAATACTGTTTCCTTTTTTGAAAACTTTAATTGGTTTAAAATTCAGAATGATAAACAATAAAAGGTGTGTATACGTCAGTAACCAGAACATGGTAGTTGACTCACAAAATCTGACTCCAGCTTCAATCATTTGACACTCTGCTCTCTTTTTATGATGTCTTTTCACTTCACCATGGAACTGTAAAAAGAAAGGATACGTTTTAGGCAGCAGCCCTGCCTGGTCTTTCTTAAGTGCCGTAAGGTTTTCATAAGGGAGAAGCAAGCATGTGGCCTTGCATCTTGAACTGTATTTGACTGGCCTTTGCAGAGCCATGACTAATATTCATTCCTTAATCATCACACCTTGAACACAGTCTCTATAAGCATATTTCTCTGCTACATAGAGACAGTTTCTGCACAAAACAGGGAAGAGGGCGCAATAACTTACAGCTTTATTTGCATCACAGTGTAGTGTTATCTAGTATCATGACATCAGAATTCATGCTAAAAGTTTGCTATATCTTTATCATTAAGTCAGCTAGGACGCTGCACAGATATGTCAGTGTGCAGTTTGGTTGAGTGTAGTTCATTTGCTTTGATGTAGACTTGGCTGTTGCCTTTGATCAAATATATTCTAACTGATTTTCCTCTTACAGCTCTGGAATAATGCTTAGCTGTCAGTGTGTTTATTTTCTGAGTTATTGCTATCTGTTACTGCTTATAAATTTGTTTTCTGTAGATGGTGAAGGTGAAGGTGATGGAGCAGCAGGGAAGAAAAAGAAGAAGAAGAAAAAGAAGAAAGGACGTAGGTGTTTGGTTGCATGGATATATTTTGACCAAATTTCTATTTTTACCATATATCTGAAGCTTATGCATGGTGTTATCTTTTACTTAGTATAGCTGTATGGTAACATCCATCTAACTCGATATGTGCTACTGACTGGAAGTGGCTGTCCTCTGGGAAATTTTCTTCCAACTCTGTCACCTCAATTGTTTGCAGAGGTTAACTTGTGTGAACAGAGTATCTGCACAGCTCTGCACTGCTGATTTTCTGCCTCTTTCCTTTAAATTTAAGCATGCTTACATGTGCACTTCAATAAGAGGTAGCAGGGTGAGAAGCTTAACTAATGTCTGCTCATCAAAATAATATAGATATCTGTCAAAGAGGCAATGATTACAGTTCTAATTGAGGTGCTGTGCCAGAAAGATGGCAAAGTTTTAGCTCGGGAACATTGGCTGGATTCACTCTGTTCACTCTTCTGTCATACAAGGACTGCTTTCTGAGAGGGGACATAGATTGTGGGTCCAGTGCACTGAGCAGGGTGTTCTTCATCTTGCTCATGATAAAGCATCAAGATAACTGACAGCTGTGGAAGGTTTTCTTGTACTCTTGAATGCAACTTGCACTAATATTGAAACCCTATCTCCAAGATTTTCAAACTGAAAATAGGGATACTGTCATATTTTAAGAATTCTTGCTTGACTGGTACACCACTTGCAAGGTTTTTTTCCTGTCTGCTGGTATTTATTATTATTTCTATCAATTTATTATAAAATGTGTATTCAACTTATTTTCTAGCCATACTTCTTTGTTTTAATATTTGTTATATTCGTTTTTATTATAAGATTCTTTGGAAAGAAAGGCGGGGTAGAAATCAGGAGCTGTCTGGTACTGGTTTCTTCTGCAGAGTGTTTGTAGACAACCATAAGATGTTTTCTCTTCCCAACTTTAAAATGAAATACAAGCATGTTTAATTGTGTAAATGGTAATAATCCTCACTTATTTAAATTAGACTATCCTGACGGAGAACTAAAGTTGAAAGAATTCTCGTGCACGTGTGCACCCAGTTTTAATTTTAAGAGACATAACAGGTTTAATGGTTTCCCTCAGATGAGGTATTTGAATGTACTGTACAAAGTATTTTGGTAAATAGAAGCATTCTTTGTATGCAGTTTTTGTGGTTATTTTTAAGAAACTGATAAGTGATATGTGCAAGTGAAACCTTTTGGCTGAGACTGAATCAGACCTGCTCTTTTGGCAACTGTAGAAGGCACTAGTGAGAATTGGCTAGGTTATTTGAGGATATCCAGTTATAGTTTCTGTTTTGGATGTGAGCCCAAGCAGAAGCCAACATTTTGAATGTAATATTAAAATTATACATTTCACCAACAGCTAAAGTCCAGACAGATCCACCATCTATTCCAATATGTGATTTGTTTCCCAGTGGGGTATTTCCAAAAGGTGAAGAGTGTGAGTATCCACCAACACAAGATGGGTAGGTATCTTGTTGTAAGTGTAAAGTTCTAAAATGTAAGGGGCAATATATTGACAGTATGTATTGATAGGAAATTATTGTGTGCATTTTGTATGCAAAAGCTGTTTGGTACCTTGCCTGTAAACTAGTGAAAAATGACACTGTGCTAACATGTTTTATACCTCAGAATTTAGTTCTAATTATAAATAGTAATATAAGAAGTGAATTCTGTGTGTTTATCTATTTTCCATGCTTCCATTACATGTGTAGTGAAATTATTGAAGCATGAAAGCAATAATGGCATCTGTTCATGTGTTTGACATATTTGCAAAACAGATTTGAAGTTTTTTTGTCCATCAAAACTGTGTGCTAAAATATAAAAAGAAGGTAGGTTGGCGGCTGACACCATTGTGGTCTGCTCTGTGCCTGCAGTGAGTAATTAGAGGCAAAGTGGATTGAATCTTTTTGGAATCCAAAAGCTCTCAAATGCCCCTATATGAACTAGTCCCTGAGAATGGTGTTATTTTTTTTGTTTGTTTGTTTGAATTCAGTATGAATGAAGACGTTACGATCCAGCTCATTATATGCTATGCTGATGTTGTTTTTGGACAGAGGCTTTTTCATAGGAAATGTGTGAAAATGATTTTTCTCACTTTAATGTGTAAGTGATATAAAATATTCACCAGTTCATAACCGCAAGCATCCAACCAATTTAATGTTGCCAATAGAGTAAACTAAGTATCTGCTGTATCCCCAAAAGGGTATACAGAAAGGGACTGTCCTCTTCTGAACCTTTTAGGAGGCATTCCAACCTGTCCCATCCCTTGGTCTGTGATGTTATCTATGTGTTTTAGGATCTCCCTTTAAAAATTGCATGAATTGAGTAGATGTGTGTACAAATGGCATGACCTGGGGTGGAGCTATGCATTGTCACTCATTTTGGAAATTTTAAACATGAATCATTTTGAGAATTTGCACAGTAAGTCAAATCATGTAAAGTAGCAGTGGAAAAGTGCCACTAATTCATGAAGTGTTAACTGAGTGACACACATCTTCTCTCAAGTATGGGATCCAGTTGCCTTCAAAGTTTTGTTTGCATTCAGATCAAGAACGAAAGAATGAATTCTACCTTTTATTGCAAACTTCTCCATTCCTTGGATTCTGCATAGGTAAAGCTCTAGTCTCTAAGGTCTTTTGACTCCCCTTATCCAACAGGTGCTAAATGGCTGGATGGGGGAAAGGCAGATCCTAGCATCTCACTTGTGTAACCTTTCTACTCCCAAGCCCATTCAACAGTCATCCTTCTGCAATCACACAGTCAGCTCCAATAGTGCAGTAGTGGCCCAAATCCTATTAGTTACACCCACTCACATAGTGTAAATCTCAGTGGTGAATTGCTACAAGCTAGAAACTCAGTGTTGTCATTTCCTGTTGTATATCAGATTGCATGACTTAGTCGATAAATAGCAAACTCTTATGCATACTTCTTCACTTGCAGCAATCAGCTGCCAAGATTACACTGATTGTGTTATGCCATTTTAAAAGTATCAATAGAATTTTAGACAGTATTTTAGTAAATTTAAATGAACTAAAATGAATAATGGAAAAAGGAAGAATTTTGAAGAATACACAAATGCTGTCTAAACAGCAACACAAATCTCTCTCATGTTGACAGAGTGGCTGCAAGGGGATACACATGCACATGTGTGTACTGTGCAGTGACTTTGGATTTGGTAGGGTTCAGCTGTCACTTGCCTTCTCCTTTGGTGCCAGCAATTCAACCTACTGCATTATTTTTGATTTCCCATACTTTCAGTTCAAATCTTTGACCATGTTTTTAATCATATGAATGCCAAATGAAATATGAAGCATCCCTTGCATTGTCCCTTTGCTCTGATGATGAACAGGAGCACTTTGCTCCTCCCTGCAGTTGCCCCCAAATCAAACATACACCCTTGATTTGATCTGCTTTTGCATATTTGTCTGAAGACTATGCCTAATGTAAATGCAACATTTCCCATTGTTTCATCTTTAGTCCCTCAGTTTCTTTATATTTCAACCTTAAAGGAGAACTGCTGCTTGGAGAACTACAAGTGATGAAAAGAGAGCCCTAGATCAAGCAAGTGAAGAGATCTGGAATGATTTCAGAGAGGCTGCTGAAGCACATAGACAAGTGAGGAAATACGTTATGAGCTGGATCAAACCAGGAATGACCATGATAGAAATCTGGTGAGAAGAAATGCTACAGGAATCTTATTCTTTATGATAAATTAAATGATGACTGCATAAGAATTGAGTTCTTTATGGGTTTAATTGAATGTGCAGGGTATATTTTTGTTTATAATAGACATAGTGTCTCATTGTTATCAATCTAACCTCCACTAGTTCTCATACACCATTGGTAGTGCCTGCAGAATTATCAGGCTTCAGCAGTTGTTTAGTTCTAACTCAAGCTTCTATAAATACCAGTGTTTTGCATAATTGCTTCTAAGGCAATGAGATTAGGGGACAAGTGGCTATCATAGTGTTGTTCAAAACTGTTTAATGTATGTTGTGATGTAAAAGGAAGAAGAAAGTTGGTAGACACCCTCAGCTTTTATGTTCCTTGGAGCAGCAAATACTAGTTTCATACCAGAAGAATATCTGCTGTAGTGTACGGCACAAAAAAACCCAGATTATTTTAAGTTTCTCAAAGGTGGTTTCAAGGTAGCTAAATAAAACTGTTGGAAAACAAATCCTTTCATGTAACGGAGACATTTGCTTTCTTAGTGAAAAATTAGAAGACTGTTCACGGAAGTTGATAAAAGAGAATGGCTTAAATGCTGGGCTTGCATTTCCCACGGGGTGTTCTCTGAATAACTGTGCAGCCCACTATACCCCCAATGCTGGCGATCCAACTGTATTACAGTATGATGATATCTGCAAGATAGATTTTGGAACACATGTCAGTGGTGAGTTTTCTCTTGCTTATTAAGCATTAAGATCAGCTAGTTGAAGGCAGATGATTTTACTAATTTGTATTTAATTTCAGGTCGTATCATTGACTGTGCTTTTACTGTCACATTCAATCCAAAATATGACAGGCTCTTACAAGCTGTAAAAGATGCAACAAATACTGGAATAAAGGTATATTCACAGAGGAAAATGTAGTTTTAGTTTTTTTCTACATAATTTGTGGGAACTAATTTATTTTCTTCAATCTGTCTTGTATATACGTTTAGTGTGCTGGAATAGATGTTCGTCTTTGTGATGTTGGGGAGGCTATCCAAGAAGTCATGGAATCTTATGAAGTTGAAATTGATGGCAAAACATACCAAGGTATTTTTTTCTAGTACAGTGTTCTTCCATAGTGTAAGAGGGTCTACATGTACATGTTAAATGTACACACACACACCATTTCTGCATTGCTGGTTATAGTTGTGTTGCAGATGGAAAGTATTCTGAGATATTTAGATGGTCAAAGTGCTCTGGGGCCAAAATCTAATAAGGTAATTTTGGTAGAATAAGGATTTCCTACTATTCTGCCACCTTTTGAAGCCAAGCAAAAGAAAAGAAAAAACCTGCTGCAGAGAGATTCCCAGCCTTTGATAACAGGTTTTTCAGTTGCCTGGTGGGCTAAGGGGGGCGGGATTGTCAATCCTGGTGGAGAGCAGCAGAAATTGTATCTTTAGATTCTGGCCTTGCATTAGAGCACATAGTATATCCAAAGATTTTTGGGGTTCTGCCAGCCACTTCCTCCTAATGGTGCTGTTTAAAAACAATTTCCCTTCCATTGCAAGCAGTGATGAGGAAATTAGACATACCAACCTCAGGTCTAGTGTAACTTTTCCCCTGTGTTGCTCGCAAGGTCAGGGATTGGGAGGATGTTGGATTTTGTAGATACCGAGACTGTCCTGCTCCAATAGTGTTGCTCCCTCACTCCTTCCACCTGCCAGTATTGGAGACAGAAAAGCCATAAATCTTTCCAAGGGTAGAGAAAGATTACCGCTCTTGCACCATCCTCGAAGAAGGAGATCTGACTTTCCCTATGCCCCTTGTAAGATTACACAGTTTTTTAAAGATATCTTGGCTTTTGTATATAGCAGTTTTTGAATAACTGTGGCCCTCCAGATGTTCTTGGACTTCAACTCCCAGAAGCCTTCACCACCACCTCTGCTGGCCAGGATTTCTGGGAGTTGAAGGCCAAGAACATCTGGAGGGCCACAGTTCGACACCACTGCCTAGATCATAAAAGCTAAGGATAAGATTTGTTTTAAAAAATTAAGGTTTACTATAATAAGGTTACCTGTTTCAGTTACTTGTTTTATATTATATTTCTCATAGTATTTTATTTTATTTTCTGTAACAGTGAAGCCCATTCGCAATTTGAATGGACACTCTATTGGACCATATAGGATACATGCAGGCAAAACTGTTCCCATTGTGAAAGGAGGAGAAGCAACAAGAATGGAAGTAAGCAAGTGGTTGTTAGCGTCTTGTCTTATATGATATTATAGTGTGTATTATAGTGTGTTTGATGTCCATTGAACATAATAACGTTTAGGATTAAAATGCCAAGCACTGCATTGATCCAAAGCTTTTGGGTCAGTATTACCTTGAGAGAAAAGAAAGCTTATGCTCTGTAGTCAGATTGTTTGAATCCACAGTGATATAGTTGCTGTTCACAGTGAAGTGTTGCCAATTTGCATGCATTATTCATAAATGGCGTTACTTATATTTAAAAGGGTAATGATTTGCGTACTGCAGAGATGGGAAAAGTTGTCTTTTTGGACTCCTTCTCCTTGCGTATATCAGTTCCACCCAGCAGCATAGTGAATCCAAAAATATAATGGTTTTCATCTCTAATATACCTTTGTAAGTATTAGAGAAAAATGGTTAGTTTGCTCAAACAACTTGTTTCTTTCCCACTTTATATATGTATAAAATAAGATATTTTGGAAGAACTTCTTTAAAAAATTAAAAACCAAATAAACACATGAGGCAAAATCTTCAATTAGGATAAAAAAATCTTGTTGGTTGAGATGTAAAAGGAATATGGATCTTCTGCTTGCCTGATTCTCACAATTAATGTGATATCTTTTTAATGATGGAAAGGTTTTCTACAGATCAAGTAGAAATTATAGTGAGCTTGTTGATTAAATTTTTTATTTTTTTGTTTGGTGATTCATCATCAGGAGAGAAGTACCACCTCCATTTACAAATTTATTGAAAAACTAGCAGAAGTCTTAACAGCTTCTAAATGTGATAGTAATATCTGTCTTTCCAGAAATGTTCCAGAATTCATAGAACAAGTGGTCCATTACTTCCACTCAGAGTGAATTGCAAAGGGGTTGCAGGACAGCTGAGGATATTCCCTTGTCCTTGCACTTGTCCTGATTTTTTTGTCTGATAATTGAGATATGGCCATTTTGACTAGTTAAGATTGTTTATCAAATACTCACAAGGTCCTGGTCTAGGAATAAATAAAATATTTGCCATATTTTATAATATAGTGCTAGTGTGGTATACTAATTATTCTCTTAAAATGTACTAGTGCTCAGCAGTCTGGTCTAAGGCCTGATTTTCATATGGAGTTGGTTTGGACAATGTTAGTTGTAAGTTATAGCACTGCTTTAAATTTAAAATATAAGTTACATTTGATCTATCATTTGAGTGACCTACTATAACCTCAAACAATTCTAAGGGGATCTGCGAGAAAAAAATCGTTGAGTGATTAACAGGAGGGGAATAGATTCACTGTGTATTTGATGTGGAAGCTGTGTATAAATCAGTTACATATTGAATATCATGCATTTTGAGAGGGGAAACTGTTAGTTTATGGCTGAAAAAGAACAACAGATACATTGTCATTTTTATACTGTGGTGCCTCGACTTACGAACTTAATCCATTCCAGAAGATGGTCATAAATCGAAATGGTCGTAAGTCAAAGCAGCATTTCCCATTGAAATGCATTGAAACCCAATTAATCCGTTCTGGCTGTTTTTTGCTTGTATCTCAAGGCACCGGTTGCAACTCGTAGCATTCATTCCCGTAGGACAGACCTGGGCAAAATGTGGCCCGCGGACAGTTTTGAACATCAAAACCATTTATAGCTTTTTGTCTAAAGTTGATCAGTTGCTTATCTTTAACATACTGCAAAAAACCTCTTTAGTATTTGTGAAGATTAACAAGTTTAAAATAAAAACAATCATAACATCACTGTTTCATTTTATTTTTAAGTAAAGTTGGTTTGGCCCCCACAGTTCAGATTTTTTCATGTGCCCCCCCTATAGAAATTAATTGCCCACCCCTTCCATAGGAACTAATGCAAAAGTGGTTAATCCATCCTCTACCACTAGGGGGAGAATTTTTCTTATTTTAACCCAGACCTGGGCAAAGTGCGGCCAGAGGGCCAGATACAGCCCGCAAGCCGCTCTTGTCCAGCCCACGGACAGTTTTGAACATCAAAACCATTTATAGCTTTTTGTCTAAAGCTGATCAGCTGCTTATCTTTAACAAACCGTAAAAATCTCTTTAGTATTTTTGAAGATTAACAAGTTTAAAATAAAAACAATCATAACATCACTGTTTCATTTTATTTTTAAGTAAAATTGGTTCGGCCCCCGAACACAGTTCAGATTTTTCATGTGCCCCCCCTATAGAAATTAATTGCCTACCTCTGTTTTAACCTAAGATGACCTAGGTTAAAAAAAGGGCAGGGAAGGAAGGAGGGAAGGAACAATGGGGAAAAGAGGAAACAAAAAAGGTCATCGCTGGGGTACACAGTCCCCTCAGACAAATGTTTGTGCTGTTAAGCACAAAAAGAGAGAAGATAGTGTCATGAGTTCAGTTGAAGAAGATCTGGAATCTGAGGGCTTAATTACAGCTGAGGAAAATGCTGGGCAATCAGAATCGCAGACAGCTGAATCATCACCAGATTCTCCTCCCCCAGTAGCCAGAGTGAGGGATAAGTTTCAGCAAGGACTCATGACAACGAAGGTCCAAGGCTCGCATGAATGCTTCCCATAGGAACACCAGGTCGACCAGACCTGAGTTTTAGCAGGATGAAGTATTTAGATGACTGCTGCTGCTATAAAATCTACACCCAGAGGCTTGGAAGCTTATGGAAGCAACAAGTCAGCACCCTGGCTTGCATTCATGCTCCTGCTTATCTTGGACCTTGTTTTCTGGACCCTTGGCTTTGGACTCTGACTTCTGACTACGGTTTGTGTTTTGGCTTTGGCATTTTGGTATCTGTTTTGCATTATCTGGACTTCTGATATTGGACTGGCTTATTGGACTTTTGCCTGTTGAAACCCCCAGGAATGTGACATGTAGAGAGAGAGAGAGAAGACAATTGGGGGTGGGGGAGAGAGACTTAAGTCTAAACCACATTTTATGCCATTCCAGCAACCAGAGCCCTTCAGAGAAATTTTTCTGATTTTAAAACAAAAAGACTTTGGAGTCACATTTTAAACCCACACATTTTAAAACAAAAGTCACAGTACACAAACCCTAGGAGCCACAGAATGCAAAAATCAATCAGTCAATCAATCCAGCAACCATTATTCCAGCAAACAGATCTCTCAATCTAATTTTACATTGTAAAATTACAGTCTTCTTTTCACATTTAATTTTAATTTAATATTACAGTCTAATTTTCATTTTAAACCCACACTACAAGACCCATCAGATCACAGAAACATAACCCCCCCACCTAGCCCAAACCCATGCTGCAAAAACCCTGTACAGTACATACAGTACTCACTCAGAACAGGCACTCTCTGTTTTAAAAAAGAAAGTTAAAAATCCAAAAAGCAATTTTTAAAAAAGCAAAAAAAGTATAGTACAGTACCAGGCAGGCTGAAGTCTCTCTCCGTACCCACACTCTCTAACTGCTGGGGCGAATGAGGTACAGAGAAGCAGTCTCTTTGCTGACCAACAGTTAACTGAAAGCAGTTCAAATTTCCCACTCTCCCCCTCTCTGTGTTTTGTTTTGTTTTTGTTTTTTTGGTTGTAAGTCAAAGCTCCAGTTGCAGGTCAAAGCAAAATTTTGCGACCGGAGCTGTTCGTAACTCAAAATGGTCGTAAGTCGGGACGTTCGTAAGTTGAGGCACCACTATATTTAGGTGGTTACATTTGCTGAGACCGCACTGTCAAATTAAATATAAATCAGACTAATTCCATTTATAGTATGTTTTGTATTTGAATCTATTTCTTTATAGGAAGGAGAAGTATATGCTATAGAAACCTTCGGCAGCACAGGAAAAGGTGTTGTTCATGATGATATGGAATGTTCTCATTACATGAAGAACTTTGATGTTGGACATGTGCCAATAAGGTTAGCACTGCTTTTATTTACAAAAAGCTCAAATGTTGCTTTAGGTGTATCAGTAGTATGGGGAAAATTGTGTCCAGTATGAAAGAAAAAAGGAAGAATGATGAGTAGTATATCTGTGAAGAATCTCAGTCATCCAGGTGAGGTTATCTGGAGGTTGAGTCATGGCTATATGTATATGAATATGAATATCCCCACACAGGTGGCGATAACGAGAGACCGGATGGTCCACTCACCAATCCATCGTGGACATGGACCATGCGATTCTAGCAATGGATCCACAGCACGCAATCCACTTGCCAGTCTTCGACCTTGCAGTGAGGCTTGTCCTTCCGCCTCCCGCCAGGAGTGGTGAGTGGATCCGCACGCTGCGGATCCATTGGTAGAACTGCGCGGTCCGCGTCCATGGTGGATAGGTGAGTGGACTGTTCGGCCCCATGGGACTGGACCCTTGTTAATGCCACCTGTGGGGGGTATTTGTATATGAATACAAATACTGTACCCCTATTTCTAGTCATGGCAACTGGACTTCAACCTAGTAAGAAGTTCAGTTGCCATGACTTAACTTCCAGATAATGGTGAGTAGTGTTTCTCTGAAACACAGTTTAAGTGCATTTTTGAAACAAAGCCATAACACTTTTAAAGTTGTTTATCCAGCTACTTCTTAAATATGAGTGGACAGGAAGCACATTGACAGGTGCCTAACAGCAGTTATGAGAAACAGTATTAAATGATTGTGCTTTAAATATAGTGATCTAGTTTTAGTAAGAGGAATCATGCTTTATGATCAGCTAAACAATAAGATTAAGGTAAAGAAGCAGCAGTGGAGAATTGGGTATTTCATCATACTCTCTTGCTTTTACTGGAAATAGAATAGAATTTTATTACATTAACAGGAGTGGAAAGAAAATGGTTTGTCCATTCCATGACCAGAAACTTGGGGACAGTGGAAAGTGTGATGCTCTGGATCTGTGTATCTAACACAACATGGCAGATTTATGCCATGTTAATTACTGGGATTTATGCCATGACATGACTGGGATGTGTATTTTGGTGAAGCACTTGGAATTCTTTGCTTTGTGTTTCAAGAGAAGACTAGAACTCTGTAGCAGAGAATTCTGTTACCCAATCACACTGCAAATCTCAGATTCTGCAAGGTACAGCTGTGACAGTTAATAGCAGTATACTGCTTTAACTGTAAAGTCAAACAATGTGTTGAAGCTACAATAAGCTCACTTACAAGGGAGCAACGTCCATTGAATGCAGTGGGAGTTGCTTCTGAGTAAATATGAATAAGATTGCAGAGTAGATTGTAAGCTGACAGCTGAATTTTTCAGAAGAAAATATTCTGATTCACCAGCCTCTCTTCACACTCATTCAACAAATTATTTCTTCTAGGCTTCCAAGGGCAAAACACTTGCTGAATGTTATCAATGAAAACTTTGGCACACTTGCCTTCTGCCGTAGATGGTTAGATCGTCTAGGAGAAAGTAAATACCTAATGGCTTTGAAGAACCTATGTGACTTGGGTATAGTGGATCCATACCCTCCCCTCTGTGATATTAAAGGCTCATATACAGCACAGTTTGAGCACACCATATTGCTGCGTCCAACATGCAAAGAAGTTGTCAGCAGAGGAGATGACTATTAAAGCTTCAGAGCCGTTACCTCACCTATGTACTTTGTTGGAATACATTATGCCAGAATAAATTTGCAATCTGTTTTAACTGTGGACCCAATGTGATAAGTTTCCACGTTTGGAAGAGAGGAATTTAAGGCAAGTTCTTTAATATAACTAAACAAGAAAAAACAGCTTTTGGGGCCTCTACAATATTTCAGGTTACATGCATATTTTTCTTCTGTGGGAAAAGCGCAATTTTTAGTTTGGAATGAGTTATACATATTGTGTGAAATATTTCTGACAAGGCTTTCCAAATATTTATAATATCGTATTCTTACTTGAATGCTTTGAATGACTTTACCTAATTTCTGCACCTAAGTTGTCTCCAGTATTGCCTTTTAAACTTCCTGAAATCCATTTTGTAAAATAATAATAATAAAGACAGATTTTCAGATCTAAAACTTCACATAGCTTAAATGGTAGTTCTAGGAAGTAGTTCCCTGGAAGAATTGTCCAGGTCAGTCTTGCCTTTAAGATTACTGTATCTGTTTACACTGGAAGATTTGTTTACTCTTTTCTTCCTACAGAGCTGGGATGAAGAATGTGCAGTTCTGGTGCACATTGGCCATGCTGCCTATCAGTTCCAATCCAACAGCATGACAGCCATATGGTCCCTGCTGCTTCTCTTTACCAAAGCTTGGCTTGTTTTATGAGATTACCCAACTCTCTCAAATGCATCATCTTCTTATATTACACTGTAACCTGGAATTCACACTCCCTTTCGATAAGTAGGGAGTTAATGGTTTTAATGTCCAAATATTGCTGCCATTCATTTGTGATAAGCCTACTAACTAGAATCAATAACTTACCATTAAACCATTGGTTATGATGGTCTGATTTAAATCACAATGTAAGTCTGTAAGTATTCTAGTTTCATTAGGAATTAATTCTAATAAAGCTTGACCCATTCAGAGGTCTTTACAGTAGCACTAAGGTTAACTAAATGAAATACAAGTCCCTCATTGTTCTTTGTAGAGTTGTCAGTCTTTCTATTCTTTGGCTACTTTATTGAGGTATTGTATTCTTTTGGAATGATTCTGCTGCCTTACCTGCAATAATACCTAGATCACAACCTACAAGGTGCAGCAGCATGAGCCACTTTGACCATGACAAGTTTTCATTACACCCCACCACTTGCTTTGTGCATCTGCAAGATAGCTTTGTTAATAACTTCTTGGTTTAATCTTGCAGTCTAGATAAAACATCCTTCTTAAATCTAGGTCATCTATTGACATTAGATGAGCACTGAAGAGCACCTAAGCTAGTAAGGATTTACTGTTTTTTTCAAACATACAATCCATTGGAAGAGAAAAGCAGTAAAAAATTGTAAACAAACCAGTCCATAGTCACCATGCTGCTTCAATAGCACTGACTATGCTATAGATGCCTAGTTGGCCTTGAAGAGAATTATGGTCATAATGAAACAAACTGACTGGAAATTTGGACAGTCTCTTCAATGCAGAATTATACAAGAGAAGCATTTAATAAAGCCTGTCAGTATGAAGACAATGGGATTTTCTATAATATTTCACTAGTTTTCTTGTACAGTTAAATATAAAGCGTTGGTGAGCTGTCCTCTAAAATTCAGTCTGAACTGGGAAGCTTAATTGGGTACTTCAAAAGGAAAGGAAGAGAAGAAAAAGTTTAATTTATAGAATTAAAGTGCAGGGGTTTAAGGAGAAAAACTACTTGAACTCAGCACAGGTAAAGGCTAGCAGGCTCATGCTTTTTTAAAATGCACAAATGTTGCTATTCTGTTCAACTCTTAAGTGTATTACAGTTTAGTAAAAATTAGTTAATCTTTTGTTTTTTATTCTTCTACCTTCAATCTATAGTTCTGGGGTTTGGGGGGCATATCTTTGTAATAGTTCATGTTCTGCTTCCCTTTCTCTTCTATTCATGGTGTTTTGCACCTGTTTTTATATCCCAACTCCCTCAGCACAAATACCGTATTTTTCGCTCTATAAGACGCACCTTTCCATAAGACGCACCGATTTTTTAGGAGAAGAAAACAGGAAAATATAATCTGTTTTCTTCGCTCCATAAGATGCACAGACTTTCCACCCCCCTATTTTGTGGGAAAAAAGTGAGTCTTATGGTGCAAAAAATACAGTACCTTATAGGGAGATCCACTGGGGCACAAAATACTTTTAACAGCTTAACAGTGCTCAAACAGGTCTGTCTGCTAGGGTCCGTAGGTGGAAACATTTGATTCCTTTTCGTTTCAGTTTCTTTTGAGCCAGTGGTGCCTTTTCAGTTATCAGTTTTATAATTTTGGCTTGGTGAAGGAAGGTGGATGAAAGGAAAGTGGGGATGACAGTGGTACAAGGTGGGTAGTGGTGAGGAAAATTCACTGGGAGATTTCGGTGAAGGAAAGGTTTAACGGGTGGGTGGAGAGCACAGCTGTCAAAATGGCAATTGCCATGACAAGGCAAAAGGAAGAGGGGAAAGATGGTCTGGCAGGTCCAACTATAGGGTAGTTTTACATGCATGGATGAAACACAAGAAATCTGATAAAATCCATTATTTTTAGGACTCTTTCTTGCAGAAAACCCAGTGTCAAATTTTAGAGGCTGTCTATTGGAACTTAACAAACTGAAAGCTTTTTTTGTGAGTCCCCCCCCTCCATGCAGGTTACCCTAAAAGTTCCATCCCTACTTGCTGCTTAATGTTGCAAAATTTCCTTCCATTTTTAATGTGGACAGATATTACCTTATCTGCTCTGTTCTAGGTCTTTATCGATGACTGCTCCAAATAAGACAGAAATACACAGTACTCTTATGTCAGCTGAGGAAGATAGTCAACTTACTTTTATTCAAAATCATTTGTTTTTACCACAGAGGTTGTCCTTTCCTCTTGTACATGTAGAAGCCCTGTTATTTTTAATACCGTGATCTTCCACTTGGCAATCACACAGAGCACTGTGTTGTGCTACATTCCTAACAAGATAACTGCATAGTATGTCTTTTTACAGGAGACTTCATGTACTAGGTATGTGATAAGAATTGTATAATAATAATGTCTCATTAGAGGGAGCCTGAAAAAGGCAATTTAAATAATCGCCTCTACTGCTAAGTTGCTACCGTTAACCAGTCCTTTGTGTTTGGTAGAGGATGCAGGTTGAGACTTTATAGCTGCATGATTTGGCACACTGAAATCTATTTACTGTATTCTACCTATTATCTAAGGAGCAGAGAAGAGCATAGAGTCTCACTTCATTTCCATTTTATCTATACAGTGCCATTGAAAAGGAGTTTCTTGGCTGTACCTGGAGTTGAGTTATGCCTCTTAAAACCAGATACAAAAGACTGTAATGGCTGCTTTCTTCACCTTTCTGGTTTTCAACACCAGCCTTGTGACAGTTCTGCATTTGTGAAACAAATAGCACAGAAACAGTAGCCAAGTACTCCATTAATAAAATTTGTCTCTCAAAAAAGGCTGAAACTATTACAAATTAAGGAAAAGGGAAGGAAACGATGATGAAGACTTGTAATTTTTTTACAGGTAGAGAACAGTATTCTTTCAGGACATTTATTAACCAATTAGGATTAACCTCCATGGGAAAAAACTTACATTCAGCATGAGAAACTTCACCACCATATTCTATACTGATTACAACTCTGAGGTTGCGTGCGTTTCCCTTGAGCCATGACAACTAAGAGAAACAAGACAGTGTACAACGGCAACGCCCTTTAAATGTATTTTGGAGAAAGCAACAGATAAAATGGTATTTCTTATCAGTGCAAATGTTATGGCTTGCTGCTGGATTACACAGAACCTGTATGCAGGATAAGGCTATCTGAATGCTGAAAGACTAATGTAAGTAGGAGAGGATGCTCTTAAATTTCAGCAGCTACTTACAATGTCCTTTGTATACTGCTGAACATTCAAATTTCCTTCGCCTTCCTTACACTTCCATCTAGGCCTGCAGCCTGACTGGATAGGTGCCAATGCTTAATACTGAGCTAACAGTAATGGGCTGTTCTCTGTTGTTTTCCCAATAGTTTACCAATTGTGTATATAAGTCACTATAATTAGGGCATATGTATAAAGAACTGTATTCCACTTTCCCTAGGAATCTACAAGTCAGAGACAAGCAAAATTCCATTACCAGGTTTTTTAATTCTGTGGAACAAATGTATTCCTCTGAACAATGTCAATGGTATTGCAAGAAATGTAAAAAAAGCATACAATTTTTTATAAAAACATTTCGAAATAACATAAGAATTACTCATCAAGATTCCTCATCTATGGTTCCTACACCAAAATATAAAATTGCTGAAAAACAGCTTTGAGGTAAGACTTTAAAATTCAAATGGCAATTTTTTTAAAAAAATAGCTATATAGACATCCTAGTAACTTGAAAAGTTACCTACCATCAATATAAAGTATACTAAACATTTTCCCCAAAGAGTTTGTTTAGCAAGTACAAAAGGGCATGAACACATTTCACAAGACATACTTAGTACAATACTGTACTTACTCTTCAATACATGTACTGTACAAGTGACAAGTTTTTGCTGTACACAGTACATGTGCTTTGGATTAGCTGTTAATATCTGCACTGGAAAAATTCATTTGACTATTTGGATTTTTCCCAGATGGTGAGTCAAGGCCTGATACCCTAACATGTCCATTCTCCTGAGTAACTCGTTGGGTATAAAACAAGATGTAGGCCTGGGCCTTGCACACTTCTTCCATAGTGCACATGATGAGCTTGGAATCATTGCAGTGTACCCAGAATCCTAGAAGAGAACAACAGAGTGATCAAAAGTCATCGCTGCAATTAAAATATTTTCTTATCAAAAACCACAAAAATTTAGTACAATCAGAACATTTTACACAGGAAAAGCTGTACCTCAAAAATGTTACAAGAATTACTGTCAAAAGTAAGAATTTATAAGGCACAGTCCAGATAAGAGACTGATCTTTCAGAATGACATTTGATGTAATCTTGTAAAAAAAATCCTCTGATTAAGAGAATGTCCGAAGACTTTAGAGATAGTGTTTATGGCAATAAAATTCATCTCAAAATCATGCTCAAAGGCTTGAAGTTTGATTTCATATTTAAATTCTTTGTACCTCCATCCGAATTGTAGCAATAGGCAGTGTAGTGTCCTGAACCAAATCCTTTCCCATGATGCATCACAACAGCAGATAAGTCGTAGATAAAACAATCAGGTACGAGGGATTTTAGAGATTCTCGGCAGCAGTACGGCTCCATGTTTAGCACCTGGTCAAAGCTGACATGTACACCAATCTTTTCACGGTGATTGCGCCCAGACCATCTTAGAGGAGGAAAAGCAAATACAATAAAACTATCACATTTCTAGTCTGTATTCTACAGGTATTATCAAAAAGGTTAAAAAACTTCACCTGTGTGTTACTGCTGGGAGCAAGAGTCAGTATGAGTTGGAAGGGCTTTGTTGAAAGTCAAACCACTGCTTAATGCAAGAATCCAGAACTAGTGTACTGCCATTAGTTGACTGTCTAGTCCTGAACATTTTCCATACTAATAAATAAAAATCTCTCCTGTAATTTTAGTCCAATAAATCTAGTCCTCATCTAGACAGAATATACAGGTAACTGTCCTCTTCAAATACAATCTGCCCTTCCCCATATCTCTTCACTGCTTGCCAAGGTACACTCTTCTATGTTCTGCTGTGTGAGCCTGCTTGAAGCACACTTGTTCAGTTTGGCTCCATCATGAGGATTCCATCTATGGAAGATGTGCCTGGGTAAGTTAAACCAATATATCAGAACATGCTACAACACCTCTGCAGCTTTGCTGATCCCTTAGGGTTCCAAGGTACAAGCCTTGAGAAGGCTTTTGTACATCTAGAGGTTCATAAATGCCAGAATGTCATCAGCTGTTGCTTTCTGATTCACAGATCTACAATATTGCCTTCTACTTACTTTCTGTTATAAATGCATCAGACGATGTTTTCTGACTACTGCTTGTTTAATCATTCTTCTTTTAGCCACATTACCCCTATCAAAATGATATGGGGGAACCAACTGGTACATTATACATACAAAATTTCCTCAGGGTATTGCCTTGTATTTACTGATTTAGCCCCTCATTTCGGAATGCTGCTCTTCTATTTTGCCTCATTATTCTGCCTATAGATTCTGTAGCCCTCTATGTACTTCACTCAGCCTTCTTAATGCTTAGTCTGTTTCACACAGTTCCTTTTGCTTTGAAGGTATCTATGAGGTTTTCATTTTTAAAGTTGACAAATTCGCTTTCCTCACAGAAGCCACACAACTAACATTTTGATGCTGACAGACTTCTTTTTTGAGTGACATTAACAGAACATTTTGTGATGTCCACATCAGTTCATATACTCTTTGTCAAAAGATTCATTGCCAGTTCCTTAAGTGCTTTACAGGAGTCCCTCCCATATCTGTGGAATCAGTGTCTACAGTTTCAGATATCCATGGTGGCCACTGCTGCAACCCAGCCTGTAGTGTGCATGTGCACCTACTTACCCCTCTCCTTCTAATCCATGTTTTCCTCATATCTGTGGTTGATCCTGGAAAAGTGAATGTGGAGGGAATACTGTACTGTACAGATAATGGACAAACCATCTGGATGGAATGCACAATCATGTTGGAATTTCAAGAAACGTATGTACAGCCTAATAAATGGATGTTTCTTTAAAAAATGACTAACTTTCCTTAAAAGAAGACCATCCTTTGGGGTTTTCTTAATTTGCTAGCAAAGGAATAATTTACTACATTACCTGAACCTCTTAAGGTGTAACCGCAGAACTTGAGGTAGCTGGCATACCATAAGCTGCTTTTGTGCTTCTGAGAGTATTACAGGCTTTGAAGAAAACTTTCTCCGCTTTGCTGCAAAAAGAATATTAAAAAATACACATTTTCTCAATAAATCATGCCAATAATGATGTGGGATAATTCCCATGTAAACAGAATCAGTTTAGCACTTAATCATTTTTAAACAAATCCACAAACATTATTTGGATTAACAGAATATTCAGGATACAACTAAATTACATGCTTGACATGTAGAGCCCTTAATGAAGAATGACCAATGTAATAATAAAAGTGTAGAAAGATTCCAAAAATAAGGCGAGGTAAAACCTTTATTGGACTGATACAACACTGAACATGATTTTCAGAGAATTCTATTTCCACACACATTCCTCAAGCTCTGCAATACCCATCCTGATGAGAGGGCCAGCTGGACTCAAAAGCTGTTAATACTGTATTCTACGTAGTGGCCCAATTTAAAAGAGGTAATAATTATAAATGCAGTATGGTTTCATTTCTCACTACATCAACTCATCAGAAGGTACAATTCAAAGTACTATTTGGATCTGATTTTTACAGAAAGGGACACTTCTGATTTTTTTTAAAAAAAATCTCTGCTCTTCATTAACATGAACTCGTGTCACATGGAAGCTGGGCGGACAAGTATGTATTGTATTTACTTACTGTTGCACTGATCACAGGCATATATTTTTCCTTCCAGGGCTTCAGTTTCTGTGAACTTGGCCAACATTTCTGTTAACAAGCACGGATGCTGACAGGCTGTCTCCTTCCCATTGCAGTGGTATCTTTCAGGAAATTCCAGTGAGAGGTCCCAAAAGGATTCTATAGTATTTGACTTATTGTCACATGCAAGACATGTCACCTGTCAAGATAAACCACTCATTAATTTGAAATTCCAACCTTCCCATCCTAATAAACTGGACCAACAGTATGTTGATTAATTTTAGTAGTCACATGTATGCCCTCTTTCCTCCAATTAGCTTAAGCTGGTGTACATGGCTCTCCTACTCTCCACATTATTCTCAGAACAACAAATCTGTGAGATCTGAGAATGTACACTAAGATCACTATGAGTAATATAGCTCCATGGGATCTAGAATCTAGATCTCTAAAGTCTCAGGCCAAATCATTAATCATTGTACCAAACCAAAATCTGCTGCCTTTCATGTACTAATATGGACATATCTCACATGAGAAACTAGTCGCCACCTTATTCTGGAACTAATCCACTGGTTTTTATTTTCAAGTCTAACCGGAATGATGCCATTTCTACTCTTTTCTTATTTTAGCAAAGTGTAAAGTGATGGTTCTTTACATTATCTTTCATTTTAACTGTTCTTCGTACTATGGAGATACCTGAAAATATGCTCCAACTCCTGGTCACCATAAATTTTTCTTATGTTTCTCTGCAGTTACTGAAAAGGGTTTCAACAAGGGCTCCAATTCTTTAGTGCTATCATAATCAGAGAAATAAAAATATACCACAGGACCCAAACTTGAGGCAAAGAAACCCAGGAATATGAGGCCTGTTGTCATTTTTCACTATATCAATGTTAAAGTCAACTTTAAATATTATACAATAAAACCTTTATCTTGTCAATTTGTGTGTTTCATTACTAAAATGACAAGCTCTTTCTTTAAAGACTTTTCTTAAAGCAAATTAATAGTATCTGGGGAAGTTTTCCATAGGGAAGCAGTTCCTGATGTACTATGGTAAAGAGCATCTTCTGCAGTATTCCACATTAATGTAAATATACTGTCCCTGCAAGATTAAAAAAAAAAACATTCAGAAGGATCAATACACCACCTGCATGCCAAATAAGTCACACTGCAAATGCAAGAAACTTCATTTGCCAGTTCAGCTACAAAGAACTGGTTCAATGTACAGTAGATGCTGGTAGGCAGAAGCAGACCAGTATCTACTGTCAGTTCTCTGGATGATTTTGCACAGATTTTGTGTACAGCAAAGCATCTCCAGCTGTCAATAGCTGAACATTAGCAGTATCTACAGCTATACACCGGACTAAGTTAATAATCCTTCATGCACAAGATTTCAGATGTAATTTAGGACGACGCATCCCAGAATACGGTTCATAATGTTCAAAAGTGAACTGTTTCTTCCCCTTTGACGCACAATTTTGTAACTATCTCCAGCTGGTTGCCCTTGTTGTTCTAGATAGAGCAGAGGTCTCCAAACTTTTGACCATGAGGGCCACACTGGATATTTCCAACATTTTTGAGGGCAGAAGGAACAGGAACATACGTGTGGCCAGCTGCACATGCACCTGTCCAGATGCCCACCCACCCCCGCATGCACACATACATACCCCCACATGGACTGAAGGGCCAGATAAAACTGCAAGGTGGGCTGGATGTGGCCTGTGGGCCTTAGTTTGGAGACCCCTGTTCTAGAGGAAAGAAAACCGACGAAAAGAAGTTCACCATTCCCTGTTCTATGGTAGCTAGATTCTAAGAAGTGTATAGATGTAGAAAATATTTCCAAAACAGTGATCAGGCAGACAATCCATCACATAGCTAAATAAGGAAATGTTCCCCATAACTACTAGAAGCAGCCAGATTCTTCAGAAGCAAACAGCATGGTAACTGCAAAAGTATTATCAAGTGGTAGTTCCCATATTAAGTCATTAATGTATATACATGATCTTGAACCAAAAACAAACAAAAAACCAAATATGTAGATACTTTTGGTAGTATGCCATTTAATTGTAGTATATCATCTCAAACTATTCCAGATCATCAAAGCCAATGGAGATATTCTAGAGTAAATAAACTGTGGATAAAATTTAACTACAAAATGTGGATAATATTAATTGTAATTAGGCGGCATCAACAAGTGAATTTAAGGAAAGAGATCTTAGTGGGTAGGGAACAGAGACACTATAACAGCTGTGGCCACTTCACTGGCAAGCATTATACAAACATCCCAATACAGTAACTGAAATTTAAGTCAGCTTTGACCTGAAAACCCCTCCTGTTTCAGCTCCAGCTTCTCTGATATGTGTCTCAAGTCACAACGGGCTGAATCAAATTGTAGAGTTTATTGTATTAAAAGATGTATACTTTAATGGCTAATTATTAAAATAAAATTTCCTCATAAGTGACTAATTACAATTGTTGTATTATGCTTCCTATTTTATCAGTAAAAACTACTTTTCAGTCTGTAGTCATACTTTCAAAATTCCATCTTAACATTTTCTTGCAGATTCAACATTATCACTTTCTATTCCATAATTTGTTTCTTCTTTATTTCATTAATATTTTAAAAGTCATTCCTTTGTTAACTAATCTACAGAGGCCTGGAGGCCAATATAAATATATTGAATGGACTGTCACTGAAGAAATCAATATTTGAACATTTAAGAGGCAATTAAACGATGTTTCACGTTAGTCTTTATTTTTTCTGCCAGAGTGTTTTATTCAGTTTTGTACACCAACACACAAGCTTTGGTTGACACACAGCTTAAATGTACTGCATTAGTAAATAGACTGATTTTTTGAGAAGTAATCTAAAACGAACTTTCAAATACGTTTACAGAATGAAATTCTAAATATCAGTACAAAAAAAATAGGAAGTGTAAAATCGACAAATGGCTTAAATCCTGTTTCTTAGTGTAGTAAGTCACAAATGGAGTAGGCCCATCAAAACAGTGGGGATCTGGTGAGTCAACTCCTCCATACTTTGCATTGATTCAAATGGGCCTACACTAGTTGTGACTTACTATGCCAAGCAACGAAGTTTAAACCAATGCATTTTGCGAACCTGACAAATATTTTGATCTATAAGCAAAGGAATACTGATGCCAGTTTGATGTCCCTCAAGATGGTTTTAAAGAGCTAGATCACCACCATATGTGTAGTAAATTTTCCTAAAAATTGAGTCTAATTATCTTAACAATCGGGTTAGAAGGTATGGGAGATCTAAGACAGCAGAGCTGGGCAAGATATCTTCTTGGAACCACTGCCAATCAACAGAAAAGGAACTACATAAATAGGAGACAAGTTTGGCAAGTCTGGTATTTAGCTTTCTTTGAAACCCATTATGGAACGCCTTCTACCACCAAGATCTACCCGTGTCACTCGCGCGAGCCAGGAGGTGAGGCTGAGGATCCTAACGCCGAGGGAGGCCCGGAAGGAAAAGACAAGAAATCGGGCCTTCTCGGCGGTGGCTCCTCGCCTCTGGAACAACCTTCCCCCTGATATTTGCGCGGCCCCCTCACTGGGTATTTTCAAAAAGCAATTAAAAACATTGATGTTTCGGCAGGCCTTCCCTCCTAGTTAATTCCGGATCCCCTCCTCTTTTCTTTCCTAACGTTTTAACCCAATTGTCGAAAGTTTTCTTTTATGTAATTATGTTGTTTTTATTGTGGTATCCCTTGTTGCAAGCCGCCTAGAGTGGTCTATCGACTAGATAGGCGGGATATAAAATAAATAAATAAATAAATAAATTGTACATTTATTTATTTAACTTCTATGCCACCCACACTATTCGAAGGTCTCTGGGCGGCTTACAACACCAGTTGGTACCAAAAACTGAAACAGAAAATGACCAGGAGCAATTTCTGGTTTAAAGAAAACAATGCAACCTTTTTACCACACAATGTGTACAAACAGGGAGGTGTGCACACTGTTTTAGAGGAACATTGTACTTCCTGGAATACAATTCTTTCTGTATACATTTATTACAATTTGGAAATGTGACGACTACCTGCTCCAAAAATGGGTGGGGTACTGCGTATGTTCTGTAGGCTGCACGTTGCTCATTCCAAGACAGGAAGTTTAGGATTGTGACTAAGTATAAGGCACATGCAAAGATAATCCTGCATGATGCTGGATGCCCTGGAAATAACTTTTAAAATATTTTTAAATCACACATTTATAACTATTATTTTAATGTAGTCTTTTAAAATCTTAGCTTTGTGGACACACATACCTGACTTAAAAGTTGTCCATGAAAAATGGTATTGATCACATTCAAAACTTGTTTAATAAGTTTCTTTTGAGAAGTGGGAATGAGGGCTGGGCATTTTGTCCGAACTGTCTCCAATTCTTGCTGCACTTTATCCAAAAGTTCACAGAGAAATTCCTGAGCATCTTGTTGAGCGTAACCACGAAAGGCTGGGATTAGTCTCCACACTGAATGAAGCATGGCAAAAGGAGACACCAATGCCCACTTTCCTGACCACATGACTTGAAATAATGTATGTAGCTCATGACAAAGAGAGATGTATTTTGAACTTGGCTCCTTAGGCTGAATAAGTTCCATATTTCTACTATTTGATGCTCCACCGCTTAAGCCTGATGACACACTAGATCGCCTTGCAGAAGATGCCTTGCCCTTCATATGGCTTTTGTTCACATGACAAATAGAACTAGCAGATGGAGGATATTTAGAAGATGACCTCGTTTTGCCATTGGCTGCAGCTGCTAACAACTCTTGAGTTTGGTTCAAATCAAGCTTTAAAAAACATTCCCGAAAGATGAGCAAATGACTCAATACCTGAAGAACAGAGTTCATATAGCATGTATTTCCCAAGTTACGTAATCCTGTTACACCAGGAGTCACAGTAGGCCTTCGTTTAACTGGAGAGTCATTTATTTTTTTCAGTTTTACTTCATCTGAGGTAGCTGTTACTTTAAGCTCAACAGCAGACTCCAAATTCTGCGGCATTTTTAGTGCACAGAGTGGTATTTCTAACAATTCTTTACTTTGATTTTGCAAACGAAAGCTCTTCCTTGGAGGCATTTTTTCCATTTCTTCTTTCAACTGCCGCTTCCGTTCTTCTCTTTTCTTCCGAGCATTGATTCTTCGTTCTTCTGCTTCCTCCCTCAATTTCTCTTCTTCCAAAACCCTTTTCCCACTTGGTGTCAACCCAAACCAAGATCTAAATACTTTGCCCATTAATGCATGCCTCCTGTGCCAAAGAGCTGTGAACATACGGTCTTCATTACGAAGCACAGCTTGAGCATTGTTGTGTGAAAGATCATCACTTGAGCCCATTGATCGTAAAGTTCTGCCACTACGAGTAGTACAGTCATAATTTTGACTCTTGATTGCACTTAATGTGCTTCTCAGGAGTTTTAAGTCACCAGTTGCATTATCATTGAGGACATAGTCATCACAAAGGTAGCAGAAAACATACAGCTCATTCACTTCCAATGCCACTGGATGATTACTTTCTTGAAAGTGCTTTAGTGCATGTTCTTCAATGTATCTTCCACAAGCAACATGAGAGCAACTGAGGCAGGCCCATACAGATTCTGTAGTATTGCATACCATGCAATGCCATTTGTGAGGGTTCACGATGGAATGGTCCTGGGCAAGTCGCAAACGTCCTACATGTTTACACTTATCCATTTTCAATATTGTGGTAATGACAAAATACTACAGAAACACGCCATCCAACCAATTTCCCAGTCTCTGCATTTTGACCTGAAAGCAGAAAAAAAATATTTTACTTGCATTTAGTATCAGACATGGCAAAATATAATACACATTTGCTCATCAGTTATATTGGTTTAAAACGATGATACACTCAAGTTGCTAAAATTTCCAGTTTAAAACTTAGACACAAACCTAGCTGAAGAAAAGGGATTATTATATTTATTATTATTATTGTGTACCGTCAATTCCAACTTATGACAACATTTGTCGGGTTTCCTGGGTATTAACTACTCAGTAATAGTTAACCAATCCCTTCTCTGACAGTACGCAAGGAGTGGTGCCCAAGATAACATAGGCTGGCTCTTCTCCTAGAGCAGGGGTCTCCAAATTTTTGACTATGAGGGCCACACCTGATATTTCCAACATTTTTGAGGATCGAAGAAACAGGAATGTGTGCATGTGTGGCCGCACGCCCTCTCGCACCGTGCACAGACACCTGCCTCCATGTCCTCACGCCCCTCCCCGTGCTCAAGCGCTGAAGGGAAGCGGTCAGATAAAATGGCAATGCAGGCTGGATGTGGCTGCAGGTTGTAGTTTGGAGACCCTGTCCTACAGATATAGTGGATAATGAAACTCCTGAGCCCTGGTTCCACATTGGGGTACTCCAACACACTAAGCTATCCAGCCAGCTGAAGTTATATTTAAGAATTGTTATATGAATTGCATTGTTTAATTATTAACAGAATTTTGTTCAAGAACAAGGTTTTAAAAATTGATAATTATTTAAATAGACAAGTCATTGTAAAATGTACATCACATAGAAATCTTTAAATTGCAAAGCTGCATAAACTAAGGACCAGACATAAAGCTTCCAGTATATAAGATACGCAGTACTCTAGTGCTGGAAGCCAGCCTTCTCTCCTGTGGTGGGTCGATGAAACACAGCTCTGTTTCCTGCGCTGCAAGGGTCAGGTAGCCTCAAGGCCCTCATGCCACATCTTAAGGGTAATGGGGGATGGAGCTGTATACCAAACCTGGTAGGCTGCTCAGTAGAGCAACATAAAAAAACACTGCAAACCTTATCCTAACATGTAGTTCAACAATCTAACCTAGATCAAACTTAAAAAACAAAGGATATTTCTGTAATTTTATTAGTTCAAGTTGCTCACTTTACAATTATACCCTTTACTTAGGCCACTTTCACAAAAGGGTTATTCTCTTCCTCTAAGTTTGTCTAAGGGCAGCATATAAGAAAAAACAACTTAGTATCTTTTAACCCCCCTACTTCTGTGAACATTATTTTTAAAGCCATAAAAATTCATAACAGTCATTTCATCTTATAATAGCAAATGGCACAAGTTCACTGTGCATTGTGTAAAACAGTTTTTTAAAATCTTAAAATCACCCTAGTCAGTTTCACTAACTCTAGACTGAAGTACTGTGATAGAGAGAGCAATAATCCTTCCTCCCCATGCAATTTTATAAGCCTCTGACATCCTGTCTCACCCTTTCCCCTTTAGTGGTGCTGGGGGGGGGGGAAGGTTGTTAACTAAGAAGTTTGACATACATTTATTTTCCTTCCATTACAAGACAGGTTTTCCACAATCAGAGGGTCAAACAAGGAAACATAATTAAAGATGTGACAAAAAAAATCTATCCCTGATTGGAGTACACCTCTCCTGAATTTAATAAAGGCATGAGAGCAGGGCCCCCATACCTGACTAATAAAAATGAGAATACACTATGTAATATAGAACCCTGTATATCCAGAGTGGCTGGTACTATTTTGATCATATACAGGGCATTCTAACTCATTTTAATGACTAGAGGATATCTCTTAATAGATTAGCCTGGATCTACAAAGAAATAAGGTCCAATAAATTAAATGAGGTTTAGATCAAAGTAAAACAATAGAAGATTACAGCTAATTAAAGAACTTTACACATACCAAATAGTCCCAAATGATTATTTCCTTTGACTTTGTATCCTGGCCAGTCTGAATAATGTGGTATTTATATCACTAATACTAATAGTTATAGTTACAATGTAACTATAGAAAGGAAAAAAACAGCAGCCATAATATCTGCCATAATAATTTAGGGCTTATTTTTATCAGTTAGTAGGGAAAAAACATCGCAAAACAGTCATCTTTAAACACAGATTAGGGACATCACAGTAGCTTCTTAGAACTGTTCTATGCAAAAAGAACTCCTTCTATTACCTGCACAGGCCTACTTAGCCTACACAGTTTATGCATGCACAGAATCTTTCCGCTGTGGTTATGCTGTGGCCTTTGAGTTAGAAACAAAGAAAAAATCCATGTGCTGAAAGCAGTAACAGAGTTTGACAATTAGCAGCCTATCCCTTGGCTATATCAGTGACATGTCCAGGAAGGATTTACTTTGCTTCCCTCAAAGAAAATAAAGACCAAGTTTCAGTTCCTTAATTCTTCATCTCAGCTCCTGCATCTCATTCCTTCTGAGTCTGTCTATGTCAAATAATCCTTCTGTTGGCAGTTTTATTTATTGGTATTACTGCTTTTTCTGAGGTTATATGAAAGACACCTGAAGGATATAAATTTACACGTGCACAGGGAAGAAAGGCTATTAAAATAGCCCACCTGAGCATACTCTGCTTCACAGGATGTTTAAAACACTGGAAAAAAAATGCCTCTAAAGAAAAAAAAGGTGGCTTAATAAAGTTCTCCAGAATCCACCTCTCTTGGTGACCTTTCAAAGCTCTAAGATTTTTTTTTAAGTATAACACACTGATTTTTTTTCATTATCTCTGGCTATAATGACTTTATTCTGCCCTGGCACCTGAACCATGAGAAGAACTACAATTGAGGGATGTGACTGAATTCAGGATGGCATTCAAGATGGATCCAGATTATCTGTGATCCAGATAATCGGAATATGATTTGGATCTTGGAACTCCCCTCTTCCTATTAATTCAACAGGATTAATGGGACTAAATGGGGAAAACTCACAACTGTTAAACCAGCAGGGTTCAGTAATTGCTTCTAGGAACAAGGAGACCCAGTTTCTAATTCAGCATACCAGGTGACTTTGATCCAGTCCTTTTCTTTCTTAACCAACCCAACCTCACAGAATTGTTGTGAATATAAAGTAAACATGAGAAATATGTACATTGCGCACTTTCTGGGTGAAGAAAGATTAAAAACATTTCTGGCAAAAACAAGCATGGTAAGTTTAATGGATTTATAGCATGCAGTGGTATTTTTGCAGACATGGAGAATCATGAGAATTCCATGACTCCACCAGTCATTATGCTTTGTTTACCATCTTGCATAGAGTGCTAAAGAATTCAAGCTGACACTGTATTTTGTGATCTCTGAGTTAGACTAATAAAGGTATTATGATGACAGGTATTTTAGATTTTTTTAATTTATTAAAGGGACTTAATAGTAGTGATAGAAATTCCTTCAGCCCAAAATTCTTCTCTCCCGTTTTTTCTATCTTTCCATCTAGAGTAATGAAAGGCATTCCTACAAATTTCCTATAGTACCTTACATGAGCATAATTGGTTCAAAGAAACCATACTAAACTGCAACAATATGTTAAAGTATGGAATAGTTCTTCTTGAGCTTCCAACCATTCCAGCTCACCCCATTTTCCCCAAATGACCTGCCATGCAGCATATTTAATCTCTTTTGTGCTGTTTTGGGGATTCGCCTTTCGGTACCTCCCCCACTTGCTGTCTAGGTTTGTCATCGATTTCCTCCCAAGAAGTAGGCGTCTTTTAAATTCGTGGCTGCTGTCACCATCTGCAGTGATCATGGAGCCCAAGAAAGTAAAATCTGTCACTGCTCCCGTATCTTCCCCTTTTCTTTGCCAGGAGCTGATGGGACCAGTGGACATGATCTTAGTTTTTTTGATGTTGAGCTTCAGACCATTTTTTGCACTCTCCTCTTTAACCCTCATTACAAGGTTCCTTAATTCCTCCTCACTTTCTGCCATCAGAGTGGTATCATCTGCATATCTGAGGTTGTTGATATTTCTTCAATCTTAATTCCGGCTTGGGATCCATCCAGTCCTGCCTTTTGCATGATTTATTCTGCATATAAGTTAAATAAGACAATATACAACCTTGTCATACTCTTGGTCTCTAGTTCCTCTGCCCCTTTGAAATCCAGCTTGTACTTCTCGGAGTTCTTGCTGCCTCCTGTACAGTGTTATGAGCCTCCATCCATAGTTCTTTAGGCACTCTGTCCACATGGGATCTCTTATCATTCTGCAAACTTTGTGCTTTTCTAAAACTAGTATACATCTTATTTATACAAATCATTAGTGCGAGTACATGCACTATTAGTATTACAACAGTTACATATTTTACATTCAAAAAGAAGAATGTTTCTTGGCCCCATACACCTCAGTCCCATTCATTAATACTTCCTAATGTAATAAAGCTCCTACATGTCCACTTTATGCATTTCATACTTGCAAATTAGCTTTATAATTGTCTGGTATCATGAAAATATATTACCTGACACTCTCATTATAAGTTTGCGTAGTCCCTCTATGCAAAATCTTAACTTGGTTATTTTGTTAGAACATGAAAAATGCATTAAAAAATTAAAAACAATGGACTAGCTTTTTCATGTGCTGCTTTGTGCCACTACAGTTTACATTTAATTGCAGCTCCTTGCTAACCTATTAACAAAGCTGTTAGTTCATATTGTCTCACAGATTTTTCTTTCCCATATCTTTTGAAATTCTCTCAATGAGACTTAAGCACAAAAACCCTAAGGAATGGGCATGCCTCATTGTCCATTACTCAAACACAACAAAAGAATTCAAGTGTGGGGCCTAAAGGCTGCACTTGGCTGCTTGTCCTAAGAACTCCCTGGTTTTAGGGGGAGAAATGCCCAAATGCCTCCACATTTAGCATATTTAAGAAACATTTCCTGCGTTCATTCTTGATCCCCAAAGCATTTACTTCTGAAGCTCAGTTATTTCAATGGCTCTTATTTCCCTGAAATTTTGTTTAGGACCAAAACTTCAGGTGCATACTCAAGAACACTTAACACATTTACTAGACCTTTGTGTTTCAAACAGGATAGTTAAAAAACAGTGAGAAGTCAGATTTCTCCTATTTTTCCAGCCTAAATTGCTGATCTGTTTATCTAATCAATGTTAATTATAATTCAAGAGGAAGAAATTTCTACATTAATCAAGCAGAAATCTCAATGTCTCAAATCAAGGGCAGGGAAGGGATTTTTAGTTTCAAAGGAAATGACAACCTACTGAAGATACTAGTAACCATTTTCCCAGCAACTTCACTTTTCAGAAACTAAGACCTGTAGGAGCAAGAAGTGCTACCTTAGAATGCAGAAGTTACACCTCTGACAATTTAAGTTACACAATTTAAGTTTTTAACAGTTTGGTCCAGAAAATTCTTTCCACAAAAGTAAGAGAAGCCTCTTTACAGCTCAAAAAGTTTTAAAACACTTCCTTCTTTCTCATCCACCAGCTCAAACCGAAAGTGCCTAGCAGGACAACTAATTAGGTTAGAGCTTTAACCTAAGGAGGGCCGATAACGTATGGCGACTGCCTCCACATGAGCCGTTAGCCTTGGGAGTTATTATTATTATTATTATTATTTTGGGGGGAGGTGGACCCGGGGAGTGACAACAGCCCACTCCAATTTGATAAAGGGAAGGAAGATAATTAAGCTCCAGAGGCTCCTATTCCAGTAGTGATGGTGGCAACTCAAACGCTTCGCTTTCTTATCTTGCAAACATCCTCCCAAGCAAAGGAACTTCTACCGTTGCATTAACTCGAGGTCCGCAGAAAGGAGTTGCAAACCAGAAAGTGGCTTCCCAAAAGTAACGTGGAAAAGCCCCCTTTCACGATTTCTCCCCGAGAGGCGCCAAAATCGAACTCCGGAGGTGGGAGTGATGGGGACAGCAGCAGATTGCTGGAAGTAACGGGTTATTCACAGACAAAGTGGGTACCCTTTCTCGCCCTCTGCCAGATGGCGCCGGTGCCCACCGCTCCCCCCCGCCCGCTCCCAGGAGGGTGATGCGCCCCTGCCCCCGACTCTCACCCCGGTGCCTTGAGCCATGCCGCCGAGGGAGGCTCAGTTAGCTGATCAGGACCTCGCGCAGCCGTCGTCCACGACGCCACGGCTCGCTCGCCGCCGCCGCCGCCGCCATCTTGTACGCTTCAGGCTCCTCGCCTTCGCAACCGCCCCCTTGGCAGCGTCACCACCGTCGCTCCCTCAGACGCTCCCCTCTCTTTCTCTTGCTGACCTTCTGGCGGGTTTTGCGCCTTGCGTGCAGCCGGGATTCCTCCCGTGTCACTCGCCACTCCGGGGTCAGGGCGAGCGGCTGCTAGTCTGTGGCGCTACGAACATTTCGTTTCTCTGTGGCGGCTTCCCTCAGGAAACCGGAGAGACCTTGGCCAGGTACGCGCAAGCTGCTGCTAGGGTTGCTGCGGTCGCCTAAATCTCTCCTCTGTCGGGTTATTTATCCCGAATAGAGGGAATGAAGGAAGTACTGTACTTTATAGCGATTCAAACCTGCGAGGCAAAAACCCTTCCTAGCCCTAGTTGGATAGTATGAAGTTTGAACCTTCAACACGCAGTGCACTTCTCGTATCACTGAGGTCTGGTCTTCTAAATAATGAAATGTAGAGGCCCCGTCAGCTCCAGATGATAAAAGACCTTTGGCCACAGTCCGTTTAATAGGATGCTGTCCTCATTGTGAACTCCAACAGGCCCAGTTCTCCTTGCTGTGGGGCGGTTGCAGGGTCCAGTTTTCCCCATGGAGACAGAGGACGAAGGAGCGTGCACAGGAAAGGGTGTTTGCTGTGACTGGAGCCGTGGCCTTTGCCTCTTTCTTGCTCTCAGTCTCTGGGCAGCACCTCCGTGGGGCAGAGAGATGGTTGCACTTCCTAAAGCTCCAGTGCCCCGTCTTGTTGACTTTAAACTATATCTCCTCACATCTGGGTCCCATAGTTCCCCCTGGTATATCCAGTCAGAAAGTAAGCAAACACATGAGCAGTTGCTGTTCCTGGAAAGAGCAGTCTCTGAATACTTCCAAGCTGGCCCCGTAGCCAAAGAAAGCAGGAACAAGTGACTGGAGGCCGGTCTCACCTGTCCTTGAAGCCTAGCCAGACAGAGGTAGTGTTGGTGCTACTATGACTATCATGAGGGTTTCAGCAATTGGAACTGGAGCCCCAGCTCTCCTAAGGGCCCTGCAGAGACAGTGATGGCTTCCTTACTGATCAGGTTCATGGTGCCAGTGGATCCTCTGGATTACTGGTAACCCATCATTAATAGAAAGCCAAGTGCCTACAGTGACCAGGAGTGCCTTTGTTCATTTTTGGTGCTCAACCTGCCCCCATTCCTAGGGAAGACAAATTTGACCATGCTTTTATTACTTGTTAAGTAGCTTGCTGTAATGCACTCCACATTAAAAGTGGCCCTTGATAAATATGTAAAAGCTACAAGTGCAAAAAAAGGAAAGTAGTCTGGCATGCCCACAGAGTCCATATATCGCTGATCTTGAATCAATTGAGTTCAAGGTGTTGTTTTTGACTTGCAAACCTTGAAAAACCCTCAATAGCTTTGTGTCAGAATATCTCCTCTCATATGAGCATGCTTATAAATTGAAATTTTAGTGCATACACTGTTGAATGTCCTACCGCATCAAGAGGCTAGGCTGGTGAACACCTTACTTGAGTGTTACTGTAGCAGCACCGAAGTTGTGGATGTCACTTCCTTGGAAAGTCAGGCTGGCGCCAACTGAGCTACTGTCAGGCAGCCAGAGCTATTATTATTCAGTATGGCCTTTGGTCCATAAAACTTTTTAAAATAGGCTTCAGATCTCTTTTAAATAATGTTTTAACTGTTATACTGTACATGTATTTTTGAGCTGTGGCAGTAAAAAAAACAATATTGTAAATACTTTAAATCATAAATTCATGAGTTGGATTCTTCCTTTTCACAATCCAGCTTGAATATCATTCCATATAAGGTAAAAGCCTTTGCTGCAATACCTTGAACCTCACTTTGCTTGCATGAGAAATTAAAAACTTGCAGGAGAAATTAAAGAAAGAGGCACGTGAGATCATATTGCAGATATCCACTGGCTACAGGAGTGCACCAAAGAATTTCAGAAGAAGAACAGTCAGTGCTTTATAGACTACAGCAAATCCTTTAACTGTGAGGATCATGAGAATCTATGGGTTATTATGAAAGAAGGTTGTGTCTCAGCACCTGATTGTTCTGATGCATAATTGGTGTTTTGGACAAGAAGCTTGAGAGAATATTGAGAGACAGAATGATTTCCTATATGCAAAATTGTTAGACGGGTGCATTTTATCCCCTTATCTGTTCAGTCTGTACATAGAACATGTTGAAAGCTAGACTAGATTCAGATGAAGGAGGAGTGAAAATTGGTGGACAATGCATCAACATTTAATATATGCAGATGACACCATCTTACTGACAAAAAGCAGCAATGATTTGAAATTACTTTTTGTGAAAGTGAAAAAAGAAACTGTCAAAGATGGTTTGCAGTTGAATGTGAAGAAGACAACAATTCTTGTTATACAACTTTAATGTTGACAATGAAGAAAATTAAATTGTTAAAAGATTTTGTGTACCTTGGTTCAGTCATCAATCCAAAGGGAGACTGCAGTCAAGAAATCAGAAGATTGAGATTCAGAATGGCAGCAATGAAAGAATTGGAAAAGTTCATCAAGTGTAAAGATGTGTCACTTGAGATCAAGATCATTCACATTCTTGTGTTTCTAATCACTGTGTATGTGTGTGAAAGCTGGACAGTAAAGAAAGCTGACAGGAAAAAAATTGTTTGAAATATGGTGTTGGAGGAGAACCTTGCAGATACTCTGGCCTGCCAGAAAGATGAACAAGTGGGTCCTAGAGCAAATCAAGTCTGAAATATCTCTGGAGAAAAAAATGATGAAATGGAGGCTGTCCTACTTTGGCCACATGCTAAGGCAGGATTCTCTGGAAAAGACAATAACTGAGAAAGGTTGAAGGCAGCAGGAAAAGAGGAAGGCCAAATATGAGATGGATTGGCTTCCTAAAGGAAACACATGCTTGAGTTTGTGATAGCTGAGTGGTGCAGTTGAGGACATTTTGGAGATCACTCATTCATAGGGTCGCCCTAAGTCAGAGGCAACTCAACTGCATGTCACAACAACACCCTGAGTTGGCCTTGGCTGAAAATACAGGTAGAAACTGCGTTTTACTGGCTGTGCCTTAGCATTGTTCTTAGCATATGAATTGTAGCGCTGAATATTTATGAGTTGGAAAAAGAAGCAGTTCATGCAGTCTGCAGCACCACAAATACCCTGATATTATTCAATAAGCAGTGTGATGAAGTTCATAAGAGGAGACATGCTGCCTCAGATCAAAGGCTAGTATACTCCAGCACTCTGTTCGCATAGAGATCAGCTGGATGCCCATAGGAACCCCACCAGTAAGATGTGAGTGGAACTGTACCTTCCTGCTCAGTTTCCTTTGGAAGTGCTATTCAGAGGCCGAATGTCTCTGATATTGGGGATATAGCTAGCTGTCAGGACTAGTAACCATTGGTAGCCTTATCCTCTACATGTGTGTTGTTATAGCTCATGCATTATTCATTACAAGGCATCTATGTTACTAGCTGTTTTTAAAAAATATGACTGTTTCCTTAACTCTTAAGACGGCTTTTCCCAGCACTATTGGGGAAAACCTGTCTTAGAATTAGTGAAAGAGCCATTTAAAAAAGAAACAATTGGGAACATAGCTACTTTGTAATGAATAATGCATAATACTTGGAGAAGTTGAAGGCAACAGGAAAAGAGGGGAAAAAACTATAGATGGGTTGATTCAATAAAGGAAGCCATGGCCTTGATTTTGTAAGACATGAGCAGGGCTGTTAATGAGAGGACATGTTGGTCTTTTCTACAGTTCAAAAGAGAACTGTGGCAAAAAATGTATTTTAATTTTTTTTTAAATCAGCGATTTTCAGGGTCCTAGGGGTTGCTAGGGTCCCAGCCGTCCTGGTAGGGTGCATTTGGAAATCTGAGGGCCACATGTTGTCTACCCATGCTGTAAGGAATAAAACATTAAAGATAGTATTTTGTCACCATTTGTCTTGGGTACATTCACAGATATGCTACTGGTAGTTGTTTTTTATGTGGCTGACAGAAACATAGCTTCATCAAATTAATAGACTGTTATGCACTGATAGTGTCTAAAAAACTGAACTGTCCTGGAGTGTTCAGATGAAGTAGATATCTTATGCTGATTTGATACGTTAAGTAGCAAAATATTTTTTATTCCAAATATTGTACAATGTCTAAAGCTGAGCTGGTCATGGGGTGGAGTCCTCTGGCTTGTTGTGCTGGGAGATTTCAACATCCATACAAAGACAGTTTTGTCATGAGTGGTTCAGGACTTCTTCTCCTCCATGACTACTATGTTTCTGTCCCAAATGGTATCTGCCTCCACCTTGGACCTTGTCTTCTGTACTAGGAGAGATGTTGGTGATGTGGGTGTAGAGGAACACTCTGTACTTCTTTTATCATGGACAGCTCATTATCTGGTGGGATTTAGACTCACTAGAACTCAGAGCTTCTCCAGGAATGGGAGACCAATTAAGACAGTCCTCTCAGGATGCTAATGGCTCCAAATAGTTTCCTGATGACTCTTGAGGAGTTCCCTGTCCTCTTGGGAGGTGATTCTCTTGAAGCCTTTGTTGATCTCTGGAATCTAGAAGTGGTGAGTGCTACTGACACAGTCACTCCTAGTGTCCCCTCCCACAAAGTAGAGTCAAACTAGCACTCTGGTTTACCAAGGAACTAGTAGTGATGCTAGGACTGGAACAATAGAATGAAGATGGTGGAAAATTCATAGTGAATCCAAATGAACATAAGCTAGGGCCCATTAGAACGCTATTATTTGGCGATGGTGAATAAGTCATACTTCTTTGCCACCATTTTTAGTGTGGTGTTTGTTTGATTCCTTTAAAATATTTGTATAGTTACTGTTTTTAGCTTTTAAATATTGTCTTTTAGTTATGTAAACTGCCTTGGTTCTTTTTAGTGAGAAAGGTGGGGTAAAATATGTTAAATAAATAAAGTATAAGTTATTGCAAAACCAGTATGGGTATGACTTTTGTGTTATTGAATATACTAGCAAAAGTATTAGTGACTTAATTATTGCTTAACTATCACAATCCTGAAATATTCAGAAATAAAAATGTCTTAGGTGAAGCTTATTTCCAGGTAGGTATGAATTTACTTGGGTTTAAATCCCACTGAATTCTGTTTGAAGAAGTCATATGTTAAAGTTAGTACAGTACTGTAAGAGTTTAGCTTCCCTGTATTACAGCTATAACTCTTGTGCTTCAAATTGCTTTCTGAAATCTTACTAAGCTTT